GTTGAGGTTAATTTATGACAAGAGGATGAAGGACTGAAGGATGATACAAAAATAAGGAGTAAAGATGATGAGCGGAATGGTGAGGGAGGAGAATCCCAGAAAATGGGCTTTCTTTCTCTTGAACCATTTTCGCTGTAAAAATCTTTTCTCTTCGCTTTTTTTTCTCGCCTCACCATGTTATCCAACCTCCTCCGGAAGCGTCTATAGGAACGGGTAAAGCCTTCAATGGGATGGTTAAGATGGATGAGGTTCAAGAAAATTTATTAACACAAGAAAAGGTAAAGAGCGATTTTCATGACGTTCATATGAGATGATGAGGTTTCGCTTTTGGATAAACATAAACATTGGAAACATTTTTCCCTTCTTCTCTGCCTAAATCAATTGACTTGGTTACAAGTCAAGTAACATGCTTTAGTTGATTAGGCAAATGATGAGTCTAATGATGATATTATTTTCAATTTTAACGCTCTAACAGTTTTGTTCACTTTGTTCAGTTGCGAAAAGTTTCGAGTTTTTATTTCAAATTTTTTCTACTTTGGAGTTAAAAAATTTTTGTTCATTTGTTTTGTCGGATAATGTTTTATTCTGATCGAGAAAATCAAAGTTTCTTTAGCAATTATTACCAAGGATATCATCTTCACACCCACTATGGATCCATGGGAACAACCGAGTTGACCTCTTCACCTTCCCATTCAAGTTATCAGTTGATTGGCAACCTCGATAAGTCGACTTCTCGTTCATCCTTTTGGGATCAAGGGCCAAATGACATGTTCCCATTGAGTCCCGAAGTGCACGAGAATGCAATTCAAACTCATGACCCAGCTCAAGAGCAACTTGTTCATCGGCCAATCAGTGAATCAATCAGTGAAAATGAGTGTAAAAATGTGAACCTCCAAGTGAGTCAGAAAATGAAGGAACCAATTTGCTCCAAAGTTAATGGAAAGTCTGATGAGTGTCCATCGATGCAAGTGACAAGCCATGAGTTAACTCATCACCTTCATGGACAACTCAATGAATCTCATGAGATTAAATATCTCAATGTTAATAGTTTGGATGAAATGGAAAGGCAATCATTGACGTTAAATTTAGACGCAATGTCCACCTCAACCTGTTCATCCAATTCAACAAGTCCGACAGTCGAACCAACATTGACTTCGTCACCATCTTCAACTTCATCGTTTTCAAGTAAACCTGAACTTCATCGGAAACTTTGGCAAGTCAAGGCAATCCTCGAAATGAAATGTCTCTGGGACGAGTTTAACGCTCTTGGAACTGAAATGATTGTCACCAAGGCTGGAAGGTATGAAGAATCAGTGTCAATATGGAATTTCAATTTATTGAAATGAGTTAATCGATAACTTTGCAAACAATTTCAAATGGAACTTCTGAAATGTCTTTTCAATCAATATTTAATTTGCTTTCTTTCCTCTTTACTCTTTTATATTGTGAAAAAATATCGAGAGAAAAGTTCATTTCTTTTTCTTCTTCTTCTTCATTCTGTGGTTATCTAGATAAATATTGTAACATTTTTATTCTCAAATTTAGTTTCCATGGAAATTAGTTTTTCAGAGTTTCAATTCTGAATCAATAGAAGATGAAAATTTATTCTAAAAATAATCACTTTTCATGATAAAGTTGCAAGGTTGAAACCTCGATAAACAATGCTAAGGAAACGATATTGATAGGAATGTGTTTAGATTTTCATCAATTTTTGCTTAATGATTCTACAATAATCAATTTGTGCATTTACATTTCAATTGACTGAGAACAACATTTATCATGATTAATGATTTGTTTGTTTTTAAGGGAAAACCATTTCAACTTGCCAAATATTTCAACTAATAACACAACTTTGGTTTACTTTTAAAATTCAATTTCAATCATTTTCTTCTTCTTCTTCTTCTTCTTCTTCTTCTTCATTAAAATTCACAGGCAATACTTATTCAACTTAATATCGATCAAAGTTGAAGCCAATTTTGCCCTGCAATTAGATCAATATTTTGATGAGTTAATAACTAGAACATTGATATTTTCATGAGAAAAAAGTTTCAATTTCTAATGAAACAAAACTCATTAAACAATTTTATGGAAAATTTCAATCGATCAAAATTCAACTAATTTTACATTTTAATTAGAGCAACAGTCAAACGATTTCCGATAAAAGTCGAGACTCATGAATAATGAATTTTTATCATTTTCGAAACACATTGTTCAACTTTAGAAGAAACTTTTTCATCAAATTTTCGACCGAATGTTATTACCAGTCGAAACTGTGTTATCACTGATTTCGAAGTTTTTCTCGATTCGATTTTCCAAAAGATTCTAAAGGAATTCAAGTTAGCATGAAAACTCATGAATTAAGTTTTAATCTGTTAAAAGATTCTGAAGGAATTAACAGTCGAATTCGAGATTCATGAATAATTAAGTTCTAATCTTAAATGTTCGATTTTCGATTTCGAAATAGGTTTCAGCGAATTTTCAGAAGAAACTTTTTCATCGATTTTTGGACAAATTTTATTGGAATATCAATTCCAGTCGAAACTGTTTTATCATTGATTTCGAAGTTTTTTTAGATTCGATTTTCTGAAGAGCTTCTGAAGAGTTTAGAGCTTCAGAATGATTTCAAGATGAATTTTTGTGGAAAAAGTTTCGAAATTAAATTCGATGTTTTCATGTTTGAGAAAAAGTTGATTTAAGTTTTGAAGAAAAGCAAGAAATGAAATTTGTCGCTTTTGACTGTTGATCGAGTCTCGACCCTATTGACATCCCGTAACATTTTGGGCTAAAATATGTTGACTCGAGTATATTATTAGATACAGATTTGAAACAAATTATTGTGCTTCTAATTATTGTTGGTGTTCTTTGTCAAACATTGCAAGTGAAATTGATTGTGTGTTGATTGAGTAGACTAAACTTGCAAGGTAACATTTTACATGTTTGGTTTTATCTTCTTGTGCTTCCTCCTTTTCCTCTTTATTCATTTTCATCCTCATCACCCTCATCATTATCATCATGATCGTTCTGTTAAAAGGCAGAAGATTCATAAATGATTGATTGATCCGTCAAACCAGCTCAGCCTGGCTTATTTCCCTTCCTGTCGATTCACTTTTGTCTCTTCCCTTAATTACCTCAATCTCTTTCAACCTTTTCGCCAAACAATAATAAACCATTCAAGTTGCCATTAAACAGTTCGTTGCAAGTTCGAGAGATCGTGAAACAAAACAAATTCATCTGTCAATTCATATTCCTTTCGAGGTTAGAATCGCACGAAAAGGAAAAAACTCAGAGAAAAAATAGAAAAATGATTCGAAAAGAAATAAATTTGAATCAAAGTTCGAATCAATTATCGATTTAAATCTGTTCTATTGATTACTTGTTCACTAATCGAGAAACTTTTATTTTTGCAATATTTAGAGTTCGAACCAGTTTTGAAAAGAAAATGCATTTTGGAAGAAATTGTTTTCTGGTAAAAAGTTCATTCTTTATACTTTTATTGGTTCATGAATGAGGAAATTTGAAATTCTGTTTTCGATTTTCTCAACATTTCAATTCTGTGATTTGCAGATCAACAGATAAACACTTTTCAATCTCATGTTAATCTCGAGTTCATTGGTTTGGAATTTGGAATTGCATGTAAAAAGATCATTTAAGGTGAATCATAATTCGGTTCATTTTATCTTTTCATGTAAATTTTGATTCCAAATTGAAAGTTGAACATCGAACATTTGAAATTCTCACGATTACCATGGAAAATTTGAACCCATTTTCTCACTTATTTAATATTCTTTAATCATTTTCATTTCCACTTTTGTCTTTTATTAATTTATTTATAATTGCATTTTTACCCTGAAATAATCATGGGAATGATAGCAATTGAAATTTCTTCTTCTTCACACCAAGCAAATTAAACTTTTCAATTTGCTCATGAATATCATTTGTTTGAACAATTTTCTTTTCACCATTTCTCCATCATTTCCCAGAACTTCATTGAGTTCATTGAATAATCTCAATTTCGTTTCATTTACAATAAACATTTTCATCTATTTTAACTTGAAAAGAATGGAAAAGAAATGAAAAATTCCTTCAACAATTTCATTTGTTATTACAGAAGCATCTGTAAGAATTTGTTATCAAAATTGATCATGAAAAAGAAGAAGAATCTTCTTTATCGATTACATTTCATCAGTCAACTTTTCAATTTCAATTTAATATTAAAATTTTGTTCAGGAAAAACAGTTCAATATTTTATTCCCTTTCAAATGCTTTCAATAGTAACGATAGTAACATTAAAAATGAAGAAAGGCACAGAAAAGCTATCAAAGGCATTCTAATCATTTTACATCATAATTCATCATTAAATTGAAATTGCAATCGAGAAAAGATGAACAAAAAGAGATTCTCTCGATTCGTATTTCGTGACTCAACTGCTTTTTAAATCATTTACTCAATGATTGATTTGATTGGGAAAACGTTTTTACACCAAAAATGGTTAACCCAAATGATAAGCGAAAAAAACTCCCAGTAATATTTTCTTCTCTTTTCCAGGCGAATGTTTCCCACTTTTCAGGTTAAACTGAAAGGAATGTGTCCAGATTCTGATTACATTTTAATGATGGATTTTTTGCCAGTTGATGAGAAAAGGTATCGCTATGCTTTCCACAGGTAAGTTAATTAACGAGAAACTCTCATTACTGTTGGGTGAACACATTACACTCTGATTTACATTTAAATTGATAACTCAATGAAACTTGTTGAAAGTAAACGTGAAATTTTGAGCTAAAAACTTCGTTCAATGGTTTAGTGAAAATTAATTGTTAATCAATTGTCGACTTTTCATTGCAATTAATATTCAAGGAAAAGACCAATTTTTTCAGTCAACTTGTTTGGTTGTGTTTTTCCTGGTAAAGGTTGGTTTAACCCGATTATTATGATTAATTGATGTGACTTTTTCACTGTAATTTTAGACTTGAATTGTTCAATGTTGACTCGAGCTTATTTGAGCCAGCAATTAAATTACTTTGTACCTAAATTGATTGTGAGTTGTTAAAAGGTAAACTACAATTTTTCTTATACATTATTACTGTCTATCAACTGGGAGTTGCACTTGAGATTCAACATTATCATTATCAATTCAATTGAACACAATTTTGGAGATTTTTTCTTCTCTTTTACTTTTCTCAGTTCATTCATTTCATTTTCTCAGCCTTTATCATTATAATTTCAAGAACTCAAGATGTTTCTATTGAAGAAGCTTTTTCAAGTTTAACAAAAAATATATCTTTACAATGAAGGGAATAACAAAAAAAGGTAAAGAGGTAAAAGCATCTTGTTTTGCCTTTTCAACTTTACTTTTGTTGTTCAATGATTGCTCCTTTAAATTGCACTTTTCAATTAATTATCAAGAGTAAATTAATGTTGACTCGATTGATTTATCAGTTTAATGGTTTCATTTCATTTTATGTTTCAGTTCAAGTTGGATTGTTGCTGGTAAAGCTGATCCTTCAGCTCCACCTCGAATCCACATTCATCCAGATTCACCGGCTAAAGGGTCGCATTGGATGAAGCAAGTCATCTCATTTGATAAGGTTAAACTGACCAACAATCAGTTGGACGACAATGGACATGTAAGTACAATTCAATAGCTAATTGCAGAACTGTTAAGTAAATTCATTTTTATCTAATAATAATGCAAAATAACTCCATTTGTTGAATTTGATAACAAGACTAGAATCAAATCTAACATTTATTGTTGATCTATTTTTAGAGCAACAAAATTAGACTTGCAAGATGTAACACTCATTTGAAATGAACAACATGAAAATATCTCGATCACTGATTAAGATCATGACTTTATTACAGAAACAATAAGCTTCATTTGTTTATCTTGATTGAAACAATGGTCATTCAATTATCTTATATTGTTGGATGTACTTTACAGTATCTTTTAATAGCTCATCAATGATGGTCCAACATTTATTTTCATGCTCATCTTGACCAAGACTAGACAGAAAATAATAGAAAATAGATTTTTCATTTTTACTTGAATTCCTTTTCGATAAAAGGATTGTTTCATCAAGTCGAGTTGAAATGTTTATTACAATCAAATCAATTCTAATCTTTCGAGTCAACTTGAACTTGGCAGAAATGATAAAATCATTAATATTGATTAATTTGGAGTCACAAGTTTCTAGCTTAATGAAGTAAATCAATTTCTGAAAGAGTTTCTTAATTTAATTTCTCATTTATACAGATTATATTGAATTCAATGCATCGATTTCAACCTCGTTTCCATGTACTTTACTTGGCGACTGAAGATGAAGATTGTTTTTCAACTGAAAATTTTAAAACTTTTATATTTCAAGAGACTTCATTCATGGCTGTTACAGCTTACCAAAATCATCGAGTAAGTACAACTTTGCAAATGAAATCAATCTAATTGATTGGAAACAAGTAACAATGATATTGTTCATCAACTCTAGTCATTAAAGTAATCGCTATTGTGATAAAGTCAATTGAGATTCATTGTGTTTCAGTGTTTTGTTGAGAGAAAAAATTCTGTTCCAAATGATCAGGTTAATCAGATAAATTAAGGCTTTTAAAGTTCATTTCACAGTTTGACTTGGATAATTAAAAATGATTAGCATTGTAAATGCATTTTAATGGAGCGAAAAGAAAACAAAAATTGAGTTTAAAAATAGCTGTAAATTGCGAGCTGAATGATGATTAAATTGAGCAAAGTTAACTGGAAGGTTGATGTTCAATGTTTAGCCAAATGTTTAATAATCAATTAATCAATTGCAAGGATAAAAAGTTAATAACAATTGTAATTGCAAGTGAAAACTGTTTACAAATGGTTTAAATAAATAACACTGTAAATCATTTTACGATGAAATGTTGATCATTAAAATGGTTAATGTTGAGATGAAAAGTAAATGATACAAGTTAATTGAAACCAATGGAAATTGACTTTAGACAAAAGCTTTCAATTTACAATCAACATTGTAAAGGAACAATTTAGCTACAATTTACACCCAATATTTACATTAAACCTTTTGGGTTAACCATTGTAATAGTTGATGTACAAGTTGATTGGTTAAACATTTCAATGTTTATATCAATTGTTCATTCTTTTATTGCGTGGACAATTTTCTGGACAATTTGGTTAACATTTAAATTGTATTTGCTATTCAGATAACTCAACTGAAAATTGCGAGCAATCCATTTGCCAAAGGTTTTCGTGATTGTGACATGGATGAATGGTGAGTAAATTGCACTTTATCAACATTTTACTGTCATCTTCAACCTCAATTAACCATATTAATTGTTACGATTTATTATCAAATCAACTAATAAGTCAACCTTTTCTTTTCCTTTTGTTTCCATTATTCATTTTGGTAAAGATTTTTCAACATTTACTCGGGTAATTTGGATTACCATTGATGGTCAATTTGTTGAACCGATTAATCGATTGAAAGTCAATAATCGACTGTCATCTCACATGTTTCAGGTTAAATCAATTGTTATATTGACAGTTGAGATTCACTTTTAAAATTTAACAACATTTAAGATACAATCAAGATTCAATCCATTAAAGGTCAACACTGTACAACACATTTTATTTACTGGAATCGCTTATCATTTTTCAATTGTATCTTCATTGGTCTATCATTTTCATGTAAGGTGAATAAAATATATAAATGGACTTGATGATAAATGACAATTTAAACGTTAAAATTGATAGGAAAGTGAAATTATTTAGGTTAACTTCATTGTGGTGATCACAGTTTACGGTTTTTCATTGAAATATGGGTTAACGGGTAGGTTTTGATAACAGGGAAATGGCAAGTTTTTGGTGAAAGGCTTGATGTCTATATTAACCAGAATTGGTTTTATCCAACGTACACTTATAAATGTTTGATTGTTATTCAAGATTGCTTGAATTAATTTATTAATGGTGATTAAAATAATGGTAACACTTGGGAAGGTAATTATTTTAATAACTAATCAAAAGGATAAGGTGGGTTGAATAGGCAAAAGATAAACACAACCGGTTAAAGGAGCACAAAATCGTAGATGTTGCCTGTTTTCAATTATAAATAACACGATTAAATTAAAACAAATATTATGAATAGAAGAGTGTTGTTAAAGTCTATAAAAGCTGGTAAATCAAGATTTAGGTTTGCAGTAATTTAATTTAATTGCTATTTTGTAAATTAAAATCACAGTAAATAGAAATGAAAATTAGTGAGATTTGAAAATGACTCACTTGAGATTTAAGTTGAGCGGTTTATTCAAAGTGCCTCAAATAATCTCAACATAATTCTTCTGTTTATTATTGAAATATTATTCAACTTTACCATCATATCAACACTGATTAACGTCTTTTTAAGACTAGTTTACAAGACATTAGCATTTACTTTGAGAAAAAGAAAGAAGAATCAAGATTGAAAAGGATTGAAAAGCTTCAATTGTTGTCATCATTATCTTATCTTTTCAAGTTCTTCCTTCCTTGAAATCATCATGTTGATGGATTTAATGATGAAAATGGTGTTAAAGGTGATCAATGAAAGTGTATTAATGAGTGTACTCTGGGTAAAACAAGAGAAAAAAGCTGAAGAAGAAAAGACGACTAAAGAGTAAACATTAACATAACTTATACTGTAAGGAATAGTAACTTGAATTTCATGGTTAACAATCAACATTCTTGTAACTCAGTAACTATTCAACTTGAATTGAGCCGAGAAGGAAAAATAAGAGATGAAAATAGGTAAAGAATAAGTGGAATCTGTAATACAAATATGATTTTTGTTTGGAAACATGAGAAAGACGAAGGAATTGCGACAACAGATTTCACTTGAAAAATATTTTAGTGTATTATGCTTATTGTTATTAATTTCATGAGTTGCATTAGATGAAATAATAACAATGGCTTGGGAATGTTAAGGTAGAAGCTCGGAATGATTGCTTGAATACTCAATTGAGATTGAAATGGATAAAATGTAGACAAGAAAAATATCTATTTATTGTTGATGTAACGAGAAACTCAAGAGATTTTGTAATGTATAAAAGTATGGATAAGTAAAAATTGAAGTGCATTTACTTATGATATGGTTATTGTTATTGATACAGTAAATTTGAAATAATTGCTCCTAGTTTATAACAATTGATATAATAATAAGAGTAAACACAGAGTGATATTTCCATTATTATTAACCAATTATTAATATTATTGTAGTTAAATGGCAGTGGTTAGAGTTTGGTGAGTTTATCAACAATCAGATTACCAGGATTCTACATGTTGGTCATAATGATTGGGATGAAAATTGAACCAAAAAAACCAGAAAAAAAATCTAATTATTTGTAGCCAAGTGAGTTAAGAGTATTAAAAAAAGGTTAACAATGGGTGATATTGGTGTTGATGTTGATGGTAATGGTAATGATCATGTTGACGCTGTGTGTGATAAAGCTGAAAGGATGAACAGAGTGGAGAGAAGCGCTGTTTAGGGATGAAGATTGAATAAAACCATTGGAAAAAATTGATGATTGCCTTTATAATTGAATCCAGATAATAGTAAATTTGAAATGGCCATTTGACTCAACGAATCCTTCTCTGCTTTATACAGCCATGATGATACTGAATTTGAGCTTTTATCTTTTTCCTTTTCTTTTTCTTTCTTTTTTTTCTCCATTTTTGGCATTTTCTTTAAACCATTCCATGTTTCCATCATCTTCTTGACTCTGGTGTATTTTAGTTGAAAATATGTTTTCTTTTTGTTAATAAACAGCAAATTTAAGTTGATGGCGTGTGTGTTTGTACATTTTTATAGTGAAATTTGAAGGGAACACAAGTCAAACTTGGCGAGAGTTGAATTACCAATCATGACTTTGTGCATAATATTGTGTTAGCTTTTCAATGAACTGATAACCTCGAGGAGATTTCAATCATTATCTTTATCATAATACTTGTGATTCGAATCAATGGTGTATGAAGCGAAATAAGAAGATGAGAAAAGACTGTGCTTAGGTAATTGGAGTTATATTCACATGAAATCATTAAGTACTGTGAGTGTGTATGTGAGTAATGTGTTTTTTTAGTTATCACCCTTGAAGCTACATGTAAGGCAGTTAGACTTTTTGTTTAAAGGTGAACGTGAGAATGATGGAGAAAATTGATTTCGATCATCCGGAATGGTCAAGATTGGACGTGGCCATTATGATTTATCCAAGTGTTGAGAAGGTAAAACAACAAAAAGTTAAGATAATAAGTGATCTTAAAGGTTAACTTGTTCATGTATATGCAATGCTTCCTTCTCTGGATTGTTGAACAAGAAGATGATAAATATTTTTCAAGTTGGATAAATATTTTGCGATCAAAAGCAAAGAAATCCCTTCAACAGCAAATGAATATGAATGAAATCGAAATGAACTCTGATATTAGAAAGTATCTTAATCTCATTTTTGTCCATGGTAAAGTCAATAGTCTCAATAAACAGAATATTGAAAGAACAGTTTTATCCTGGAAATGTAAAGGTAACACTTAATATTATATTATACTGATGATGAAAGAGGTTTAGCATTTTTCATGATCATATTCTTGTTGGAGTTGTCATAAGTGTTGTTGATTTAACATCCATTATGAACACTTAACAACGGCAATCTACATTAATCATTTACACGAATCACTGTCGATTGCTTTCCATTTCAACATTGTGTTCTGTTCAGCATTTCATTTGTAGTATTTGAAAACAGCAATTACAACAAAATCCTTAGTTTATGCCAATGTGATTAAACTTGGTGATTATTGATGACAACCATTGCTTGTACATGAGCAGGATGATTAGTCCATGACATCTTGATTAAATGAAATCAAGGTAATCTGATGGTTTAAGATTTTTGTTCCCGTTTGATATTGAGTGTGCCAAGTAAATTAGGTGAACATTGCTTTGGTCAATCAAAGTGAATGTTCAAGTGCATTTATGTAATCCAAAAGGTGAAGTTGACACTTAAGGTTAGTAATGCGAATTTATCTTGTTTTTTCTCTGTTCAAAACAACTTTTTGAATATCGATCTTGTAAGCTCCAATTTCCTTGCCTTTTGTAAATTGGAAATACATTCAACTCCCAATTGTATCCAACATTGTATTTTTCAACTTGTTTTCAATTTCAGCTTTCAATAAGTCTGGATGTTGTATAAATAGTATAATTAGCATGGATATTGAAAGACAACATAGATGAGTAAACAGGTATCATTTCAATGTCTTTGCTCTACTCCTTTCTCCTGTTAATCGACCAGAATTTTTCCAATTAATGTTGGATATTTTTCCAAACATTGGGCTTGTTAAATTTTGTACCAACAAAATTTCCAGGAAAATTTAGATTTACGATTTTATCAGTTTTCTGAGTAGCAATTCCAGAGCAATTAGGCATTTGAAGCAAGAATTGGTGAATCTCGAATTAAACATTTCGCTTTGCTTCTGAACAGGTTAAATCAGGAAATCCAGAAAAACTGTAACTCGAAATTGTGATAACCAATAAATTTGCAAACAGGTTGATTGATCCACATTAACCATGCCATTAGAGGAAACATCAGGTAAATTGCGAATAAGATAATTCATAAGAATCTAATAAATTAATCTTGAGTTGTATCAATTTGCTGATGTTACAACATGCATTAACTGTTAATAGATTGGACGAATAGAACCATTGAAAGAATGTTTACTTAATTACATGAGTATTAAGGTTGAATGAGAAGATTTCAATATTCGTAATGGAAATTGCAATCAAGTCAAATTGAATAACCTGACATAACACTTTACTTCTTTTAGTAAACTTCACATTGAATAAATCTAGTGAAGTTTCAAGTCACAGTTAATTAAATTAACTCAAGTAAACATTGGTATGTATAAAAGCTGTGTTTCCAAGTTTTAGTCAATGTTTTTTTGATGGCTGATAATTGACTTCTCCGCATACAATAGGAATCCTTTGAATTGGGTAACAAAACTTCAGCAATTGAAAGAAAACCAAAAGAGTTCCAAATGTGTTAATATTTAATTCAATTGGAATGGCCAGTCGATTGATTTGAAACTTTATCGTTATATTTCGTCTTCAAGATCAGTGGCTTTTTTGTGTGTCACGTCAATAAGATTTTGCAAGAGCTACATCTTAACTTGTTGATTTATTCTGGATTGGGAAGTTAGTTGCAAACTTTCATAAATATTAATAATAATAGAAGCTAACATTGGATTCCATATGGAAGTATACAAGAAAAGCTGCCATCCAAAATAAATGTACCCAGATTGTGAAATATTACTGTAGAATTCACATTTCGTAGAGACATAATTTATCTAATTTTTTACATGAGACTTATAAATTCTCAAGAAAATCTTGCACTCGAGATGTAGATGATTATAACGCTAGATGTTGGTAGAGTGATGAGAGTTAAGATGAATCGAGTGATGCTCCTAAAACTGATATAAATGTCTGTTCATCTCTTTCAATGAAGCATTTTGTAACGTTCCAAGAGTGATCATGAAGATATCCGACAGCTGAAATGAATACTCTGAAGGCCAAGGGAATTTTCAGCCAACGAAAAAGGAAAATATAACCATAAAAACTCAGGACACAGATATACTTTGTAAAAAATGATAGCTGTCATTGTTGAAAGTATTGAGTCACTGTTGACTGGTCCTGAAGAGTTCCTTTGAAAACTTAGAAATTTCAAACAAAGTAAAGCAACACCATGTAGTCTTTGAAACGAGTTGAGGCTTATCAGACCAAACAAGCTAATAAGTGTAAAGGTAGTGAAGAGTTGCAGTGTCAATTTTGTCGGACTTTCTGATAAAAAATTCATGTACCTTCGCGGCTAGAACCGACAAGAAACTGAACTTTTACTACATTTATGTTTAAACTGGGATAAAATGGTGAGGCAAGATACAGTGGAGTACCAGATAGTGTCAGTACCAGATAATGTCAGTAGATTATTCAATAGCCCCTCAAACCCTTTGTTTACATTCCCTATAAGGAAAGTTTTAATTGAAATTATAAAGAAATTATCAAAAAAGTTGAATATTTCTGACAAATTCAACTCAACTAACGATCCTCAGCACAATGACATCAATTTGTTAGACTTTTCCAGCAACTAACTTTAATTTTATTAATCATTGTAATTAATTTTAAATTTTAGCTCGATTAATAGACTTGCTGTGCATATAAGCTATTTCCAGTTACTGACAGTATCTGGTACTCCACTGTAAATAAGATCAAAAGTCAATAGAAGGAAACATGTTTACAAAATTAAATAAAGAAACCACAACAGTGACAAAATTAAATTGTTATTCACGTTATTTGTTTTAAACTTGATTTCCCATGAGTTTGAAAACATGATAATAGATGAAGGACAGATTGATTGGAACCAAATAAAGATTCACAAATACAAGTAAAGAGTAAATAAATTGGCAAATTGCAATTGTGTTAATTAACAGTGAATCCAACAATGGAAAAAGGAAAATGATTTTATGATTAATTTGGTGACAAGATGGCGTTAACAATCATTTCTGTAATCAAAAAAGGCGGCTAAAAGAAGAGAAGAGCTAAACTAACAGAAAAGATAATCAGAAGATGTCTCTTAATGTGCGTATTTTGTTTATTTTATGCCTTAATAATTGTTTTCCTATGTTCTTAGTATATTAAATTAGTAGGATTACTGTGACAGAATATGACAAAGTAAAAGTTAAAGGTAAGCAGAAGAAAAAAAAACTTCACAATCTAATTACATACTACTAATTAACTTGGTGCTCTTTGATCAATCACCATTTCTGCTCTCCTTTTTTGTACAGTTAAATCACGTTACATTGTGTTTGTATTCCTAACAGCTTTATCAACACAGCTTTGTTTTTCACATTATTTTTGCATTATTTTTACAATTGCTGTCAACATTAACATTAATACGGTCAAGGCAATTGTGTGTTATTTCACATCTGATTCGTCAATTTTCCTACTCGTTTGCGTCATTCTGAGGATTAAGAATAACATCTGACAATATTTGGGTAAATATCTTGCAAATCTTTTTTAGAATGTCCTTTCAACAATCTGTTTCTTTTTTTCAGACAGTGTTTATGTCTCGTTATTTGTTTGAGTCATAACAAAATCATTGTTTTCGAAGAATAGTGCAAAATTCAAGATCACAGCAACACATTTAAATTGGTTTTTATTCATTACTATTACCGACAACGATCTGTTGCTTTATCAGATAGCTGTAGCTAGTAACTCAACCCGTTCAAATGTGTTTGCTTTTTTTTCAACTCAAAGACAAATTAGATTCACCGAATGACTTTAAAGTGATTCTAATTAGTGTTCGTGATGAGTTTATGGCAAGACCGACATCACCTTTAACTCGTTGGCCAGAAAGTGATATAATTGGTGGTAAGTTATCTGTTAATCAACTTGTTCACAATGACAACATTTTCATCAACAATAAGAATTGAATTATATTGTAATACTTTCTTACCTGATTAAAAAAGTGGTAAGAAAATGTGTTGACCAAAATTTGTTAAACGATCAATATGGTTAGTGAAACAATATTCAGTTCGTGTTTTGCCCTTTTTTCTCTTTTTTTGTTATGTTTCTTGAATATTACAGGAATTATCAAGGCTAATTCTTTTTGATGGTTGTTTCCTCTTCTTTTTAACGGTTCATGTTATCAATGGTTATAATTTTGAAGACAAGAGCGCAAGATAAACAAATCTTCAATAAGAACAACTGCTTAATTAAATAGCAACAGGAACAAAAAGCAAAGAGTAATCAAAAACGATGTTGAAGAGTTTTTGGTTGCTCAGTCAACTGGTTGTTGTTACACACAAGAACACATATTTCAGGTTAGACTTTTTAAAGCCCTACACAATGTTTTACCCTTTTCTGATAATGATGATGTTTATGTTGATGATGAATTCTTTTTATCTTCTTTAGATGCTGGTAGCATAAGGGAAACATGTTTACGAACGGATATATAAATGTGTGATGTCATTTCGAGCGCATTTTTTCTCTCCTTCTCCCTCTCTCATTTTATCTGACTCCCTTTCATTTCTCACTCTAATTTGATGTAGCCAAAAGGACAGACTCCGAGGTGCAGTTTTCTCCATTGATCCAGTTACCTTTTCATCTTCATTGAAAGAGAGGCAGTAAAATAAAGAGAAAAGGATAGATAAAGAGCGAAACATGTTTCAAAAGGCTGGAGAAAGAGCCTCAGATGGAGAGTAAAAAAATGATGTTCTGAAGAGAAAGTTTACTTTCAACGCCGACTCGATGCATCTAATGACTGATTTAATCTGATTTAACTCCAATGTGACCATATTGTTTTCTCATGAAATGATTCATTTCACTCAATCCTCTTTTTTCTTCTTCTCCCTCTTTTTGTCTCCATTATTTTATCTCCTGTTTGAGTCGTCGAATTTCTTTATCTTTTAAATGACAAATTGTAGATACACGTAGACAGTGAGCAATCTAATTTCTTGCTACAAACAGTGATTCACCTCACTGACCACTGACAACTTGCAATCTAATCAGTTAATTATTGTTGTTTTCTGGTTCTCTTTTCTTCCATTCATTCCGCTTTACCCTTTAATCTAACAGGTTGTTTGTCTGTAAGGATATCCGTTGCTATTTCTATCCAACATATAAACTCGTCATCGCCTAAATATATTAAATTGTCAATTTTTGCTCATTTAAAGGATATAATTTAATTTGCTTATTGATGAACATGTTGCTATTGATGGTTAATTAGTAAATATTTCATATAAATTTTTACTCCAGTTAACTCTTGATCCTAGGAATTGTTAGTATTGAGCTCATTAAAATTTTCATGTTTTCTCTCTTTCTTGTACAATACAGCTCAAGACTTGGAACCTGGAAGAGAAGGTGGAACGTGGTTAGCTGTTAATTCAAAAAATGGAAGAATCGGAATACTTCTTAACATCAAGGAAGCAAAGCATGATCTAAATCCTCATGCAATGGGTCGAGGTAAATTGAACCCATTAACAACTCTACCAGTAAAGAGAAAATAATGATTCAAATGCAATTTGGAGACAATTTGCACTAATTAGCTACTCGATTTAGCATTTTTTTGCTTTTATCAGTGATAAATGTATTGTAGATTTAGCTAATCGGAGAGTATAAAAAAAAGTTGAATTTATTCCAAGTTTCAACGTAAAAACATGAATGATTGATGATTTGGTTAACATTGTCAAGAGACTTTTAGGTTTCTCTTCTCTCTTTTTATTCTCATCTCATCCTGTCTTTACTTTTCATTCTCACTTTTGTCTTCCGATGATCAGTATCATCCATTGAGGATTGGAAAATATATGTTTACTTGGTCCATTAAAAGCCAATAATGATTGCAAAAACATAACCATTCCAATCTAATGACAAGGAAACATAATTTAATTCGCATCTGTTGAGTGTAAAATTCTCATTTTGCATAAATTTTGTCTTTTATTTTTAATTTATCAAAGTAGATTCATGTTCATGTTTAACCAAACGCCAATCATTCATATCCATTCGAATGACTCGACTTTTGAAATAGGGTTGACTGTTATATGTACAAACTAATCACTTTGATTAACCTTTAGCTATTACTTTAATATTGTTACTTTCATACTTTTCGCGTTTCTTTTAGGCAAAATTGTTACCGATTTTTTGAATGGCAATAACAGTGATGAATATTTACAATCATTGGCAACGAATGTTTCTAATTACAACGGATTTACTTTTGTTGGAATCGATTCCAAATCCTGTTCAGCATCATACGTCAACAGTTTTACCAAGCCTCACATTGTCAAGCTACAGCCAGGTGAATTTTTCATCAATACAAATTTGTACAAATCAAATACAATTTTATTGATTCATGATCATTATATTGATCTGTCTAATCGCTGATCTATTTTTTCATTATAAATTAGGTATTTATGGCTTTGGAAATGCAGATGATCCAAGTAAACCATGGAAAAAGGTTGATTATGGTAGAGATAAGTTTGCCAAGATTGTAACAGAACTTTCATCAACCGATTGTAAAGATAAGCTAATAGAAAGATTGTTTTCGTTGGTTTCTGACGATACAAAGTAATGTCATTATTTTTGCTCTGTTTATTCAATCATAAAAGCTTAGCTAAATTAATTTTTGTTCATGTTTAGATTGCCTCATGATGAAAGGTTATGGCGTCAAGCATACGATTGGACAGAAGAGCAGTTGGAACAATTGAATGCACTATTTGTTAAAATTCCTAGCAAAGAATATGGTTCCAGGTATTTCTGACAGTTCCGACAGTTTTCACTACTTGATGTATAAATCTTATAGCGTATTTATGATTTGTATTGACCAACTCATGATTTGGTTTGTATTCATCAGATCAGTCTATGTGAAATTTTGATAATGAACTTTTTAAGTAATTTTTTAGCTGCTTGTTTCATTTTCAATGAAAGGCACTTTAATTATGCTACTTTACTGATTTAAGTTGATTTCTTTTCTCAATCTAACGTTGATTCTTATTATGATTTTACTTCCAGAACTTGGTCCATTATTCTGATCGATGGTCAAGGTAATGGTAATGTTATTGAGAGGACTCGGATTCCACCTATCGATTGCTCTAATAATGATATCACCTCAGAATGGAAAGAAACTTCTTTTTCATTTAAATGCAGTCCAAATTAATTTATCCTCATTGACTTTACACCGTGATCGCATTGAATCGACAAAGTGTTACAGGCAGCATCTTCGTTTACTCCCACTCATAAGATCTATACGCAGAGAAGATTGAAAACTTCAGAAATATTTCATTTGAGATGAGCCATAATCTATTCTGATCGTCGATTTTGTCAAATTCCGTACCCGCTCAGTACGAATATTAAAAAACAAACAGGACAACAATTGTACTCCTGTAATCAAATTACTATAAATAAATGTTACTCAAAAACTATTTTACTTGACTTGAAGGTTTATTTAAAATCGAAAATGGAGATTTAGTGTGTAGCAAAACATTGTGGCCACATGTTATCATATGTAGTTCATCAATTGGATTGCTGAAAGACTTTGAAGCCACTATAAAGTGGTACAGGCAGTGAAGTCGAAAGATTTTAAGAACGAAAATTCATGCAAAATCCTCTAAATATTTCTAATTTCATAAAAGTTTGAATTTCAATGCTCTCTATTGCGGGTACATTACGAATCACGTATTTAGAAAGCTCATTCCAGGCTTCAATTTTTGTCGTCTTCATCTATACTGTCCAAACTATTATCTTGTATACCATTTTTAAGTAACGATTCAGTTTTTCTTTATAAATCGTGCTTAAGTAATAAGTTCGAGAAAAGATAATTTTCATGGAGAGATATTTTGCTAATCGGCTATCATGAAGCTAGTGCACAGCGAAAAATTTTTGAATTTTCTTAAACCTTTTTCATATTCTTCTTAAATTGGCTGTGTTTCAGTTGAATATACACCTTTCATGCTAATAATCGGTAAATCTTTTTTCTATTCTACAAAAATTGAAAACATTTTGAAAATAAAAAATTTTATTCGTCATTTTTCCATGTAACTTGAACAAGTAGATTACGATTTCTTTTTATTTTTCTTTGTACATTTCTTATCCCTGAATCTCTTTGATAAGGAAGATCGAGGCGAGTCGAACGATGGTTAGACGTATGAGGTTTATGCTGATGGTGAGGTTGATTATGATTATATTGTAACCTATGGTGAAGCGTTGAATGATTTGAGTTATCATTATTAAGACGATTAGCATGATTGTGACGATGGTGGAACAAGTTATTATCATGACTTGTATCATTGTGATACCTAGAGTCAGAATAACTACTTCTACCACTGGTTCCATTTAAAGGAACAGCAATACTTTTCAAATTGTGTTTATTACTTTTTGTTTCCTTTCTCAATGCCACAGCTACACTTTTTAATCCATGTTCACTTGATGAATGTTTCCTTCGAGAATCATTCCTCTTTTCTTCTATCAATTTTTCTTTTTCTTTCTTTTCATCCTCTAATAGCTTTTTAGCCAACTTTTCCGCTTCTATTCTGGCCTCTTCCTTCTTTTTAGCTTCCATCTCTTTTTCGACTCCCGATAATAATAACTTGAGCAAATTTTCGGCTTTCGTTTTACGTTCTTTCAATAATTTAAATCTCTCCTCGTAACGTTGCTTCTCTTTCTTTGCGTGTTCTTTGAAATCTTTCAATTCTTTTACATCTTTCAGGCCATATCTGCGCAGCAAGGTCCGTTTTTTAATTGACTTATCACTTAAATGCTTTGTCTTATCAAACTCTACTTGAAATTCACATTCTAAATATTTATCGATTTGATCCAATTTTTTAACCAACTTCTTTGCCATTAAGCCATCCATCGCTTTGACGAAACCAATGTAATCTTTGTACATGACGAAAGCGTCAAAGGTGAGATTTTCGTTTTCGAAACTAAATCTTTTAAATCCAGTATCGTTATTTGTATCACTTTGGCCATTGGCTGATTCTGATTGATCTAGACAAGGAATATGGTATCTTCTAATATCACCAAAAGCTTGAAAAACGTCTAACAATAATTGAGGCTTGGGTTTATCTCCTCCAAACCACTTGGTTGGAAGGCTTTTCAGATGAATTGTATCTGCTCTGAGACCAGGTTTTGTTTCATCCATGGATGGATCATCTCGAAAAAAAGTTTCCCATTCATGTCGACTCGATTTTAATTTTATTTTAGCAGCTTTAACTTTGATTGGTTCTGTGAAACCATTCAATTTTAGACTTGTTCGTTCCAATCTAGAAATCACTGATTCCATTGTTGACTTAGACTCTAATTCAGCTACAAAGTAAGTAAGAAAGGTATAATTATAAGTCAATTCAATTTTCAAAGATGGGAAAAGTGAACGAAATGAATAAAAAGCACACAAGATCACCAAGCAGAGATTTAGAGAAATAAGGTAATTTAGAAAGAAAATTCTTAGGGAAGATAGTCATTTAAACTCGAGGTAAACTCATAGTGTAGTGAAAGAATAGTGTGCAAATAACTTAAATCATTTAGTTCACCGAGCTAAAAATTTAAATTGCAGATCAAAAGTCTAACAAGACCCACATCAAATGTTCATAATAAATAAAATTACCTTCATATCTAATGAATTCCAATGTAGACTTAAGAACTTTAAGACTTTTGAATGTATAAGGCTTGATACGTTTTTTTAGTTTCTCTGTGATCGCGACTATACTTATACATTGGCCAGTTTGTTTGGTACAGGGCAATGCGACTGAAATATAGATTTTGGAGATTGGTTTCAACCACAAGCCAAGAGAAAGGTTGAGTTCAATAAGATCCTCTGTTTTACGACATATATCAGGTTCACCATGTTTTATTTTAACTTCTGCTGACATTGCACTGAAACGGATGACGTGAAAAAGGCAGCCTTAAAGAAAAATCAAAACAGAATTAAACGTAAAATCAAATTATAAAGACATTATAATTGATAAAAAATCTCGGTTTAGTTTTCAGCTCTACCAAACAAACTCCAGATGAACAGGAAAAATACAATACATGTGTAAGACTTCAAATTGAACAGATCACCACATGGCAAATAGACGAGAATTCAAAATAGATAATATCGTAAAAATTACATTATTTACAATAATCGAGGCAAAAAACCATGATTAAAAATAAGAAATTTGATTAACAGATTCTAAGAAACACAAATATTTTGAATTTGCGAAACTGCTGTTTAGTTTCAGTATTATTATTGTTGATATTGGATATCTGAATATCAATATATCGATGAAGATAACGATATATTGATATTCAAATTCAAAACAAAGCCGCTTTTAATTAGAGATGGAAAATAAGCGATTTTTCAGATTGTTGTCCATTTTTGATTAGTTTAGCGAATCAATCCAAATCTATGCTTAATTAAAATATATAACCAATAAATCATGTCTTGTACTTTGTTTTTTAAGCTGATGCAAAGTTTCGACTCTTGAAAATAATAATAGTCACTAATAAACGATTGTTACCGAAATGATTGATTCATATCAATGTAATTGCCCATCTCTGTATTTAATCTAGCATTATTTAATAGTCTGGTCACCATAACCAGTTGTTATTTCACCATAATTCAACTTTAGCTGATTAGCTGTTGATGTGAAATTCAAATCGCAAAGATTTTAGGATCCATTTATCCGGTAAATGTGAAAGCAACACTTGATGTTATGCTAATTGTGACAAAACCAGACGATTTTTTAAAAAATGTTTTACATGAAAAAATTGAATCCAAATCCAAGACAAGTCTTGAATAAGCCGATCAAGGGATATTTAATTTATTGACAGATAATAACAACTTATCAATAGTTTTTATTTAAATTGAGTATAGCAAATATTTTAGTATTACTTCAACTCAATCAAGTGTGAATTCATAAATCAGTATCAAATGCATAACCAAGTGCTTCCATTTAAACAAATTTCTTAAAATTGAAGGTTTAACAATATTCACTTCAGGGTGACAGAAAAAACATTTGAAAGTACATTGTTCGATTTTTTGGCGAAAATTTGAATGAGATCCCTTTGTGAGGTGAAATTAATTCAACATTTCCGCATAACAAAATGTATTAGGTGGGTCAATAAGTCCGTATAAAAACATGCTTCTCTTTTTTTTCGAAAACGACCGATAGGGTGGAATCGTAAAGACAATATTGAAGGTAAACTTTACGAAGTTTCGCAGATTTACCTCAATGTTCTCAAAAGTTATTGGCCATTAAAGGTCAAAAGATCGCTGTATTTTCGTGATTTGATAAAATTGTCTGTCAAAAAAGGCCTATCATTTTCCGCAGTTGAGGTCAATTTGAATCCGTTTGCGGTGCTGATACAGTGGGTTCTTTCGCTATTAGAATATATACACAGAAATTAAAAAATAGTCATGTCAAAATATTTAATAGGCCATTTTCGGCATGATCTCTGAAAGTCGGTAATTTACGGATTTATGGCCTTATCAGGTCTATCATTTCCATTATTTTCCTTATGATCTCAAAAGATCTTAAGGCCATCTTTGATGAATCTAGGAACATGATGATAAATATTCTGCACATCAAGGTTTGAGTCAGAGAGGCAGCCGAAAAATAGCTGCTCCATTCAGCCAAATCGGCTTTTTTGCTACATTCACGTCGAAGTTACAAAAAAGGCCATTTAGGCTGGAAAATCCTTACTGCCCTGTCTAATGTGCCTATTCTGACTTCAATAACTTTGTTTGCCTTCGTTTATCTCAAAAGGTCACATCGTTGGACATCTTTTTTAAGCAAAAAACGGAAAAAAGGACTGTTTTTTCAAGGCCCGTTTTCTGGTCACAATTTTGACTTAGAACCTTGTCGAATTCTTAACGAAACCTTTAAGACTTGAATACTTATAATCTATAAAATGAAAGTTCTCAAACATCGGGAACATATTTTTTATACGGACTTATTGACCCGCCTAATACAAAACCTTTACAAAATGCTGCAGATATTTAATAGTTTGCAAGTTGATCAAAAAATCATTTATTCCTAGCCAATTGTGGATAAAGTACATTTTCAAAATTAAACACAAAAATGTGAACACAATATTGAAATTTTTAACTTTTTTTATTCATTTTCATACAAAATACAAATAATCAGAGTTAAATCAGAGACTGGACCTGATAATGAAAAAGAGATTTCAAATGAAAGAAGAGGCAGAAAACTTGAAATAAAATGGACGGATGATGAAGATGAGAGAAATGGTATGAAAAGGATAAAATCAGGTAGAAAGATAGAGTTTTAAAAGCGAAAGATTAAAATATATAAAATTTAGAGATTTTCTCAGAGATCCGCTTTGGTAGGAAACGAAAGCTTGGCGTACTCAGTTCCATGTAAGCTCGCTAGATGTTGATGGTTTTGAGATTGTTGTTGAGGATGAGGATGTTGATTTGGATATTGTTGCTGTTGTTGCTGTTGCTGTTGAGCAACTTGATGTTGAGCTGCCATTGCGGCAACAACCTGTTGATTGGCCATCATGACACCAGCCAAATTACCTGCTGGGGTGCCATTACCTCTCAAACTGGTGCGCTGTGCAATTACTGGCTTGGGTTTGGTTGGCGGTGGTATTGGACGGTTTTCAGCATTATTGGAAAAATCTAAGTTTGCATAAACTAGTTCATAATTTTCTTGATTTCCCTGCAAAAAATAAGAAAAGAGAATGAGAAAATTAAACATTTAGTGATAAATAATTGAAGCAGTTACAAGACTAAATAGTCTAAAACAATTCATGCTGTTGTTGTTCCCTCGCCAAGTTCAAGCCCAAAATACCCAAGTCAAGGATTAGGATGATGATGAAAGGAATTATTTTTGTTGCTGATTTAAAATCAACAAACCAATCCAATGTGATCACAGTTTGAAGTGTAAAATACAATAATTGCTATTGATTGATCTCTGAATGGTGAAAATGCGATCACATTGAAGGTTTACATTTGAATGGTAAAACAAAAATTGTTCAAATCAGTTTTGGTTCAACTCAATTTTAACTGCAAATTACATCAAATTTGATTAGTGGAAACATGGGAGAGGAAAGTAAACCCCAAAAATATCAAGCTCATTAGTGATGAATTGTACTTGTTAGTAGATTTAATTTGCTGGGAGATTTGGTGATGTGTGTGCGTTAAACTCACATTAATTGTGTGAAGACGAGAAAAGATGAACAAAATGTGCCCAAAACGCAAGGGAAAGAGCAAATTTGATTGTTAATAAGATTAATTTTCAATAAGATTGATTAATAATAAAAAAAAACTATCAACTCACCAAAAAAGTGTAATTATCTATTACAATAGTTGCAAAGTTGCTTAGTGAATTGGAAAAAGGTTGACACTGTTTTAGAGACTTGTAAAGTTATTACAATTACTAGACAAAAAGGTGATTACCGTGTTATTATTAGCTAAATCAAGTCAATAATGATCGAAATTATTTAAGGTTAATTGAAAAATTGGATAAAAGGCAAAAACTGGTTACTCTTCATTGATTTGATTACTCGACATCGGATTAAAACTGATTGTGACATGTTTAAATACAAGTGAAAATTTATTTTTTTATTCCGACATATTTTTTTACTTGAAATATTCATTATTTCAGGATTGAATTATTTTTTTTTGATAAAAAAAGAGTTCAGAAAATATATACTCATGGAGAGAGAGAGAGTAAATGTTGATTGCAATTGAATTTTACACTAATATGTTTAAAAGAGTGGGTTTTGTTGAACAAAATAACTAAATAAAGAATAATAATTGAATTGTGATTGAAATCTTGACAAAAGTTGAAATTTTCATTAAAATCTTTTCACTTTCTATCAATAAATGCTATTGAATTATATAAATATGTAAATGATAAATTAAAGACTATTTGATGAGTTAACTTTCATTGTTACTTATGCACAGTTTTTTGACGATCTTTTTGATTGCATTCGTTGCATTGAGATTTAAAAATTAGCAATTAAGCTAATGCATTTTACAAGGACGGAAAAGGATAAAACTGTGTTCAACTGAACACACATGAAATGTTGAAGATTTGAAGGTTGAAGAATGATGAAAGAAAATTGACGAGGTTGATTATTGCAGTCAAAGTGTTGATAATCACTATTGAAACTGCATAAGTGATGACGATTTTTGCTTTAAAAAGTTGGTTAAAATTGAGTTGTTGTTGAGATTTCAATTTACGATTTCTTTTTTGATGGTTTAACTCTAATCTGGCCTTGAATTGGCGAGAAAACTGACCCTTTGTTGACCCTCGGAGCTTACTTTTTCAGACGGTGGCTTGGCCTTAATTTGATCCGTGTTATTGGTATTTATAGCTTGAGATAGCACTTAAGCATTTAACAGCAATCAGTGAGGAAATCATTTGAAGACAATGATATATTAAAATGAAAAGAAGAGAGGAAAAGAAGAAGAAATCAATTAGATGATCAAAAACATTGTTGTGAGGATTAACCTGAATCAGTCAAGGCTAGGAGCTGAACTTGTTGGTTAGAGGACTTTTTAACAAAAACAGAATGTAAAATGGAAAATGTTACAAAAAACTGAATTTCTTTGTTCAACAGTAAAAATGGGTGAACTGAGAAATGAAGAATGACTGGAAATAAGATGATAATCATTATCTTGATCTTCATGTTTCTGCTTATCACTTGGAATGGTCAAATATAAAGAAACAATCTAAGTTGTGAGTTGACAGAAACTAATTATACTTTCCATGATACAATATAACTGAACCTTATTTTTTTACTCTTGTTTACTATTATCATGATTATAATCATTATCGTCTTTAAATCAGTAAAAAAAGATGAAGTGAAGACCAAATGATAACATTTGCAAAATCAAAAATGGCAAGCAAAAAATGATGAAAGTAGTGAGAAAAAGATATATAGAGAGAGAGACTAAAAAAGATTGCCTCCATTCCAAAAGTTCAGTTCAGTTCAGGTTAAATCATTGAGTCTCTTATTAAGTTACCTTGAGCGTCTTCTTTAGCTTCTTCATCGTCAACATCGTCTTTTTGCTTTCTTCGACATTTCATTAGCATCATCAACAAAAAGCTTAACAAGATTGTAGCAAAAATAACCGCTAATGCACTGGCAACCACAAGTCCCATTGAGATGGGTGAGACAACCTGCGATTAGAGAAGAAACAAAACATCATTAGTATAATAAAGTATAATTGTTCAATTTAAATATTCTTATCAAGAGTTGAGTTAACCATTCAGTTAGAAATGCAAGACCAAAACAGAATATGGAATATTAACATTCGCAATGAATATTAACATTTTCAAGAGTTGATTTTGAATTTAACCTTATTAACTGCTATGACTTATAATGAACACATAACGGTTAAATAAAAGATGAACATAAATTTAATCTTTAGTTTAAACCTGAGTCATTGGGTGTAAATGCATGCAAATATACATGTAAAGACTCATGTAAACATTTTTACCTTGAGCCTTAAAACTCTTGATGCTACACCGTACTCATTTTGTACATATAGAGTGTAATCCCGTTCATCACTTATATCTGTATCACGAATCTCGAGGTGTGCTTCGTAACACTTGTAATGATTGGACGATGAGCGTTTACTTTGAATGGCGCTGAAAGGTAGACTTCTATGGCGAAGTAAACTGTGGTTTGTTGATGATGGAGACTCCGAATTAGAGTAATCAATTGATCTAGAAGAGATAAAATGAAAGCAGTCAATTAATTGATGGACAGTGCACAAACAAACATTGAACAGAGCCAAAGCATTCAAAATTATTTATTGCAATGTAATAATTTGGCGGAACCAAATGTTTGAAGCTCTGTCAATCAATGTTTGACATGAAAAACTGGAGAGGCAAAATCAAACTGAAATGTGTTGACTGGTTGTGGTTATAAAATCAAAGTTTACTTCAATTTCAGAATATTAATCAAAATAATCAATTGATAATTGATTTCCAATCTTTCAGTCGATGTATTCAGTTTGCTAGTCATATGCCAATGTTTATTACAAGACGTACTTTACATCCAATTGAATTGAACCATAATGCCAATAAACTTTAGAAGGAGCAGGATCACTACAGAAGTCAAGTGTTAATCGACTTTCTTGGCCTCGAGGTCCTTCAACCAACATCGGTTCCTGAAATCAATATAAAGAGAAGGTTAAAAGACAGTTTTAATCATGAGATATGAGGACTGTAACAAAGAAACCTTTCCAAGTAACCTTTCAAATTATCATTGAAACAATTCTTATGCAGTAAGACATTATATGATATAACAACTTTAACTCACAAGTACCCAGCTAACAAGAACTGGACACACGATTAGCATTGTTTTTTTTATGAATAACATTTTGTAAAGCTATCTAGATGAAAAGACTTGAAGACAAAAACATTATGTTTGATACAAAACTGATTAAACATGGTAATGATGTTCATAAAATGGTCAATTGGTCAATTATAATAATGGATTAAATGAAGGCAACATTTTGTTCAAGTTGTTTCAATAGAGATAAGTTGAAATGTTTTTCAATTTCTTTGCTTCTGCTAATCTTTCGTGATAATCTTTCATTGTGAGTCTTTTCAAAAAGGTAACAATAATTAAATGATCTTAAATATACATCAAAAGTATGCAAATTTTTCAAGATAAAAAAGACGATCAAATCGAAGCGGTGACAGCCAATTTCGTTATATTGATCATCAAGAAGGTTCAATGTACCGATAATAATCAAATATCGATATCGATTTTTAACTTTGTGAGGTTTCCTTGTTGAACAGTGTTCCTATGAATTATCACTTAACTCATCCCATTTTAGTTAATGATTATGAAGAAAACCGAAATTTGATTTGAAAATGAAAATGAAATTGGTGAAAAAGATTAATGATAAAAATGCGAGTAAGTATAAATAAGGTTGAAATATCGTTTTCACGCTGCAAACAAACATTACTGGAATTAAGTGATTACTTGAAATTACATATCAGATCGTGATAAATTATCAGCACAAAAGGTATCAAAAGGGATTGATCAAAGTGGCCTAAATTTTGCGCATTTCAACAGATAAACTTTAGAAGGTAAAACATACAAACGTTACTAACATTTGAGAAGGTAAAATACAGTAGAGATGATAGTAATGAGTTGCTTCAGTCATGTAAAAAAAGGTAATTTAATGAGGTAGGTGAAAGGATGTAATTGCCTCAGTTGTTGCTCTTCTTTACCTTCTACTTTTCGTTCAACCTTCTACACTTCAAAACTCCCTTTCATCATCTTTACAAAATTATTGGACAAATCATCATAGTAGTTGATTTTAACCATAATCATCATCATCATCATCTAATTTCCACTTCAATTCTCTCTCCTAAAAGTGAACAGAGCATTGATTATTTTACTCTTTTTTATTACCATTTCTCTCCATCTCTATATCTTGTTTCATTACTTTCTAACACTTTCATTTCAATGGTTCAAATCCCTTAATTGGTACCGAGTTTAACTGTCCAAATAGTGATGATAAAAAAGCCAAAAATGCGCAAATATATCTGTATATCTTTGATTGTTGACTTTTGTTTACTTGCCTTGAAAGCTTAAAACCATAAGCAACATCAATTTATTGGTTAACCTCACACTGAGTTAGGCATTTTGATCACATAGAGTCAATAGTAACAGGGTAAATAAAGGTTAAAAAGTTAGGTAAAAACGATTGAAACGATAAAGATAAACTTGAAAAGTTTTATCGTCAGTCGTACGTTGGCCTGGTCTAGTGAAAAGATGTACGCACACCCTGTTATACTAACATTGATAACTATGATGTAACTCGAGAAAACTGAAAATTATTGTGAAAAGGTAACCAGAATGATAAAAACAAAACACAAACACACATAACAATGGTACAATATCAACTTCCTAAAACTATTCTTTCGTTATTTAGTTTCACCTCTATCAGTAGGAATCCTTTAAGTTTAATGATTAACATGATGACATGTGCAAAGGCACATTTATTTGTTGTTTTTGTTTCCGATCTTGCCCGACTATTATTACAAAATGTGGCTTTACATTTTTTTAGGCTTTGAAACAATAGTTTACCGTTTAACTCAAATAATAGATGATCATTATGATGATGGTTATAATGATGAGGACGATGATGGGTGAGATGGTGTAAAAGCTGACTGGCAATCTTGATGTCTGTAAATTGGCCGCTTCTTTCATATCATTTTTACCTTTTATTTCATTTTTCCTGCCCTTTTCCACTTTGAAACTACTTTTCATTCAACTTTGTTATGACTGTTGATAATTTGTTCAATATAACAGATAATCACCAAGTATTGTTTCAATGAAAGGTAAATTGAGAGATATTCCAATCCTTTTAACCTAAACTGTTACACTACTCAATGTTACATGTTTCATGGATTACTTTAAACATTGACTTACCATATGGGGAAAAGCTGGAACTCCGTAAATATCAAGAACCATCAGAGGACTTTTGATGACATTGGTTATATCGTTGATCATGTTAGTTGCTTGACAATAATATTCACCTGTTAATAAAAGATGAGATAAGTGAATTTGACTTATTTTTCAAATAAATAAATGTTTAAATCTATTAAATGGAATCTTGCAATTTCATCTTATAATTAATATTGTAAGAATGGAAATTGATTTTGATTGTGATTGTGATGATAGGAAAGCAGGGTCATAATGATACCTTCATGCGAGTATGAAGCATTATAGATGTACAAAATTTGATTGTTATCCGAAGGCATATCGATTTTGTGATGCTGACCGGTTCTTGGATCAATTTGGTACCAATGAACTTCGGGTTTAGGATTACCATCAAAATAACAATGAAGTTTGATCGATTTTCCTGTTTGAACAGTTTGCTCAGATGAATAATTGACTGAATGAGGTGGATCTGGAGAAACAACAAAAAAGAAAGAGAAACAAAGACAATTGGTAATCATATTGAATGGGTCCACTTTGATAACCAGAATACAAAAGTAAACTTTAACTTACAGAGAACGTCAAGTCGGACGGAAACAGGTCGAGCAACACCCTTTGCATTTTGAGCATAACACTCATAAACAGCTCCGTTCATGTCTCGTTTTGCCTCTTCAAAGAAGAGCACTCTTGGTGTCTCCAAAGAAACTGGATCACCTGAGGAGAAGGTGAGCAAAAAAAAAATGTGCCGAAAAATTAGACCAATAAATGAAAACACCAAACCAATAAATAATTGATTGCAATAATAAACGTAAAGAGCAGTTATTCAGTCAAATCATTGGAATCTATCCTTTAACTAACCGTCCGGTAAGTCAAGAGTAGCAAAAAATTTACAGCTCTTATAACAACTTTCAATTTATCATTTTAAATTGACGGGCTACTTGAGTCAAGTTGATCTGGGGCAAACTTTAATAAGCGCACGCATACAAATAGATACTTAAACTGAATAATATGTAGACACAAAATTGAGCTAAAGTAGAGTTAATGATGAGAATCAAAACGGCCTAAAATTTAGATTCTTCAAACAAATGTTTTTAAACGTATTTCAATTCAACCGATCAATTACTGGAACCAATTTTTCTAAACGCAATATTTCGCTGAAAAACATACCGAAAATGAAAATTTGAAAATGATAATAAATAAGCAAATATTTGTGAACAAAATTAGAATCGGTGAACAATAGATAGTTCACTTTTTGTACTTAAAAAAAGTTGAAACTATCTGTTGTGGTATCAATATACAGAGTGATCGGAAAGTTTCTGGTGTGAGGCGCTTTTTCCCTTTACCCAGAGACACTGTTTGGTTTGTTGCTTCAATACGCTCATCTAAGCATCTTCTAAACAGATATGGCTCCACCCCACGCACCAGAAACTTTTCGATCACTTTGTACACTAGTAGTCAGGGTTGAGTTAATTTTTAAGTGTCCCCATCTCGCGCATTTACCGTTTTAAGAGACACTGAACAAAATCTAAAAATTGAATTCGATCTTAAAGTATTTGTACTTTTCTTAGATGGCGACTATGAAAAAAATCTCCAATTTTCTTAACTTAATCCTGACTAATAGTGTACATAGTATTAATAATAATGTATTTTACAACAAAAATTGACCTGAAAAGTTTATATATGTATATTAATACCTAGATTTAAACTAAAATGTACCGGGTGTGGCATAAGTTAGGTACAGCATATTTTCGCGAATAACTTTTGGACAGATAGAGATATTTTAAAACGGTTTTTCTCATTGTAATCAGCGCTTCTTCGATTGTCATTTGACTATAGCTTTAGTTTTAGAAAGTCCAACTAGACACTAGCTGTGAAATCAATTCACGCTTATCACAAGGTTTAAGATTCATTTTCTTATTTAATTCTGACTTGATGGTGCATAAATATATATCCTTATATTCAAATCCTTTAGTCTAAAAACGGTGACTTTATGTCAAGTCCATGAGTAGCCATGGATAAAAAACCTTTTGGCTGCAAACTTTTTACCATCTTAAGGATTAAAAAGATGTTGCAGTCCCATTTAACCTAAGATAGCCATTATTGTGCCCTTTTAAATGATCTTTTAACTAGTTATCTGAAAGTTCTCATGAACAATAGTATAAAAATGTAGTCTCCTTTTGCCTTTGTTGAGCCTTTTCTGCCAATTTTCGTTATAAAATCCAGCAAAAACCTAATGGAATTGGCTTGAGACCTTCTCTGAAAAATCACAAAAAAATCGAAATCTATTTTATATAGTTTTTCATGGCACCAAATGTCAGTTTTAGATTAAAAAATGGATCACGTATTTGAATTAAGTATAAAAATTTGAATTGATGTAAAATTTTCGGAAAAAAGGTTAAATCATGAAAGTAAATCTAGGCCATCTTTCTTTAGGTCCTCTGCACTGATATCACAAATCAAATTAAATATATAAATGTACATAAAATGATAAACTACTCCTGTAATAACAGAACTGCGTTTCTTTGTTGAGCATTAATTTTGTTTTTATGATCATCTGATTGGTGTAATTATACCTTTGATTGGATCGATGGAGAGAAAATAAAGAGTTTCAAAGTTGAATAATTCTAATCACAGAAGCCTTATTTATACCTTAACTAAAAAGCAACACAACTTTTTTTCCTGCACGAATAGTTATCTTTACTGATAATGGTCCAGGAAAGGTTTCAATCGCAAACTTACCTTGAGCTTGATTCTTCCAGTAAACTGTGGCTGGAGGATTAGCATCAACTTTACATTCAATGTTGATTCTTGATCCTTCCTTAACAGAATAGACAGCTTTAGGTACAGATAGTATTGGTATATCTGTTGATTTTAAGAAAAAATGAAATGATTCAGAATTGTTCAATTTTTTTCCATAAAATAGCCAAGTAAATTATACTGAGAAACTTACAGAGAACTTCAACCGTAACAGAATCTGAAGTTGATCCGGTTGGATGGTGAGCTTGACATGATAGGGTTTGATTATTATGCTCCTGGCTGAATTGATATTGTAATTTAGACATGGTTAAAATGTCTCCCTTTCCAGTTGCTACAGCTGGCATTGTTGACCGAGAAACAGCCTAAATGAAGAAGCAAAAAATCGGCATACAATGAAAGACAAGTATTAAGCAAAAGGATATCAGGTTAATGTAACCCAGTGAAACTGAGAAAACCAAAGCAAAAGGCAAAAAATGTTTAACATTTGCTGTATTGACAGCTTTTTTGCAAACCTTTTTGGTTGCTAGGTTTTCACTGTTTTATATTTGGACAAAAGCAAAATGAAGAAATGTAAAGGAAAATGGAGAAGAAAAAATACACAAAACTTTGAAAGTGAAAAAGAGGACAAAAGCAACAAGAGTAACTTGAAATGGAGAAAGGAAAGAGGAGAGAAAGAAAGAGAAGGAACAATTGTAATGGTCAAGCGTAATGACCTGGACAATGATATGGTTCGGTAGGCTTTCAGGTTAAATTGTGCCCATCCAGGTAGCTTTCAAAATGCTCGTGTGCCAACGTTTAACGTTGTTCATTTCTCATGTTAATTCTGTTTCTTATCTTTTCCAATTTTTTTTTACTTCTGTTGTAATTCAGCAGACATGGGAAAGTTGGATGATCATTTGAAAGAGAGGAAAAGCTGAAAATGATTAACAGGAAAAAGAGGCGAATAATGCAATTTTTTGTATTAGATAAACATGCCAATTTATCACCTCTTGGAAAACTATCGATCTTTATTCGTCCAAGGATGACCTGGTCAACCATTTGCAGTAAAAAAAGAGCTCTCATCCAGTTAGTTTAACAGAATTTAAATTCCATGTTTGACACGCTTGATCAAAGTCAAGCATCATCCTGGTCTTTTCATTAGTTTTTTACTTCTAACCTTCATCTCAACAGCCAATTGCAACCATTATTGCTAAAGCCCAACTATCGTGAGGCCATTTTTCAAGGCAGAAGGTCATTAAACGAAACAATTAGGGAACAGTTTCTTTTTTTGGTGAGAATGACAAAATTGATTAGCAAGAAGGAGATGGAGAGAGGACAAGGAAGAGAAGCTTAAAGTTTGCTTTTTTTTCGTGAAATGGTAAAAATTGTTGTTTCATTGATTGAAATATAAATTAACAATCAATCGAGAAGTAATTAACTAAAAATGTTTACCAAAAATTAACTATCATTTTTGAATCTCTATGCAGACACTTCTTTAAACAGCAAACCATAAAAAAGGTTGAGGTAAACTTATAATTTGTAAAGTAACATTTTTAAAATGAAACCAAATACTTTTTGTTAATTGATCGTTTTTTTACAGCAACTTTACTAACACTCAATTATCAAACAAAATGTAACAACAAACTTTACCCAATTAGCGAGTTCAATGACTAAATAAATGTTTGCTCATTGTTTTCATGTTGACTTGCATTCGGTTAGCACTAAAAAGACACAATAAGACTCAATAAACACAAGATAAATCTAGTAGAATCTTGAAATATCTATAATTTAATTTTTTAACAGCCCATAATAATGATTGATCAAAGAATGCTGCTAAACTTTATCGAAATACTGATGTTCTAAGCTTTTAGGCCAATGGCCAAAATGAGAGAATTGTTGATCAATTGATAAAAAATGTCCTTTTTGTCCTTTTAGCACTAATCGAATGGTTAGAAGCAAATTGAACCTCGAAATTTACTGCACTTTTGTATTTCTTTCATTTTGCGTTTTCTGGTTAATACATCAATTTGTCTACCTGGTCAGTGATGTTTCGACCATTAAGGAACCATTCAATTGTTGGTAACGGATTTCCATTGTAAACATTACAAGTAATGACTTCACTTGAATTGGCCGTAATAGGTATCACTTGAGCGTGTCTCGGCTATAATGGGAAAAGAATTGAGAAGAGAAGATAATTAATTTTGGAATCAATGAGAATATAAATTATTTCATATAAAATTAAATATTTGAATAGCAAATAATTATTCACTTGATAATTGGTTAATTCCTGTAAATCTGCTGGAGCTTGAAAAAAGTTGGACTCATAATGAACATTTACAGTTCAATTCAACAATTTTGAGCTTATTCAACCCAATAAATAAAAAAGGTTCATCTTGTTAATTTGTTTCAAGAGTGAATAAAAAATTTAAAACATCACTTGTGAGTTTATATTTTTTGAATAAATAACAAAAAATATACAAATCTTGTTCATTTTGGTGAAACAATCTATTCACTTAGTGACCTGATTATTGTTGAAAAATAATTTGCATTTATATATGTTTGACCCTTTTAAAGTTATGCTATTCAATTGTTGGTTAACTTGTTGGACCAGTATTTTTATAGAAAGGTTGAATATGAAAAAACTAAAACAAGAGAAACTTGACTCATCAATTATCTAAACTTAGCTGATCAGATTGAAACCAATAAACTTACCGTTCTTTCAATATGAGGTCTATCAGGCTTTACCAAGACAGTTATGGTAATAGGTTTTGACACCAAACCTTCGCCTACTCCTTCCAAAGGTGGAGTTACCTGGCATTGCCAGAGACCGTCGTGTTTCTCCAGCGATACTTTATTTATTTTAAGGCTACAATCACCTGTAGAAGTGGACAAGAAAGAGCATGAATACAACATTGATTATACTTTAAATGTGAATCAGTGATACAATAATGATACATTTTTTTGTGTTAAATTTTTGCTGCCGTTCTATTTACATCTTTACTGAGAAGATGAGGTGATTAAATGAATGGAACAGAAACTGAATGGATAACAATTGACAATCAATACTCAATTACAATGTGAACAACAATCTTAATAACAATAATCAATGAAAGGAATCCGTTAAAACTAGTAATTGGTTAGTTAAAGGGAAGAAACAAACGAAACAAAAAAGTATTAATGTTGAACTAAAAAAAACAACAATTCCGATGAGAAAGTGATCAATACAGATTAACATGATTCTTCCAATACTCATGTTGTACTGGCGATAAATTTTGTTCCTTTTTTTCTTGAGCCTGAATTTATTGATAACTCTTTTTTTTCGTTTCAAACTCTTCATCAAACGCTATTCATTTTATTTGTTAAAGGTGAAATAAAGAAGGACAAGAGAGAGAAAGAATGATAAGTTTGAAAGAGATGCAGTGGTGATAATGATAATGTTGTTGTTGAAGATGATGATGATTATAATGATGAAAATGATGGTGAAAGATGAGGCAGCAAAATAAAAGAGGGAAAAATGAAGCAAAAAAAACTATTAACGGCAATTGGATGGATACATGAGAAGGTGTAATGTTAAATGCGTTGTCACCGTGAGACTCGTGAGGGTAAAATTAATTGGAAAAAGTTGATTAAATGAAAGATTTTGGTGAATTTTCTTCAATCTGAAAGCATATATACAGCTACGAAAATTGAGTTTGTGCTTATTTTTAAATCATTTACGCATTTTGATATGTCATTTTTACACTGGTTTTTAATCAAAAAGATTAGATAAGTTATTGATGTTAGGTCTAACCATGTTAGGTTGATGTAAGGGTTATCCAACCAAATACTGATTAAAATTGTTAAAATGAAATCATATCTTTCTTTTTGATTAAGATGCGTAAATTTCATAAAAATAAGCACAAACTCAATTTTCGTAGCTGTATAATATATAATTATCAACACTTATCAATGGTCAACCTGAAATGCATTTCTAGTTGATTCAAAAGTATTCAATAAATGGAAAATTTGAATGATGATAAAGAACTAATTGATTACTAAATTAAATAAATAAAACTACTGTTTTCATTCAATTGTGACACTGTGATTTTTTTGAAATTGTTTTTGCCAGTTTTGATGTGCGATAAATTAGACCTGAATTTCCAGTGTAAAAATAACTTTACAACTTCACTCAACGATTATAACAGTAAATAACAATTAATTAACTAAACAGGAATAAAAAATGTCCAATGTGACCACACAGATCAAATGTAATCAGTGGAAGAGGAATAGGAAAAAAGAAGCATTTCATTGATGTACAGAGCTGCAAATTTTGGCATTTCATGGTTGTCAGTACCAACTGTGCATCATTATTTTCATTGAAGATCATTGAAAACGATTTTCAATATAATTGGAAGAACCAGAGAAAGAGAGAGAGAAGGAGCGGAAATAATTCACAGAACGCTGAGTACGGAAGTTAATATGCAAAATGGTGAGAAAAGAGGAGAGCAAAAAAGGCTTACCATTAGCAGGGCTTCCTGTCCAAACGGCAACATTGTTATGGTTCCATACACAGCTTCCCTGCAAATTTGTCACTATGCAAGGCAGTGTTAGGCCGGTTCCTGGATGAGAGGGAAGGAGAGGGAGAGAAAGAGATGATTAAATTGAATAACCAGTTGATAGATGACAATTGACGGGTGACAATTGAGAAACTTATCAGGGAACATCATGTTTACTGTTTTCCAATGTTGTAATGTTAGTACAATTGAAGAGAAGAGAGATTGAAAGATTTTTTGATGGAGCACCGAGTAAACATTCACTATTAATTCATTGAAACTGGACGGATGACAAAACATTCATTCACAGGTTAGATTCCATGGTGTGGGTCAATCAGAGAACCATGAAATCCTCCATCAACATCAACTCAATGGAATCAAGACAAATCAAAGACAACAGCAAAATACTGGGTACACAAGGCACACACTTTAATGTTCACATTTTTACCAACAATTTAATTTCCTATTAAATCAAAGTTGAAAGTTTTAGATCAACAAAAGGAAAGATAGAGATGAAATGAAATGAACGAAACATTAGAAGCTAATTTTTTCCCTTCTGATAATGAAGAAGCGGAAAAATGTGAGGAAAAAAAACAGTGTTCACTCAAAGAAATTAACGGTTGGTTTGCTGAGGAACAATTTTGATGAAAAATAAAGTCATTCAGATAAAAATTCATCTGTTGCCATGTTGACCTTTTTCAGCTTTTCTTGGACAGATTTTTTTTCCATTCTTCATTCTCTTGTTATTTTTCACCCTTGCATCTATTTTTTATCAACGAAAATGTTGCATTGTAATTTCAATCAATCCTGATTTGATGAACATGATGGTTGCGATATACCAAAACAAAATAATCCTTAAAAACTGTAACAATTGAAATATTTCAAGTTGAAAAGGAAATTCATAATAAGAACAAAATTTGCTGTAAAAAGATTGTAAAGGCAAATGAAAAGGTTTTCATTTTAAGGTTAAATGGATGATGAACTTGAAGCTTATTTGAAATCTCGAAAAGGTGATATAAAAGTAATAATGAAACAATAAGTTGATCAACTGGGTGAGTGAAAGAGTTTAACTGAAATACTAATTAACTATCCAATTTAAATGATTTGGATTGAAGGAATAACAATTTTAAAAATGAAAAGATGCGTTAAGTGGTGATAAATAAATGATAATTATTCATTTATAGCAATTATGAAGTTAAACATGAAACTAAATGATCAAGAGCCTAAGACCAACTCTCATTGGTGATGATAATGAAATAAGCAAAGGATGAAATTGAGAGGTTACCATGAAAAGCTATCACTTAACAGGTAACTCAATAGCCTAAGTCTATTAAAAACGATGAAACAATTTCGTGTTAAAATTACACGCGTCTTGAATCATCTAATTGAAACTCATGTTGACAGCCTTAAGCTGAAATACAAATTTAGATAATCGAGTGAAATGCTAGTGATTAAAAATATAATTGATAAAATTGTTTAAGATTCATCACTAGAAATCATTATACCATTGAATGATCAATGATTGCGAACCATTTCACTCTATTAGTATTGATTGACAATTTAGTAAATGAAGTTGAAATAAAGTCTTAAACAGTATCAACTAATCAGTTGAATATGGTTAATGAGATGATCATTAGGTCATCTTGTTTCCTCGCCATCTCTTCATCTTTATCTTTCTCAATCTTCTTCTTCTTCTTGCATAATAGTTATTACTTAGTTAGGCCAAAGACTAACCAAGTTTCCGTTTGACATTTTCTGGTTTTTTGTTTTCAGACTTTTTCTTGCTGTTTCTATTTCTTTTCACTATTTTCAGTCTGCAACTGAAAAAAGTCGAGTTTAAGTTTGTCGTGTTAATACAGTGATGAGTAACCAAAAATGATGATCACACGATGACGATGTTGACAGTAATTATATACATAACAGATTGAGGATTGAAAATGAGTAAAATCACTTAAATAGTTAGATATATTTATATATTTGTAGATATGCTTACGCTTATGCTTTGCTACCTCACATGGTGAATATAAAGTCTAATGTCCTTAGCAAAGAGATACACAGAGAGATGATGAAGATAAAGATGAAGCACCAGAGAAGATGAAAAGAGAAGGTCGATGAATTATCTTCATCTTTCCTCTGTAACTTTCTAAAATTAACCTTCACTTTCTTTACATTTTCAGGCTTTTCTCCTCTTTTTATCCAATATATTTAGGAGGTTTAATAGGTAATTTATACTTTAATCTGGTCAAAGAATTTCAAGTTTCATAAATAGACCAGCGAAAAAGTATAAGGTTTAACAACAGGCACAAATGACCTTTTAAACAAGCACAAATTCAACTTTCGTAGTTGAAAATATTGGATTAACAAATACTGTAAGTCCTTGGTTAGTGCACAAAAATGTAGATCAAACTTCCTCCAGGAAAAGTCAGTAAGGTGGCGTTTTTTCCACTAAATTTACACTGGCAGTAACAAAGGATTTACTGTAGTCACAATAACACAAATACACAAAACTAAGTCACCAGGCAATTTTAAGGGATAAACCCAAAGAGTAAAGAAGAAACGGCTCTCCATTGGAAACAATGGCAGGAATGCCAGCTAGAGGCGCTCCCACCAGTCGCTCATTTCAATTGCTTTGAAATTTAATCTTAATCTAATTTAATTATCTAATCTAATAAAAATATCTTGTGATTACCTTTAATCGCCAATGGCACTTCGTAAGCACTTCACAAAATTGTATTGAGTGAACCTTATTCTCCTTCACTCTTTGGGATAAACAATTGTAACAATAATAACGTTGGTAGAGTAAAGTTTTTCCAGGTTTTAACTTACCTTCGGCAATTGTAAGATTGTGGCCTGGCGTGACTGCGAAGTATTGTGAAAAACCTGATGAAAATCGAAAAGAAAGTAAAAAAATTGTTAATTTAATCATTGTGTTCCGGATGACGTTCAGATGAAGAATGTGTTCAGTCAACAATCATTTACCACATTTAATGTTGACCTGAAACTGAATCAATAGCTGATTCTTTACCCCATGCTCCATCTGTTGGATCGATTGAAAACTTAAGTAAAAAAAATTAAGTTCTGGAACTCAATCTAGTATTTAGAAACACGCAATAAAAATAGATTTAAATTTGATAGATTGTGTGGATTTCTAATTAATAAAAAACATTTGTTTAATGAATATTCAAACAAGTTAGGCTTAAATTAACATAGTCAAATGTAGCATCAACTTTTTATACAATTATTAACATTATTCACAGAGGAATCGGAAGTTTCTATATGTAGTTTAAATTAGCTGGTTGTTAATTCATCCTCTAACCATCGAGGTAGGTTTTTATGAATACGAGTAAGAAGCTTGGACAAAGCAACATTGTAAGGTAAGTAATAAGTGCGTAAAAATTTTTCAGATTTAGAGTCAAGAGGTGGATAAATGCGTCCTTTACCACGTCCAAGGCACTTGGTTCCATTATTTTTTATTACTTGACAATAGTAACCTTTCTTCGGATCAAATCGGATGAGATCTTGATAATCAATAAAAGGTTCAACTTCTAGAAAACTTTGAACACGACTAACAACGGAAACAGGATCAAATTTCAACTCTTCTCCATCAATGATAAATAACTGCAATAGATAGAATGATTATAATTTATTCACAATTAGACTTGTTTTAAAGATAATTGAAACAAACCTTGCTAGGAGTGTAAAAGTTAATCCATTTTTCCAAATAGGTAGCATAACAACCAGGATTGAGGCATCTATTTCGTAAACTACGTAAATGTTTTGGAGCCTTTTCATCTGCCGTTATTACTTCATAGAACGAATAATTTAAAGCGACAGGGTCATGGTGAGATCGAGCGTGCTATATCATAACGAATAGAAATTTTTAATGGAATGAAATTAATTAATTAAATTAAATTAATTATAATAATAAAGATCAACTAACCTGATACCAGGAATAAGCGCGTCTCACTGGGTTTATCAAAATGGCAATGATTTTGGCATCAGGTAAAAGAGAATGAGCTCTCATTGGAACTAGATCACCATCGAAATAAGTGGCACTTTTCTCAAAGAATAATAGTTGCGAGGTTGAGTTTTTCACTCGAGGTGGGTAAAAGTTCATGTACCAATCCAATCCTTTGAAATAATTTTTACCACTGAAAAATTGTACCTCTTCGAATGTTTCAGGGCTTTGGCTACTACTTCGAATGGATGGATGCATCGTTAGAAAAGTGTACAAAGCAGTTGTACCAGTTTTTTGAGGACCAATAATAAGGAAATCAGGCAGTTGAGAACAGGACTTATTTGAGGACCAAAGAGAAAAGTGTCGTTTATCTTTACATGGATTCTGAATGAGAGATAATCAAAACAAAATTTCGAATATATTATAACTGAAAATTAAATGATAATATGAGCAAAAAAATTAAAACTTACCATCCAGATGGGATCAGATTCCTCAGGATGCATTTGGAAATACTTATTAGCTAATTCAACTGGAGGAATTGTTGATAGCTGAATGTTTGTCCAACACTTAACGAAATTGATAACAGACTCGAATGTATAAAGTGCTAGACGGTCATTACCATAATTGGACATGTGAGTCATGAAGACATTAATAGGATTATAAATGAAAAGGTAGAATAATTCTCCACCAAAAATGCTAGCATCTAATTTCGATCTACCTCCAGGATATTTATCAATGAAAATGGTGTGTGTATAAAGACCACAAGTTTGTCGTGGTAAAACCATAATTCCTCGATGAATGAAACCTCTTCGTAACTGTGCTGGACGTAAATGAGGATATTCTTCCGTTGATGTAGCTCTCACATTCCAAACCAGCTTCCATGCCTCATAGAGAGGTTCATGAACTGGATAAACTCCAGAATGGTGAGGAGCCACTGAGTAGCCTGAATCAATAGGAATATTATTAGAATGGGCAAAGTCTTTGTTCATTCTCATTCGTATTTCTAGGGCAGTGATGTTTTCTGTTAAATGGGGCTGTGAATGTCCCCACATATGACAAAACCACCAAAATTCGTGAGCATTGGCAATTAACATGTCATCTCCTTCATCTTCTTCTTGATTTCCGCGATGATAATATTTTCCAGAAAAGCCAAGGTTAAACTTGAATCCAGGAATGATTGTCTGTAAACGTGATTGTGCTTCAAGTATTGCTCGAACATCATTAGGTTTTACACGAGTTCCAACTTCACCAACAAATATATCATCAATATCAATCAAGATATAACGATCTAGTGGACGGCTCAATTTACCATGAGATAAATAAGATAGAGAATCAATGAAAAGTAAACGATTTATCCAATGATCGAAGCCAGATGAAAAAATAACCCTTTGAATGCCATCAAATAATCCTTTGTCCTGAAGAACAGTGGAAACAGTTTCTTCATAAGTAGAAAATATTTCAAATTTTTCATTTTCCACTGATGTTGATTCTTCTTCACTTGAAACTGAATATCTGTGTGTTCTGTTTTTAATATTATAAGTTTCTGGATTAAATAGATAAGCTTTTGTTACTGGTCGGTAACTGGAATGGTTAGAATGGAAAACATTAACTTTATGGTGTAGCATTGGACCTGGATTAAGATAACCGGGCTTAGTTAGACGCAATATAGTCGATTCTTCATCCACTTTAAAATCACGTATAAGCATATTGTAGTCGATTGTAATTGGAAAACCGGTAATTTCTTGATTTGGGATGGTTCCTTCCTTATTTGGAATGAAACCAACAATTCCAGCCTTATATTCTCTACAATATTTATCTAAAATTTCACGATTCCATTTATCCATATGTAGATATTTTTCGATGTTTTCAAATATAATCACAGCAAATTTTCCTTTATCTGAATTGGTTAAAACAGGCAAACTCTTGACCAATGTTTCAAACTTGAACTTTATCCGTGTTGCCTCCAAAGTCTCTATCAGCATTTTACCAAGATGGGAATATCGACTCTCTACAAAAAGCAGAACTTTTGAGTCCAGATCTAGTTTGGTTTGATTGATGTAAGGGTTGAATGATTGTTGAGGCGAATAGAATCGAGATCTGATTTCATAATTGTAATTGGATTGGCAACGAAAAGTTACTTGAGGTGGAAATCTGACTAGATTGTAAGATGATGAACCTAAGGATAAGCGATAGGTCAATATCAGAATAATGATGATTGTGATAGAGATTGATATCAAAAGTCCATGTCTGATAAAAATTATTCGTTGAATCCATGATCGTCTTACAGGAAATTTACGTCTAACAGAAGCTCCTAATGTACTTGGATGGATTAATGGGCTTTTCAAAAAAGTCATGTTAGCAATTTTCTAAAAATTGTTGATTGTTTATTGCAGGAATGATCCAATAAGAAAAAAGCATTATTTGAAAGTCCTACAGATAGAAGATAAAAAATGACATTAACTTTTTACAATAATATTATAAAATCAATAAAAACAAATAGTGATGTAGACTAAAAGTTATACGTCAGATACAATGATTAATATTAAAAATAATTAACTTACTCATTGATAGAAACGGTGGCCATTGTGTTATTTGACTAATTGTCAAAAAAGATTGAACAAATTAAATGAAAAACAAGTGAAAACGATCAAATGAATTGTTGAAAAAATGCACAAAAAAACATAAACAAACACCTAGGGACAATCTCTCAATTTATTATTGCAAATTTTTTATTATGGGTTGGATCAAAAAAGGCATGAGCAAGTGGTAAGTCAGGCGAAGGGTTCCTAAAGATCCTAGCAAAGCCACTTTCCCTGGTCCAGCTTAAGGCTGATTGCAGCTGCTTCAACTTAACTTATAAATTTCAATTTTAAACAATTAACTCTAAATCAGCAGCGTTTAACCATCATAGTCAGCAAAATCAAGTTGATCTAAAAAAGCATCTGTTTTGATTTCAAACTGTTTCGCCTTACCGATTTAGTGACTAAAATCATTCATTTTGGTTAACTCTATTGACATATTTAATCGCAGCAACATTTGACTCATTTAGTTCTAGATTATTTGATAAAATAGTAGATGAACTCTTGCTCGAGTAATTATTTAAGGTTTATTTTGAACAACACATTATTTGCTATTCAGTAAACTTGATAAAGTGAAAAGAGAAATCGATCAGATAATCATCAATGCATTTATTTAAAATATTTAAGTTTCGTTTCAGTAATAAAAGTAAAGTAGGATATTTTGAATTGACAAGTGAGTGCAACAAAAAGATGAGAGTAAAATGGAAAAATAGAGAGAGCAAATTTAATGAGAAGACTTTGGGAAGACAGTTTTGAGAGCAGGGAAATTTAACAAGCAATTGAGAGGATAGCAAAAGTCGATGTTGAATGTGGTAATTTAAGATCGTGTTTGTGTTGCTGTAGTAACTTTAGTTGTTTTAGAACGAGTTCGAGAAGAAGGTGTCCCAGTTGACACAATAGTTTTACTTCTTAATTTAATTTCTTTGATTTCTGGTGGCTTTGGGGATGTATTAGTTGATTTGTTTTCTACGATGGCTCTTCCTTTTCGGGCTGGCATTTTTCGAGTTACAGGTTTAACTGACCCAGTGCTATCCCTCTTAGAAGCATTTGAATTTTTCACATTTAGCTTTTCACTCTCAGGCTGTATCCTTTCTTGTTTAATGCGCACTTTTTGATCATTTTCCTTCTTTACAATAGGCTTTATCACATCATCTTGAATATCAACCATCATTTGACTATCTTCAGTTTTTACAGAAATTTTCTTCTCGCTAACCAACTTTTCATTTTTAACGCATTGTGGTTCTGTGAGACTATTCACAATTTTTCCTTTAGTTTCATCTTTTATAGTTGTTACATCCATAGGTGACTCTTGAGTAGATGAACTTTCACCAGGAGCAGGAGAAGAAGAGCTTTCAGCCGGAGGAGACGAAATTTCAACAGGAGCTGAGCTTTTAGCTGGCGCGGGAGAAATTTCAGCAGATACAGGAGAACGTTCAACAGGAGTAGGAGTACTTTCAGTCTGAGAAGGATAAATTTCAACAGGGGCAGAGATTTTAGCCGAAACATCAGCACTTTCGGTAGGAGAACTTTCAGCAGGAGTACTTTCAGGAGTAGGGGAACTTTCAACAGGAGCAGGGCTTTTAGCTGGAGCGGGAGAAATTTCGGCAGATGCAGGAGAACTTTCAACAGGAGTAGGATTACTTTCAGTCGGAGCAGGAGAAACTTCAACAGGAGCAGAGATTTTAGCCGAAACGTCAGAATTTTCGGTAGGAGAACTTTCAGTCGGAGCAGGAGAAACTTCAACAGGAGCAGAGATTTTAGCCGAAACGTCAGAACTTTCGGTAGGAGAACTTTCAGTCGGAGCAAGAGAAATTTCGGCAGATGCAGAAGTACTTTCAAGAGTAGGAGAACTTTCAGTCAGAGTAGAGCTTTCAGCTGGAGCAGGAGAAATTTCAACAGGAGCAGGAGTACTTTCAGCGAGAGTACTTTCATGAGCAGGGGAACTTTCATTAGCAGTAGGAGAACTTTCAGTCGGAGCAGGAGACATTTCAACAGGAGCAGAAGAACTTTCAGCGAGAGTACTTTCATGAGTAGGGGAACTTTCATTAGAAGTAGAACTTTCAGTCGGAGCAGGAGAAATTTCTATGGGAGCAGAGCTTTTAGCCGAAGCATCCGAACTTTCAGTAGGAGAAGAACTTCCAGTCGGAGCAAAACTTTCCTTCGGAACAGCAGAAATTTCGGCAGATGCAGGAGAACTTTCAGCTGGAGTAGGAGACTTTTCATTAGCAGTAGGAGAACTTTCAGCCGGAGCGGGAGAACTTTCTGCAGGATTAGGAGAACTTTCACCAGGATTAGGAGAACTTTTAGCAGAAGTAGAAGATTCACTTGCACTGGGGATCATAGTGTCGGACGACTCATTGGTTACAGTTGCAATTGGTTTAATAGGAGATGGGGGTGAAGACTCTTGATAAGGTTCAATAGGCGATGAAGCTGTCACAGGATCAGATGTTGTTGATGAAGGTGTACATGGATAATCGATTTGGTTGGATGGCCGATCTTCGCTATTTGATACATTATCAAGTATATTATTCAAGGTGTTATGTCCTAATGTTTCTTGTAATGAATTGAAAAGCGATTCAACATCACACAATGGATCATTAGGTACATTACCATCAGCACTTATGTTACCACTAGTTGTATTGAAGAGCTGGCGAATCTTTTTAAAGTGTTCCATAAGGAAAGAATCTACTGCTTCAATTCCTCGAGATCTAGTAAAATGATTAGGTAACTCTTCTTTAGAGCAAATAACTTCATGGAAAGTTAAATGTCTGACTCCTTCGATATCAAGGTCCGCAACAAAAACTTTGTCACCGGTACACAAATTACAATGATAAGGTTGGTATCGTAGATGAGTAAAGATATGTTTCCTCACATCTTCATAGGAGGGCTTCTGCGAACTAACTTTTTGTTTCTGAAATTTTTTACTGCAGATTGGACAAAAACAAGCAAATTCTGGGTTTGCATTAATGTCATTGATTATCGAGTTCAAAAAATCACGACTCCAAGCTTCAATAATCTCATCATGGTGCCAAGTGTATGGAAGATTGTCATGATCAACGTGATCTGCACCATGTAGTTGAAATGCCTTCGGTCCTGGAAATGATTTATGGCACAACTGACAATTGATAGGACGATAATCTAGGTGAGTTGCGTAATGATCCCAAGCAGCGAGAATATCTGTTACTTGATAATTACAAAAAATGCAGATGATTCGAGGAGCCTAGACGAAATAAAGAAAATAGTTAAGATTGAGATTAGATAAATGTTTCTACAAATGTTTCTGTGAGCAATTGCTCAGATTTGTTTCTTACCTGATCAGGTTTGAGATATATACTGGAAGAATCCTCATAAAATGAATCAAGGTCTATCACAGAAGAGTCATTACTATACGATTTTTTACCATTCTTGGGTTTACTATAATCTCTTCTAGCATATTTAGGAGACGGATAATACATATCATCAATCGTATATTCATGTCGTCTCTTTTTACCCGTAGTTAACTTCGAAATAGCTTTAGATGCTTTTCCTGATGAGCCAGTCTTCTTTTCACCAGATAAAATGGAAAGCGGAGTTGACTGTTTAGTAGATGCTGGAGTGGATAATATTTTCTTTGGAGTTTGACTGGATGTGTCTGCGATTGGTGAAAGACGAAACGTTTGCCGAGTGAAAGATTCTTGAACGAATTTAACGTAACTATTTATGTATCTTTCAAGCTCAGGGATCATACCAAGTGAGTCGAAATTGTCTTTCAGATCTTGTTCAGTAGGATTAGAGAATCCATGGCGATTGATTAGATGAAGTCTTGCTTTCTTATTAACAACAGTAAAATCACAACGCACATTTTTCTTAAGGCACAACAAACACTGAAATGGATGATATTTAAGATGCTTGTGAATATGGTTTTTGTCCAATACTGTAATTAATTTATGATGAGGTTTATTTTTAGGATATTTATCACCAAGTTTGTAATCCCATTGATTACAGACAGGACAATACTTATGGAGAATACCATTAGGTACCATTATGGCTTGGTTAGTAATACATTTCAGTTGATAAATCACAAATTTTCGTACCCATCGTTCTTTAGCTGGAGCAAAACTACGACGATATTGAACATGAGTTAAGGTGGGATGAGTTTTGGTATAATGTTGTATCATACCCTTAATATCAAGTGTAGACTCTTCACATTCAACACACCGAAATGGGAAATGTTTAGCTTGCTGATAGTGACATGATAAGACTTGATTGACTTGACTATATTCTTTAAGGCAGAAAAGGCAAAACAAAGGTATGGTCGATGAATATCTTTTCTTCTGTGCATTGTATCTGCTCACTAATTTATCCGGGATTGTACATTTATCATAAACTTGCACTTTCTTTTTGGTACTTTTATCCAATTCAATAGAAAGTATTTCATCGTCATCATATAAACTGGAAGGCCCATCAGTTTCAGTTTTCTTTACAGAACCTCCAGGACGATTTACATCAAAATCTTCAACAGTTGTTGCATCAGAGTCATATGTAATACTAGAAACAGAATAGTTGTGATCGATTGTAGTCAAACTATTGTTACTAGTCGAATTTACTAAAGCAGGATTGGTCCATCTTTCTATCTCCTTATCAGTCAATCTGGTTATAGAAACATAACATTGATAAGAGTCTATATCAGGCTCATCATCGCAGCTATCTTGCCTGTAGAAAGAAAAATGAACTTTAGTATAAACTCAAGAAAAATAATAAATTCAAGTAAACTTCGCAAAATAAACAAGTGTTAATTGAGATAAAGTGCGAATTAAAATGACCAGAGAAACTGAATATCAAAAAAATTCTTTTGTTTTTTAACACTTTACCAACAAACATCTTTATCACTTACCATTCCGAATCGGTTGACATAGTTAGATAAACAAAATCATAACAAAAGTGCACAGGATGAAAATAATGATGTACAACTTGTAATATTGATATGGAAATTGATAACAATCAAGTTTAAAAAACAAAAATAATGTGAGTAGAAAACAGTGTAAAATCTTGAGCCTCCGACGGACGATGATTTAAAACTAGAGTGAAAACCTTTCTGGTTTCAAACCACATGACAAATTACTACTTGAAGACTGTAAGATGGAGCCACATTTTTTGCCAGGTTTAACCGGTGAGATTTGATTGAAACCTTTAAACGGTTTGAAGAAGATAAGCTTTTTTTTCAAACCCATGACTAACTTCTGACCATCTATTAATTATTTTAGTTAAGCACTATTTTAAACATATCTTAAAATATCTTCTGATGTTCGTAATCATCTGTTGCTCTTTAGAATCTCGCTGCCATATGTGGGCAAATTCAGGATTTGATTCCTCGAAAAAAGATGTAATTAAAATTGTTAACAAAAATTAAGATTATTGGAAATTACTGTTTATTCAATTTCCAGATTTTATTATTGAAAATCTTTCAGTTTGATTAGTCTTCATTTTCAACTGTATAATGGTATAGACAAATTGACTCTTGACTTTCATTTGATTTAAACGGTAACATTTCTTATTCTACCGGCTTTCATTATTCATATAATCATGGGTGTTGTGTGAATTGTAAACTAAATTAGATGCCTTCGAAAGCTTTATTTAACTAATTTACTTTAATCAAAATGTCTGTCTAAAACAAATAAATTTTAAGTCATGATTTTGTGAAAAATGTCACATATGCTCGAAATATGAAAATTGGGTTTCAATGTAAGTAAAATAAGAAGACCAGTTTTAAAGATTGAAAAGGAAAGTGGCTAGGATTAACTTGATTAGGGTTAACTTACCACAAAAGGTATAAAGTACCTTAATTATATGCAGTAGAACCGGTTCGTAAATTGAAGACAGTGGATTAACTTTAAAGTAAACAAAGCTTGCAAAAAAGGGTAAAATCGAAAACAATACAGTGGAGTACCAGATAGTGTCAGTACCAGATAATGTCAGTAGATTATTCAATAGCCCCTCAAACCCTTTGTTTACATTCCCTATAAGGAAAGTTTTAATTGAAATTATAAAGAAATTATCAAAAAAGTTGAATATTTCTGACAAATTCAACTCAACTAACGATCCTCAGCACAATGACATCAATTTGTTAGACTTTTCCAGCAACTAACTTTAATTTTATTAATCATTGTAATTAATTTTAAATTTTAGCTCGATTAATAGACTTGCTGTGCATATAAGCTATTTCCAGTTACTGACAGTATCTGGTACTCCACTGTATTTGTTGTAAAATATATCAAAATACATATGGTGTTCAAATGAATCAGATTCATCTGGTTTCACGCTTATATTATGCCTTAGGATTTTGTCGCCCGTTTGAATATAATTTAGGAAAGAGTTATATTCATAATCTTCAAAGTCAATCTCATTCAGTTTTTGCAGCTTAAAAATTAAGATTTGAAAGTTCTATTTCTTCACTTCAGTAGGATTATCAGAATAACTAGAAATAACCGTACAATGGCAGCAACATGTTTTTTAGTTGCAATCACGATGAGAATGCATAAAATGATGATTAGACATTGAAGTCTATTAACTATTTTAATCAATAATATCCTTCCTATTCGTAAAACAATGTAAAGATGACACAAATTTTTCAGACTTAATCATTACAATCTTTATTTCGCTCCAGTATCGTATCCTTTATTATGAATTGACAAGAATGATTATGTTCAGTAGATCATTGTGATATCAGTCTAGTCTTATTTAATAATGCGACAGATCAAAAAAGTGAGTTTTTTTCTCTGGGTGAGAAAGGGGCGCTTTTGAGTAAGAAAGGAAAATTAGGGTAATAAGGAAAACAGAACAAGTAAAGGTGATAATAAAGAATCAATAAGAAATGTGAAGAAGTTGGCAAAGCCAACAATATTTATCTTGGTCATATTGTTGACGTTGTGTCTGATGAATTTTCATTTGTAGGTTCCGTTTTAGGTAATTTTTGAGAATTTTCATCATTAACTGAGGATAACCCGTCTTCTTCAGTCCAAGTGGTTTCTTTTTTATCTTTTTTATTGTCATTGTCGCCCTCCTGAGCATTTGACTCTTCAGTTCCAGAATCCAATCTTCGTTTTCTAGGTCTTGGTTGCATTGGTTCAACACCCAATATTTTGTGTATTTGTCTGAAAGCGATTAATCGCAAAGCGTGCTGCAAGAGAGGTGAATGAAAGTAGAATATAAAAGTATTAAAAATTGATTCAAATTTAAAATAGTGCATGAAATTAAAAATGATTTAACTCGTTATTTGATTGACTTTAGGCTTAAGAAGAAATACAACAGCTCAAGGAACATAAAGACTAAACCTGTGCTCAGCGTCAACTTAAAACCTGCTAAGAAATCTCTAGATAATTGAAGTAAAAGTCCCATAATTTTCAAGCACAGGTTAAAAATGTGCACAAAAATTTTAACAGACTAGTCAACAAAGGAAGTATATTTGCAAGTTTGGCAGAGAACCAGAGACAAAGATTAAGGGATTAACTTAACCACGAAGAGATGAAATACCAAGAACATAGAACGAGACTGAAAAAAGAAAATAGGGAAAACCGCAAAGAACAAAAGATCTCGGTATTGTTTCTTAACCTTCGATATGTACTCTAGAGAGCAAAGAGAGCAAATAAATGAAAAAGATAATAACTTCTGAAGTAATTATCTCTTTTCTATCAGATTTTTTCTCTAATTATACAATTACCGAATTCAATTTAAAAATTGAAGCAAAGATTTAATTTAAATTAAAATAAATTGAAAACATACTTGCGCTGAAGAGGTGATATCCTCTCGTTCTTGTCTAGTTAGATTAGCAAGTGCATCGGTTGGTTCTTTTTCACAAGGATCCATTAATCCAGCTCCTCCAGGTAATAACAGCCCTGAAGCAATAGCTTCTAAGACGTGTCTGAATGCTTCTCCAGGATTTAATTGTTCTCCAGCACTTGAAATTACTCGTTCACAAAGTAACTCGACAGCCTAATTTAAATAAAAAGCAAATATAATTTAACGTAATGATAACTTTTATAGCTAGCATTTATGAACCATAATTACCCAGAGATCAAGTTTTGACCAAGTTGGTAATCTCCTACAAAGATCTCGAATCAATCGTATGGTCATTGGGCATGGATGTAAATTAGCCACTCTAGCCTGCATCAAGTAAAAAATACAAAAAAAGTCAATGGTTAGAATAGATAAGTTCAGCAAAATTGAAAAGGAAGTTGAAGGATAAATCAGCTTTGAACTTTAGCTTATTCATAAGTTTATGTACTGTTTATGTATAATCAATCTTCCAGGGCGATGAAGCTATAAAAAATAGATACAACTAATCTGAGGCTGCTATAAACCTTTATGGCCCCGGATTTGAAACTTTCCAGCCTCATGTCAATTTTGAATGATATTACAAACAATTGACAGAAAATGTAAGGTATTGAAAAATAAGAATTGGCTCATAAAACTAATTTAATAATTAACAGATCTAACAAGTTAAATGTTGTTTCTGATATCTAACTACGAAACAAACTCTGAAGTGAAAAGTAAAAAGGTATTGTATTGTAAAAATAAAGATGCTAAAATAGTTCAACATTGGGTATATTTAACTAGTAAATGATATAAACTATGACAATTAAAATAGCTATCACAAGGCTGAAAAGTAATCAAAGTCAGTCCAAACCTGGTACCACTTAGCATGGCGAAGTGCAGCCAATGCATTTAGGCATTTTTGCCTGTCCAACATTTGCTTCGGTTCTTTAACCATCTCTAAACAACGGGAAAATGTACACAGGGTTAGATTACATTAACTTGAGATATCAAACAGGAGAGAGCTTTGACGAGACTTAAGACGATTGGTATTAAAAAAGATGATAATAAGCATGTATATCAATAGCAACATCCTGTTTTTGGTAGAGATGGCTAAATCCCTTTGGCTTCATTGAACATGTAGTTCAGGAGAAAGATAATCAATTTGATAAAAATTCAAAATTATCTCCACTCCCTTCCTACTGCTAGCCATATAAAAATTTGAATCCCACCCCCAAATGATGATGTCTTGTCAATCAATGCTTCATTTACTCAGTCAGCATTCACATTGTCCCCTCTTAGCTCTTCTTTCAACATTAATTCCATCATTTTTGCGACTAAATTGACAGTAATTATTTTAAAAGATAGCGTCCAATTCCAAGATGATAATAATCCAGAAATATCAAAAAATTGATAAAAACAATTTTTTTTGCTCTGATGAATTGTAGGAAGAGTTAGAGAGGGAGATGTGATGTGAGAAAAGAAGAATGAGGTTCATTTGCCTCCCTGAAAAGAATGGTGCTTAATTAAAGTTAATTAAAAGATATCGTGAGAAAGAAAGAAAAATTAAACTCCATTGATGATTACATCAATGGAAAAGATTATGTAAATGGTCGCATTTTTGTCTCGACACAAGTCTCAAATACCAATAGTTAATTTCATACCCGCAGGAGCTCCATCCGATACGCTATTGTCCCTGATTGAAGGTGAAGTAAAGGAAACATTAACAGTAATTTGTGGCTCCGAAGTTGACATAACAGAAATCATAGCTTCAGCTAATTTGACTTGAATCTCGAATTTATCAGAGGGGTTCACCTCCTGGTCATGAAAAAAGGAGAAAATTAATTAATCATAAAAAGTCATTCAACAAGAAAGTATCGATTTTACCTCAAGTTGTTTTGGTAAATGTTCCACTACTCTTTGAACTAACTGTACAGTTGGTTTGTCTGAACATACAATAACTAGATCAACTTCTCTATCACCAGATAAAAGTAAATTTTTGGCTAATGGTCCGATCCTCATTAGTCCTCGCAACATTCTATTAGATTGTACATCGTCGTTTTTCTCATTTGTTTCCGAATTTTGTCCATTCGTTGTCTTTTCTGCTTTATTATAACTTAAATTATCGTCTAATTGCTTAGAGTTTTCAGGATTTTCATCAGTTCCAGCAGTCTCTTGATTCATTGGATTGTTGGTAACTGATTCACTAGATGTGGTAGTTTGATCACCAGGTAAGTTGGATATTTCTTCACGGAATTCTTTTTTAATAACCTCATTCATAGCAGCTTGCGAATCCTCCTTAGACAATTTATCATAGACTCCAGCCAGAGCTCTTTCAGTTACCATTACAACATGATGGATTTCATCTAATTCACTCTCAGATGGACAAATCTCGGAGTGTTTCTGGATCAAATGATTATCATCCCATGAACCTCCAGAATGTCCACTTCTACCTCTGAATGGTGCTGGGCCCATCATTGGACCAGGTCCAACTGGACCACTAAAGCCAGACAAGGGCATCATGTGTGGTGGTGGAGGAGGCGGAGGCATATGACGGTTATCATAGCCATAGCCTCCACCGCCAACTCCGACACCTACTCCACCTCCTCGATTAGGCGGTGGGTACCAACCGTCATTCCAGTAATGGTCTCTTTGTTTATTATGGAAATATCTTCTATCTTTGGTTTCTTGAATCTTTCTTTGTTTTAAACTTGGTTTAATGTCTACGACTAAATTGGGGTCTACTTTCTTTTTATACTGTAATCTGTGACGCCTTCCCTTCAAGTGCATTTCTTTAGCATTTGGATCATTGAAGCGACAATCACAAAGTTTACAGTGGAAGCTAACTGCTTTACTATCATCACTTTTAATTTCTTCAACGTAATCTTGTCCAACAGGTTGCGAGTCATTTTTATCTTGATCCATAAGGTTAGATTCTGCTGAGGCAATATATGAAGAATTAAGAGAACTCGTTGATTCAAATTGAGACGAGACAGCAGAAGGAGTAGAAGGGGGAGGCATAGGTTGGAAAGTAGTTTCTTGGGGCATTGAATCTTCTTGCAAAGGCTGTGGTTCATTTTCAGATGCACTACTAGTAGTATGAAGACGTCCACCACTGAGAAAATTGATCTTAGGAGTACCTAATACTTTAATTTTTCCAGTTGTGGCCGGCATTTGAGGAATGGAGACCTCTGATGTTTTATTCAATCCAGATTTTTGTGATAATACAACAGGATCAGAAGAAGGAATTGGTTTACCTAGTCTAGTATGAAGTTTCAATACTTTTTGATGTTTAGAGCCTCTGATGTGAGCAGCATATGCATCATTGCCAGTGCAAGTTACATCACAGAGCCCACATCGAAGTGAGACACCAACCGGCTGCCCCCTTTTATTAGGTGTGATTGCAGCACCAGTTTTCATCTGGGCTTCTTTTTTCTTGTGCCTTTGTCCATCCAAATGCTCCTTGTATGTTTGTGGACCGGCACAGCTAATTTTACAAACCTGAAATCGAAACAATCGAAAATGAAACATTCAGATATTAACATATTGGGGTTCATTATGTATAAGGTATTGCATAAACTGATTGTTTATGTATATAAAAGCAAATCTAAAACAAGCGTAACATTTCTTACCTCACAATAATGGAGCTGTTGAACTTTAGGTGCTGTTTTCATTTTATTAGTCTTAAGAGTTTTCTTAAAATTCCAATTTCCTTGCTTGTTTGAGGGATAAGCAGCCGTCGAAGTATTATCATGTTGAGCCACTGTTGACTGTTGACTATAAAGGGCAGCTAGATTGATACAGAGTGAATGAGTGAGTCAAGTTGACATAAAAATCAAAGGTATGAATGCAAAGTGAAATTATACTTACAAGCCGCATAATTTGTGACTACTGAATTGTATGTGTTCGTATATGAAGTTGAACTAGCAGTATAAGGATACATAGTAGTAGTTGCATTTGCAGCGGAATATTGATTAGCATCTTGAGTGTAAGCAACAGCAGCAGGAGCCTGAAAAAAAGATCGAGAATGCTACATAAGCATAGAAAATTTAAGATTAGGGATAAGAATGACAATGCAAGTGTTTAAAATAAAATAAAAAACAAGCCGGTTAAATTAAGATATAACATAAGGAATCGAGAAATTAGGTTATCAGGGTTAGGTTATTATTGGTTATCAGACAAAAGAAGGGGAAGACGCAAAAATAGATTAATAACGAGACTTACACCAACTTGAGGTCGAGCATAGCCATAATTGGCAGCCATGGTTGCCCCTGTAGTTGCGAAGCCCTGATCATAAGATGATGCTCGTTGTGTAGCAGTATAAGAAGAAGCAACTGGGCCATGTCCAAATCCAGCTTGAGCTACATTCGGTGTACTTAGATATCCAGAGCTGAAGAATATGAAGAAAACAATAAATAAAAGAATAACAAGGAAGAGTAAAGAAACAGAGAGTAAACAGAGAATAGAAAAGAGTGAAATGGATGAAATAAAAAAATTAGCTTAAGATGGAATAAAATAATTATAGATTGATGAAAAGGGAAATTGACACTTAATACACACCCGTACGTATTCCCACCATGGGCGAAACCATAATAGTTATTAGACGTCATTATCAAAATTTAATCAATAAACAGAACAATTTGAATAATAAATTAAAGACTAAATTCAGTTAAGAAATTAGATTCAAGATAATCTGTCTCCGGCTTGCCAAGCTTTTCTATTGTTGCTCCATCTAGGAATCAAGTTCAAAACTATATTTTTTTCTCTGAACTTCAGACACTGAACACAAACATTTTTACAACTGTACTGTAATAAGCTGTTAGAAGTACAGTTTATTGTTCCTGGCAAACCTCAATAAATCGATATCAATTAAAGCAAATTAGCTAATCATCAACCAAATTAATTTGAAAGTAAATCAGTTTTCTTGAGACTGTAAAAAACCATTTCGCCATGGAAAAGTGAAAGAAAGAGTTGACAGTAATTTTGATTGAAAACTGTAATTCAATTCTGGGATAAGATCTTGAAATATTTTGACAACAAATTTAATTCTTGCAATCATCTTGAACTTAAAAGAATCTTTTATCACCTTAATTTGAAAGTCAATGTCTCTTATTACAATAAGAAATGGAAAAGTATAATTTTCCGTTTTATAGCAAAATCAACCTCGAGATGGATACTTTACTTCATGCCTCAATTTATATTGAGTCAATATTTATTCAAAGTCAAATTTAAGTTAGTTGAAAGCTACTAATTGTTCATAATGTTCTTTATTAGATAAATTTGCAATCAAAATTAGTTTTAAATAACGATTGAATAGATTTATTCTGAATAAATTCATTCTAATCAATAGATGGCGATGCATTTTATTAAACTCGAGTGTTGCTCAAGTTCAATGTAATTTGAATGGAGCATTTAGTAATAGTTTGTGTTGAACCTTTTTAACAAATATATCTTCTGTTTGAACTAATTATAGCATCAATTATAACTCAATGGTTTATTATTGTTTGGTGATGATTTGATGATTATTCAATGATATTTAAATAGTTTTGTATTGATTGTTTAATGTTTTCACATTTGTGACACAGCACAAGATGGCGTTGGTCAATGGAAGGAAGATAAGTAAAGGTCACCTTTAATTTGCTCCGTAATTAAGTGCTTTTAATTAGTGAAATCTTCATCTTACTATTAAAATTCTTTGAACAATCTCATTTCTAACAACATAAGCTTCAATTTAACACCTAATTCATCAAAATCCAGTAATTAATAGTGCTCAAAATGAGTAGTGATAATTTGTCCACTGAACACCTGGAATTCAGCCACCTGAAAACATGCCGGAATCCAGCAACCCTGACACCTGTCCTCGCTGCAAATGATACTACTACCACTATTCTTCATATCAGAGACAATTTTATTAAACTAACTGACGAATTACTTGGTCACATTAGTGAAACTAAAAAGAAAAGTATCTCGGTTCCCACAGTTAACGTAATTAACTCAATGCTAATAATGATTGACCACGTGGCCAAGCAAAACAATCCTGATATTGGCAACAACATTGACCTTGAGTCACTTGCTACAACAATTGCTAATAAAATACAAGCCACAAAGAATAAGTCTGTTATTAAAAAGAAACCGAAAAAGTATATCATTAAAGCCAAAAACGAGGAAACAACTTCAGACAATATCTTTAATGAAATTACTAATTTGTCTAAAAGTGATGATGCTTTTCAAATTGATGACATGCGAAAAGGTTTAACTGCTGTTAAAGTCACCACCTCTAACAATGAAGCAATTGGAAAAATCAATCAACATCTTGAAAAAAAGCAACTCAATGACAAAGTTGAGGTTAAAGAAATGGCTCCTCTCCTTCCTCAAATTTCCGTGGTTATCAACAACTATTCAATGGAATCAATTGAGACCATCAAAAAACGGAATAACATTCCTATGGAAGAAGAAATGAGAATCGTAGCTGCCTATGATATTCCCCAAAGGAATAAAATAAACAAAAAGAAATTAATTATTCGTCTGAGCAGAAATGCCAGACAATTAATTGAACAAAAAGGCAGAATTTACATCGGCTGTGAAAGCGTTAATTTCTGGGATAATTACTATATAAAGACATGCTCAAATTGTGTATCCATTGGTCACACGGCCAAATATTGTACTAAAGACCCATGCTGCATCAAATGTGAAGGAAAACATGAGCCCAGCACATGTGATAAAGAAAAGACCAAAGAGTGTTTATATTGTAAAAAGTCTGGTGAAGTCAATTTAAATCATACTCCTAGATCAAAACAGTGCAACTCATTTCAAAAAGCTATAAAAAACCTAATTGAAATTACTGATTGGAACAATGATCATCAACATTATTAACCTCAACTGTGGAAAAATTTTACTTAAAACATCAAACATCGTAAACAATATTCCGACTGTTCATGACATTGCTACTCTTCAAGAACCCAATAGTCTACCTTTAACCTCCATCAACAACCATCACATCATAGCAGTTCAAAATGGTAGAGCAGCAATTGTCACTCTCCGCGCCTCCATCATCAAAACCTTCAATATTCAACCGGAATCACTAGCAGCTATTGTCAACTTTAAAGGACACAAAATCTTGGTTATTTCTGTTTACATTCCACCATCACACAGCAATCACGCCTATGACAACACCATAACCGGTATAACCAAAATCATCAGCGGCAATAGTAATCTCCCTGTCTTGATAGCTGGAGATGTTAATGCTGTACATCCTAGCTGGTCATTTGAAATGTACAACAGACCTACTGGCAAAGGAAAAACAATTCACTCACTGCTCTCTAGCAATCATATCAACATTCTCAACACCCCTAACTCCTCAAATTGGACTTTTCAAAGACCCAAATGTCAACCTCAATGGATTGATATAATGGCATCAAACCTTCATAAGTTTTACTCTCACTTCACACACAATACCTTCATCACTAACATCGACAATACTGACCATAACAGCATCACATCATCCATCGAAATCCGTGATAAAATAAAACAAGACTCCAAACAAGAATACTTCAATAAAAGAAAGTATTTTAACTACATTATTTACACCTTTAAACAGACTAACATCACCTCTATTAATGACATTAACCTGCTGATGTGGAAGATTCTCCTCAAAAGAGTTAAGATGTTCTATGATCGCAGCAATTGGAAACCAATCAACAACACGTCCATATGGAAAAATAGTACAATCGATCAAAATGTCAATAAAAAACTAAAAAAGATTGCCAAACTACAAAATAAAGAGAGGTCAACTCTTACCAATGAAGAATATCTCATCCTTAGAAAGACTCTCATCAAACAGATGTACAAAGGCATACACGAATTCTTCAAAGACTCAAAGGACTCAAAAGAAAAATGGAGTAAAATAAATTACTTTCTTCATGAGCACGATATTAACCTGGATAAAATTTATCAAGAAAATCTCCACTCTTCAATTGGATCCTTTGACATCTCGATGGAACAAATTAACCAAACAACTGAATATCCGCCCAAACTAAATGATAATACCATAAGTATTGAATCAATTGAAAAATCGATCAAAAAACTTAATAAAACTGCCACTCCGGGATTGGATGGAATAAACATTACTCTCATCAATCACCTTATCCAAGAAGATCAGGACAAATTTTGTAAAATTTATTCATTACTTTTTCAACACTGTTTCATTCCCGATGCGTGGAAAATCTCATACACAATTTTCATTCCCAAAAGCGACGGAAAAAGACCTCGCCCCATCTCCATACAATCCAACTTGAGTAAAATTCTGGAAATCATCATTATGGACAACTTATACACATCTATACCTACATCCTTTTTCAACGGGCAACATGCTTATCAACCTAATAAAAGCATTAACACTGCATTATCTGAAATTATGGATCCAATGGATGCTGGATGCCCGCCTTACATGCTCATTGTAGATGTTGAATCAGCATTTGATAATATTAGTCACACCACCATTATCAACCAACTAACAAAGCTAAACATTGATTCAATAATCATCAAGCTTATTCAAGCCTACTTAGCTGACAGATACATGGCTTTTTACTCGAATGATGGCCTCAAAATCAAAAGCTGTCCTAATGGCGTCCCTCAAGGATCAATTCTTGGTCCCTCACTCTACATCATCGGAACCCAACAAGTCATCAATTATTTAAATAACTCCCTTCTTCCTCAACCACCCTTTTTTATTAACAACAAAATTACTCCCGACCCTGAAAAATTACAAGTAAAAGTCTCAGCTTACGCTGATGACATAATTATCACCATTCCCCCTAGACCAAATGACAAACCTTATCACGCCACAATGGCATCCTCAATCATTATACAACTTCTCAACTTACTCCTTAAACCCATGAATCTATCTATCTTACCACAAAAATCTAAACTATTAGTAGACTTCAGAGCCTATGATAAAATCAAGAAAATCGAAAACCTTAACATCACAGTAACGACTTCACAAAAAATATTAGGAATAGAAATTCACTTAAAACCTCCTTTCTTTCTTACCACTGACAGTCTCCTTGAAAAAATTCATCAAACATCAATAAGAATCTTCACCAATAATTCTAAAATAATCCACCTTCCTCTTAATGTACTAACTTTAATCAATGAGTCTAAAGTGGAATCCCTAGCCATGACATATTACAACCTTCTCTTCACCAGCCTGATCAACAGAAAAAAATTCAGAGACGATCTCGAATATTACAGCACCTACATCATTAGAAACTCCTGCAACTACGACTGGAAAGTTAATCCACTAACTGTTAGTGCGTTGATAGGTAGATTGCCCATTTGGGCTAAAATCATTAAGATCAAGCTCAAAGAAATCTATAACAAAAACTTCACAACTGAGAATAAATTTGATCTAGACTTCTTTCAAGTCTACCCCGAATTTGCTCCTTCCATCAATGCGAAAGCAATATGGTGGGGAAAAAATCAAATCATCAACAACATCATCATCGATTTTATCAATAAGCACTGGACTGAACAACCTCAAAATCATTACAACATCTTAGGCAAATGGAACACCATTGCCTCAAGAACTCGCATCAACAAACTCACCGCTATGGCCATTGATAAATATGAATATCTATATAAAGACAAACCATGCTACTGTGGATCGCAGATTAATGAACCAACCCACTGGATCAATCAATGCAGCCTTCTTCTACAAGAGAGAAATGACCTAATTAATCAGCTTAACATTGAAGACCACAATATCATCTCATCATATCTCCTCTCCAAATTTCACTACGGATACAATGAATACCTGGAAAAGGTCTTTCAAACTCATGTACTACCAAGATTAGAAATATACAAAACTGAAAAGATAACACAGGCTTAAAAACTAATAACCATTACCCTTATTCCCTTTACAATAACACCCACATTTCCTACTCATCTCCTTCACCTCCCTTACATCCTTAGAAAAACATCAACACAAAATTGTCTCATCATTTCTATGAACTTTCATCCTAATAATACCTAAACCAAATTTACATAATGATGTATTCTTAAAAACTGTCAGAACTCCATCTACGAAAATGCGCAAACAGCATTTTCTTCTTGTAAAACGTTAAATAACCAATAAAAGATACAGTCACCCTTCCGAAACTGCACCATTCTGAAACTGCACTTATTTTTTTCAATGGTCCCTATTAAGGAGGAGTTAGATCTACTTTCGCATTTCGTCGATTTTTGATTCAATTTTTTTAATTACCAATTGACTTAATTCAATTTTCTTTCGTGAAATATCAATCCAAAAACTCGCGAAATCAGCTTAAAGCAACATTTTAGGTTAAATTTGGTCTATTAAGGGAGATTGAAAATCGTGAAATATGTTGCCCGACCAATAGTGTAAATAAGCTATTTCCCGAGAAGTGCAGTTTCAGAAGGGTGACTGTAAGTGTCATTTTGTATAGAAAGCCAAAACAATAATTTAATAACTGTGTATGGCTACTGTGCTTTGGGTTTATTGCTGACTCTGTGTTTACCGTTTTGATAAATAATTGATATAATTTCATCACCAATTATGGAAATTGTAATTACATCATCTAAGCCATTCTGTTATTCAATGTGACCATTAATTTATCTCAACCAAAATCATCATTTTTTCTTTGTGTGACTCGGGAAAGTGAAAACAACTAGGAACCTAATAACCTAAACAAAAAATTATTTCTCTCAATATCTATAGTCAATCACGCCTCATATTTTGTCTCTGTCTGACCTATCTCTCTTTTTTCCCATTCTTTCGCTTAACAATCTTCATCTTTGCATTCTTTTTTCTTTACATCAATCAATTTTTGTCATACCTGTTATTTTTTCCTCTTTCTTCTACATTTTTGTAATTTTTTCTACATCTCAAACTTTGTCTCATAACTCCCCAAATTTGTCTCAAATTATGTTGTACCGTTAATCGCCAATCGAGGAAATGTCCCTCGTTTCGCCTGAATCTAGTCCTTCGCTATCTTCTCAACCAGCGCCAACACCATTACAGCCAATTAATCAAATTTGCCAAATTAATCTTACGAGCAGTATCAAGGTAAATATATTTTTATTTTGCTTTTGCTTTTCATTTCTACTTTTTCCTTCTTCATTTTCAAGTTTTCTTGAATTGCTTTCTTTCTCTTGAAATGCACATCTTTTCTTTTTAAATGTTATTGCCTCTTTCTTTGCAAAAGGAAGATTTTCTTCTCTCTGCTAAAATCTTTTTATTAAACCCACCCGTTTCATTTTTTTCATCTCTTTTTCCTTTCTTACTTACTTACTCTTTTCTCAACTTCAACAGCCCTCGGTATCTTCTGCTTTCTCTATCGTTCCATCATCTATTTCTCTATCATCATCTTCATCATTAACTTCACCAGCATCAGGAGCTTCAGTGGTAACTAAACGTCGTCACTCAGATGCTGGTTTCGTTTTTTCCTCTGCAATTGGCAAAGACTCAACCGAATCATCTGAACTCAAGTCAACAACATTCAACTCTATTGCCAATAGAGAAGAATCTGTCAACGGAAATGAACTCAGCTCAAATGAAATTACCCTTGTCGACAGGCTCACCAAGACAACCTCTATCTGGTTTCTGCCGGATATTGGAAGATCCAGTGTGGCAAATCTTTTAGATGAGAAAGAAGATGGATGTTTCATTGTTCGAAACTCTAGTAAATTTAACTCAATGGCCTTATCCGTTCGATTGCCTGAAGGAAAAGGGCCACATGTTGAACACTATCTTATTGAAACATCGCCGAATGGTTCATTCCATCTGGAGGGATCAGAAAATCAGTTTAGCAGTATGGCATCGTTGATATCGCATTATTGCAATTGTTGCGATGAGCTTCCTGTCCGGTTAACCTTGCCAGTTAAATTAATGAATGCAAATTTTGTAAAATTAACATCTTACTCACTTTTGGGCCAAGAATTTTGGCATACATTGAATCAAACGCCCAAAAGAACTTTCGCCCCTATAATTCGCAGTGCCAGTAATATCTCAAGCTCTTACAGAAACAACAATAATTTAAGTCTCCACCTTTCACTTAGTATTAAACAATTAACAAATGATTCTGCTAAAAAACCTTCCATTGGGACAACATTGCTATCTCCAGAAAATACCTCATACAAAAGAGAAAAGAGCAACATCAAAAACAGCGGAAATCAGCTTACAAATTTATCTCTCATTACAAGTAATTTGAATCAGCAACCATATATTGTCAATGAATTGACTTCATCGGGGTCTTCAACCAACATAACATGTCTAGCTTCATCTTCTGCTTCTTCGTCTGCATCATGCTCACCACCTTTGACTTCTTCCTCTTCAAGGATAGATACTGACGAGTTACTCAACTTCAATGATGAACCCATTGTTGACATGAAAAAAAGTTCTACTGTGCCGATTAATTTAGTTGAACAATGTGAATCATCTGTGAAAATAGCTGTACCACCTAAACCTCCGCCTCGAACTGGACCAGGAGGAATCATGCAAATCTCTATTCCACCTCCTATACCATCAAGGACTAGCAAGCCATCTCCAAAATCCGACTGTAAAAACCATTCATCGCAAAGCATTAACTCATTTATTCAAAGCATCTGCATTGATGATATTTTTAAAAGCAAAAATCGATCTATTACAAGTGAAGAAGACGAGCTTCTCATTGTTAACGAAGAACACGATGATGATAATGATGATGATATTGAAATAATTGATATCTACCCAACTAATAGCAGTAACAGAGATGTTGAAAGTAACAATAACAATATTGATCGAGATGATAGTTTATCAATTAGTCAGAGAACCTCAGAGAATGGGAGTTCTCACAATATCTCTAGTCAAAATGAAAACAAGCCAGAAGAGATGTTATCGTCCCATGGAAAAGAAGAAAAAGCTCCTCGTGGAATTGAAACGCTAATTAAATATTATAACAGTAAAGTGGAAGACAAATATAGTGATTATGAGGATATATGGAGTTTTGCTCCTAAGACATATGTAGATCATACCAAGACTAAGCAACAGGAAAGTAACTGCGAAAATGAATCTCCAATTACAAAAGCTTCTCTGCCTAAGACTAATATGCAGAAAATTGAAGCTTCAATTGCTCCATCAGATACTTTTGCCTTATCAATTGCATCTGATTCAATGTCAAAATGCTGCTCTATCAGTACCCAAACAGATCCAATGAAATCATCCTGTGATATTGATGATCAATTTAATGAGATAATCACTCGATTTGAACATCATTCCCATTATGGCTCTGATTCTAATTTAACTCTTTCCTCTATAAGATCAACTAAGAGCAAGCATAATTTATCCTTGGAAAGTTTAATTTATCTTAATAAGGATGCTCTTTCAATTTATGGTGATCCCAATGACATAAACTTTGGTCGTAGTGAATTTAATGCTGTTAATCCCCAACTGGAAGATGCTTCAACCCAAGCTGGTAAAAGTAAAACTGCTGCACAACCAGCATTTAAACAAATTTGCTCACAAGATCAGCGAAGGAATATTCCAGGTAAAACTACTGCTAACTACGGTACCCAAGGTGGAAGAGATGCTTGGCTAGTTGACTCTTCGTGGAAATGGCGACGATCGAATGTTGTTCTTGATAATCCTGATGATAATTGTTCAAATAATGACACGGATGATACTACACTCACTTTACGTTCTCCCTTACGACGAAATAAACGATCTAATCAACCAGATGACAAGAGGACTCTTGACCAGGAAAGAGCTGATCTAAATCGGTATCGCCGTTTCAGTGCTCGATATGTACTTGAATCAGGTGTTGATAGTGATCCTGAAACGAATGACTATGAGCCCCGTGAGGAGAGAAAATCTCGAACTGTTGAAGATTTAATTGCTCAAGAAGCTCCAGAATTGAGAGTGCCAAGAATAGAGGTTGACACAAATGTTGTCAGCCTTGATGACAGTTATGATAATGTTGTTACTTTACGGAAACACGATAAAGATGCTGCTACTCGCAAAGCTAACCGTGAAGATTCCAGTAAAACAAGTGGTGGAACCATGACTGATACTGAGACGGTTTTTAGTGAACCCTGGGATAGTGAATATTGGCGCAAATTAATCAGTGTTACTCCTGGGAAAACTGAACTCTTGATGAGTTTATCACCGGAAGAAGATGAAAAAAATTCCATTTATGATGAAGCAAATGGTGCCTCCACTTCAAATCTTTTAGACTCCCTTAAAGATTCATCCTCAATTGGTATTGAGTCTACTTCTAATGAGATAAGTAAAGTGAAAAAAGAGGAGTCATGCAAGACACGAATTGATAAATTAGTTGCTAGTTTTTCATCATTAAGTGGAAGTGGTGGTCTTCAAAATTCATCAATCTTGAAAGATGAGCTTGGTAATCGTAGTGATCAAGTGTCAGACAGAGAGTCGTTATCTGTTGATATTACGGAGGTAACATCATTTACTTCGGATACAAATTCTGATCTTTTATCTTCCATTTCTATGCACGATCAAGCAAGAATTTCAATGGAATCAGATTCTTCTACTCTGATTGGATACAAATCGAAAACAGGAACTACGGTCACCTCAGCTACAAGTCGAAATGAACGCATCTACACTGCTGGTAAAAGTATTTGTGATTATATTTTTAAACTGGCTGAAGAAAATGATAACACGTTTGCCAAATCAGTGTCTCATTTTATTGATTGTACAAAAGATTTACATGAAGTCAACCCACATGTTGTGATGAGAAACATACGACAGTTTATGAACGGAATGAAAAACTATCTGGTTAAACACGGAGAGAAAAATTTCCTTGAAATGATTCGTGAAGAAAGGAATAAACTAAAGAGTGACGAGTTTCTCAATATTGATGCAATCATTGAGGGAACTTTACATAAACTAATCATCAAACCTTTAAAAAGTCATCTTGATGGGCTGTTTGTTGAACATTACAAACAAAATGGTTCTCTTTCCCTTCTCTCCGAGAACATGAAAAACGCTCAAAAGAGAGGTCCCCAGGAGATTGGTGTAAGATCTGATCTTTATCTTCCTGATTCTAAATCCATGGCTATTATTCAAAAACACTTTGATAAAATGCAACAAGCTTACTCGCCATTAAAAAAGTTGGAACACTTACTGGCAGCTATATCATCAATTTACAGTGGAGTCAAAAACAGTTCCCAGCAAGCAGCCTTGACTTCAGCTGGATCTCTGTCCAGTGATCTCTACTACCGATCAGCAGGAAGTGGTAAAAGAAAAGTAAACATGGATGGAACACATCTGTCTATCGGAGCCGATGATTTTCTGCCTATCTTTATCTATGTTCTGGTTCATTGTGGATTTCTTTCAGCTGAAATAGAAGCTGAATACATGTGGGGTCTTCTTCATCCTTCACTTCTTTCTGGTGAAGGAGGTTACTACTTAACAACTCTGAGTTCATGTCTACATGTAATCAAAAACATGTCAGAAAATGAAATATCTTTGCTCAATCAAACATGCGATGATCCCAATGTAACCTCGTCTTCAACTGTTCTTGCTTCTTCTCCGTCTCCTCAGTCAACTTCACCACCAGCCACACCTAGTACCACTACTGGTACCAGCTCATCAACCAGTCTGGTAACTTCAATTACTCCTTCGCGATTTGCAAGTGTCACTGATCTTCAGGGTTATATGAAAATTATGATTCCCAATGAATTATCTTGTTCCATTGTCACTAAAACACTGCCTGTTCGACCAAGCATGACCACTAAAGATGTTTGCAAAATGATTGCTCATAAATTTAATCAAACAAACTCAGAGGATTACGGTTTATTCCAGATAACTGTTGATGGAAGTGAAACTCAATTAGAACCAAATGATTTACCTCAACTAATCAGATCCGAAGCAGTAAAGTCTGGTAAACTGTTAAGTTTTGCTTACAAAAGGATAGATGTTAAATTTGTTTGGCCTAAAATGGATGATTAATGAAACAGGGTGAAAACAAGCAAATTTTATTCATTGATATTCTCATTTCTTCACTCTTAATCTTTCCGAAATCGTTAATTTTTTTATTTCTGCTTTCTAACTCGATGCTATAAAAAATTTACGCTTCAACATGAAAGTAAACCTCAAGTCAAAAGATGTCATCTTTATATCAAAAAATTTATAAATATATATATATATTCATCAGACATTTATTCATGTAAACACCATCTTCGTTTAAAGATTATTCTTAAAATTTTCGACTTTTTTCATCCGAAAAGGTTTAATAATCAATATTTTTTGTCACATAATCAAATTTCTTCAAAGACTATTGAGCTCTCTTATCCATTAAGATCTTGCATTCTCATAAAGTCCATCTGTGCTGAAGTCTAAATTAAATAAAACATAACATTAAATTTGCTCATTAAAAACATTTATTTCTCCAGTTTTCATTTCATTACAACAGACAAGAAAATTTTGAAAAAAGTGTGTGCCTTTATCAACCGAGAAAAATTATTTTAATTGTAAAAGGAGAACTTTAGCCTCAGATTGACATTTGTAATCGATGGAATTATGATAGGATATAAGAGTTCGAGAGGAAGATCTGTCGTATTTTTCAAACCAGGTTGAGAAAGGATCCTCGACTGTTATTTAGGGTCACGAAATGTACCGAATATATAAATTTGTACATAAATAAATCTCATGTCGAAATCTTTCAATCAATACAGCTTTAAGCATCCACAAAAGACCAGGTTAGTAAAATTTACTCAATTCAATTTACACTTTGTACTTTTTAGTACATTCTGATATACTGAACAGGAATCTTTTCAAACAGAATGAAGTGCCTCAGGTTTCTAGACACGATGTGATTAAATTCAGCATAGGTGACATCAAAATGGTTATAATCAATGTGCGCCAAACGAATCTTCAGTCTTTTTGCTGGTTCCTCGAGACATGGTAAGCTTTCGAAAAGGACGAAAAATCAGTCCATCGAGGTCAAAAATATTCAAATTGGACTCATGTCATCCTTTTTCATGGAGATTTAGAAGAGAATGAATATTTTGATGTTATCCGTTAAACCAGGACCAGCACAGACAACCATATTTAGGAATCAATCAAATGTGTTCAGCAAAGATTTCGCGGTTTTGGGACTATGCTTTTGATTCACGATCACTTCACTGGTTATGTTCATCTTTCATGATTTTTCATTTATTAATAAATTTTTTTCTTCAAAACTTTCCCTGTCTCAGACAATTTATAAATAAATTAATGAAAATTGAAATCAAAATTCGGACTCTGATTATTTTTTTTAAAATCCCTCCTTTTGAATTGTCTAATAGCGTTTCTGTTGAAATACATTTTGAAATGTTTTCCCTGGAATCCGTTTATCTTCAAATTAATTAGCATTCAGAGAAAATTATTTTGATACAAGGTAAATGAATCAAGTTGAATTCAATTACATTGTATGGCTTATCAAATTTGTCACACAAATATATCGATCTATCGATGTTGAGAAGATTTTGTTTGTTTAAATTACAGCTTGTGTCAATAAAAACTATAAATTTGCTTGCAAAACATGTTAATTGTCAACTACTTGGACATTTTTTTGCCAATTTAATTGTTACTAATTGCAATAGTTGAACTATAAACTTCAAAGCTTTTTAATGTACCATTTATCATGTTGCAATTGTGTCAAACCCTTTCTTTTTTCTGTTTTATTCTTGTGTTTACAGTATTTCAAATCCAATATTTATGATTAATATCTATCGATCTACATGAATGTTACCAAGAATAAGGTGAGCTATTATAGTGTGGCTAATTATCTAGAAATTGCCAATTGTCACCACTATCATAGATGGATAACTTCAATCATTTGCTTATTTTGTTTACGTTTTCTTTTTCTTTTTTTTTGGTAATAGAAAATTGCTACTTATGCTAACTTTTCGGTTAACTAATAAAAGGCGATTGTCTTTGTTAATAAAATTGATCCCTTGCTTATTACTTGTGACTTATGTTGTAAATAAAATCAGTCCCATCGTCAGTGAGGATGAACGAGCTATTGGTTATGGCTATCAACATGATCAAATCGCTTTTACACAACCATCACAACCTTCGACATCATTAACACCTAATGCTTTGAGAGCACTTTTTAATTCTACAAATGACCAACAAATAATTTTCAACCTCGACAAATATGGTCCACTTATACCAGGTGATCCTGTAATTGTTGTACAGGTCCATGATCGTATTGAATACCTCAAAGTTTTAATCAATTCTATAGAAAGTGTGCAAGGTATTGATAAAACCTTGCTCATTTTCACCCATGATGTTTACAATCCAATAATCAATTCCATTGTTAAATCTATTGGATTTTGCAAGGTATTAACTGGTATTATTATGTCAATAAGCCTTAATAATTTATAACGATGCTTTTCAATCTTTGTTCATAGGTAATCCAATTATTCTACCCGTTTTCGTTACAAGCATATCCAAACGAATTTCCTGGAACAGATCCTAAAGATTGTCCTAGAGATATTAAACAGCAAGAGTAAGTGTTTCGACCACTTAGCAAGAGTCTTATTCATGCTAATAATTTATCATGTCATCTTCCTCAGAGCAATAGCTTTAAATTGTCAAAATGCAGAACATCCTGATACTTATGGTCATTATAGAGAAGCTGTATACACACAAACGAAGCATCATTGGTTTTGGAAGGTAATTACATAATTTTGTGATTGAACTTTGATCATTTAAACAATAAATTCTAAAAATGTCTTAATTTTAAACAGATGAATACCATCTTTGATAAATTAAACGTGACAAAGGATTATGACGGACCTTTCGTCTTTCTGGAGGAAGACCACTATGCTGCTCCCGATATGTTGCACATGTTAAAATCAATGATGGATCTCAAACTTCAGTAAGTCTGATTTTATTGCCGCACCGTGATCGATTCATAATCCTTCTAAATTTTACACCATTTTAGGAACAACTTGGATGTTGATCTCTTCACTCTCGGAGCTTACGTAAAAGTTTTCAATTATTTGAAAAATAGCGATAAGCTAGAAATTAACAAATGGGCTTCGAATTTACACAACATGGGATTTGTGTTGTTTCGTAATGTATGGAACCAAATCAGATCTTGTTCAAAAAATTTTTGCACTTACGATGATTACAATTGGGACTGGTCTCTCCAACATATAAGCGAAAAATGCATGACGAGGCCTTTGAAAACACTAGCTGTAATCGCTCCAAGGTAATATTTAGTATTATTTTAAAGAATCTTTAATTAATCTTCAATATTTTTCTTAAAATATAAAATATTCTAATTTTATTATTAAATATTTTCAAATAGAGTTTTCCATATTGGCGAATGTGGAGTGCACCATAAAAAAAGTGATTGCTCAAAAAATCAACTCATCAACAAAGTTCGTCAAACGCTGAAAGCAGCAGTTAATTATTTATTTCCTAGTCAACTAATCGTCCAAAAAACAACTAAAAGAAGTTCAAAAATGTCCAAAGTGAATGGAGGCTGGGCTGATATACGAGATCACATATTATGTCTCCAACAAGTTGTTTATGTTGATAAGATGCAAGAGTTTTAATTTTTTACATTCCCAGAAACGAAAAGACAATTTGAACATTTCAAATTTAATGTGCCTATCAATTCATGGAATTGTATTTTCCCTTTATTCTTAGATTCTGTGACTTTTTCTTGTAATTAAATAAACTAGCAACTTTTTGATATCACTTAATATCGTTATTTATTTGACTGAAAAATACAGATACTTCAATTGAGTTCTACATTTTGAATTATTGCTAAAACACAAAACACAGTGTTTAGCACCCAAATGCAAGAAGGGTAGATTTTATGGACACGCTGAGATCAATCAGTGCTTTTTTAATAAATTATCATCTTCAGCTGATCATTCAGATTTCTTGAGCAAAGATGTTGACAAGAGCTTTATTGTCAGACCGTTTGCTTCAAGGAAGGAAAAGTAGTTGTTATATCAGAGCGGGAAATGAGGATTAATTAATGAGATGAGATTAACGACATGAGATTAATTGAGATGAGATTAATTGAGATAGTCCTCCACACGACCGAATTTGAAGACTAGTGATCTATTTTGAGGAAGAGAGAATTAAAAAAGAATCAAAATCCATTCAAACTTCGAAAAGGTTTAAGATAAAGAAATAGTGACTTACCCAGAAAAAATCAGAACATTTTGAAGAAATAAACCGACGCCAGGATGCAATACTTTTTTATCTGGAATGACATAAACAGCGAATAAAATCCAGGTTGCAGCGATTATAGAGCTAAATCCTAATACAAATCCAATAAACAACCACACTCGAGCAGCTCTTTGGCCAAGAAATCCTGTACCATATGATTCTCCTCTAATTTGACTATTTGATACCGCATTAATCCTTTAATGAAGAGAAGAAGATGAAGTTTAGTAAGTTAGTTTTCCGTTGATCAGTTTAAAAGATTGTTTTTAGGCTGAATACAATATTTAACAGAAAGTGGAACCAAGACTTTAAAAAATTTACACACTTACATGAATAGAGAAATAGTAGCAAATATGCCACAAACATGATAAGCGCTGTTGAAATCTTCACTTGAAAAGCAAGCATTGACATCAATTATTATCCACCAACCGGTGAAAAACTATCAAGAAAAAACAAAACAAATAAAATGAGTAAAAGAATGTAATGAAATATTATGAAAATATAAAATTGATTCATACCAAAAAACCAGCAGCTATAGACGCAATGGCATTTCTTTTTTCACCAAGATTATCCATCCATTCAGGCATATTTATTCGAAAATTGTCCAAGCAGCCAGACATTTTGATTAATCAACGATAATAATTTAATTTTTCAAAACAGCTTACAAAAAAGGTTGAGGTTTAGAGTCTGAAGTCAAATTATGGACAAATGATGGTGCCAAACTTGACGAATCTTTCATTCACATGAGTTGACCTTTTGATGAACATGTAAAACAGATAAAAAATAATCAATTAACCACACAACTTACACTGATTAGAAAAATAAATAGTTAAAAAACTGGAATGATCAAATGTCGATAATCAAACGACTACCACGGAAACTATTTCCCTTCAGTAACCAGTAAAAGGTGTGTAATTCACGCTAACCGCAGAGCATAAATAGTTACACAGTTACCGGTAATCAGATTTTTTAGACAAAAAATCTAAAGAGGCAAATTTGAAAATTCAATCCTAAATCAAAGTTATTTTTTGAAAAATTATATTGTCAATCTTTCTTATTCAATAAAATCAATCAATCTAATTAGCTATTTAACTCAGATTGAAAAGATGGAATCATAAATTGACTCTAACGAATAATTAACTTAACGTTAATTCACTTAAAAGCCGATTTTATTTTGATTTTTAACTTAACTCTATTGTGTTGAGTTTTGTTTTCAGTTTGAATTTTTAAGTAAAATGTATTTTCCCGATAAAAAATAAAAAAGAATTGAATATTGTAATTATAAATATATTTGTATATATAACATGCGTATTTAATCAAATCTATCAAAAAACATTGAGGCTGGCAATTTTGAATACAATCGAAGAGCCTTTTTTTCGTAGGAAAACGATTGAAATGATGAGTCGAGGAAATTTTTGTTCATGGTTGATGATGAAGAGCCGCGTGAAATATGTGATGCTGGAGATAATCACAACTAAGATGAAGATGATAATATCGATGAAAAGATAGTTTAGAAAGAACAAAAAAAGAGTAGAGAAAAAACATTTTGAAAAGCGAGATCTTTGGCTTCTTCCATGAATATCTTGAGGATAAAAATCCATGGTTGAATAGTTAGCCAGGCACTTGGTTTTTGTCTTGTGTGTGTGTCCACCATTTTAGTACCCTTTGTGTTTGATTGAATACAATCAGTCAAAGATGGAGGGAATCATAAGTTTGAGAAAGAGCTTTTGGTAGAAAATAATACGAAATAGTAAATGTAAAATGCTAAGTCACTAAAATGAGATTCTGATTAAGCTGTCTGGTTGTTATAATCAAAATAATAAATGACAAAAGCATCATTTGTAAATTGATTTTGGTAACTCCTTGGGCTCCACTGAATATTGGACAATATGGACATTGGTACGACCCACAAACATGACAAATGCTCAATCGATAGAGATCATAAGTGCTAACCATTTGCTCCTCATAACGTTCTGAAGGAAAAAGAGAAGAGATAAAAAAATCATTAGTTATTTTCCAAAATATTGAATTTTAAAGGCGATTTGACAAGATTTGATGATGAATCTTGTATTTCAATTTGTAAAGGTTTTAAAAGCTAAAAGTCTAGCTATACAATTAAGCGAAATTTTAATGAAAGATGATGAATGTCAAATTAATCACAGAATAGCAACAAATCAATGTTAAAAATTGTTATTGTAAGCAAAAGGTGTAACCAATCAGAGAAACAGGTTTTGTTTTGGTTAAAAAATCCTCACTTATTGCAAGTTAATCGTGAAAAAAGGATTACCTAATTAGCATAAGTCATAAATCATGATGAAGAAAGATTATTTAATAAGTTGAATTGATTTGTTGTTAATGGTGTTATGGAGGGGGGAATTGTTGAAAGTATTACTTAAAAGAAGAAACTTAATCGCTAGTTTAGATTTAAAATTGAAGCTAAATTTTGGTTGGGCGATGGTCAGAGTGAGGCAGAAAAAGGTTTGGTTGGTGATGACATTTCATTGAATTCATTTAAATCAAGTCTTCGGTGTTAAACCAAACACCTTCATCATCTATCTTATTAAAGGCCTGGCCCACGAAACACCAAGTATGAAAATGAAAATATGAATAATTAAGAGATGAAAATTTAAATACCTGGTGCATAATAATCATATACTCTTGCAGGTATGAAACGGGACATGTTAGCAACAGGATACCAGCGTTGTGTGGTAAATGTAACACAGATAGGATTTGAATCCAACTGAAAAAAATAAGAGACAAAAGTTTTGATTAGCAAATGATCAAATCGATTCAAATCATGAGTAAAATAATGTATAATTGTAGAGACTTACGTAATCGAAATAGAATAATGCTTTTCTTTCTGAGAATTTGGCCTCTTTTAAGTTTCTAACTTTACCAGATTTCACGTAAGCGTCAAGATCTTGCTGTTGAATAATGTAACCAGTGGGAATGGTTAAATCTAACACAGCCATTCCTGAAGATGTACTTTCCTCTGTTAAAATCCATTGGGAACAAGCTCTGTAGTTGATGTGAGAATTGTTCCGACCAAAACTACGAAGCTTAACGTCCAGAGTAAAAGCTCTGATAGGAGGTGGAATTTGAAATTGCGGCCAATCAACATTGTACTGAACATCTAATTGAATGATTGCCAAACCAGAGCCTTGAGCTCTTATGATAACCGGACCATAAGCTTTTGGAATCTCAAATGATTGTAGTCTTGCAAGATTTTGACTGTTTATTTCAATGCGTTCTGAAAATTCTGGTGATGATGGAGCTTCAATAGTCACTTCAATGTCGGTAATATCTCGGATTCTCGATTGAATGGAATATTCGACAAGAGCTTGAAGTGCTATAATACTGTCCTGAGTTGATGCCCAACCTCCATTGTGCAGTCGATTGGTGTTTAACCATTCAACAATTTCTCGTTGAATGACTGCAGTCTTAATAATGTGTGTTAATAAGCCATAGGCTGTCGTCTCAATGTTCAAAGCATCATACTCATGGGGTCGTCGGGGTAAAAGATAAGGTCGATTATTTTCAATAGTTGTTTTAGGACCAGGTAAGGGAAGTTTACTCCAATATCGCATTCCACTAACTTCTCTCATTCGATTGTCTAACTCGTTAAATGCAGATTCAGCATCTGCTGAGTTGGCCAATGTTAAAGCATAAGTTACTATTGCAAGTTCATATGGGTCATCATGAGATTTGACAACAGCTAACATTTTTTCAAGATATTGAACAGCAGTGTGTTTAGCGTTGGAAATCAAGGGACTTAAATGGCCACTTAAACCATGGAGTTGACTAAGGGAAATCAATACGTGCGCAGTCAGGGAAATATTTCGATATCGAACGGAATCTGATGCTATTTTTGAAGATGAATTCATTTTTCGATCATATGGTTGTAAACCTATCTCGTAAAAGGCTCCTTCCGAAGTTTGGTGAGTTAAGAGCCATTGGGTTGCCTTTTCAATTATCTTGCGATCAATATAAAGATAGCTTTCCCATTCTTGGAATGTTGCTTTGTGAAATATTCGGACAACGAAAGCGGTTAACCAAACACTTGGTTTTTCGCCAAATCGGAAAGCACTAAAAGATCCGTCCTCATTCTGATAGCTAAGTTGCCTTTGATATTGTATATTTAAATAATGAAAAGCTTGTTTCTCTAGGTCGGCACTTTTTTGACCAGTTAATCTTAAGTAAAGCAGAGTGTACATATTGGCAGCAAAATTAAACATATTTTGTTCAGCACAGCCATAGGGTTTACGAAGCAAGTTTTCAGAAGTCAATGGCATAGACGGAAAAACAGGTCCCACAACATCTCCAACAATTGAGATTCTTGCTTTGGTTGAACCAAAAATGTATCGACGGTCATTCCTTAAGGGAATAATTGGAGTATCAGTTAGATTTGTATCTAAATATTTCATTAGATGAGCTCCTTGAGAAAGGTCCAGAACAGCAGCAGTGTGTAAGTATTGTGGGATTCCATCAGACTAGTAATTGAAATTAAATTAAAATGAAGTTAAAGATTAATAGTTTTTAAAAGGTTGAGGTACGAGAAAGAAAAAAAAGAGAATTGAAAATCAAAGGAATACAGATTGTTTATAATGGTGCATCAAGCTTGACAAGTTAATCACTTACTTCAACTCTGATAACTTTATTAACAGTAGATTTGGCAACTTGTGTTTTGGCAATTATGGTTACAGTAATATTCCCTAATCGTTGGGAAACAATCGGAATGTAAACTGTAGCAGTCTTTTGTGGACGAATCTGTAAAAGCGAGATAATAATGAAAATTGAAATAGAGATGAGAAATAAAAAGATAAATTCAAGATAAATCAAGTCAATCAGATTTACTTATCCTGAGATTTTGACAATTACTTACAAAAACTAAATGCTGATGCTCTCCTGAAGAGGTTCGAGGTGAATATGAAGATACAAAACCGTGCTCTTCAACATGAACAAATTTGTAATCTTGAGATTTAGCTAAATTACCAAAACCTCAATTCGCGAATCCATGTAATTGAAAATGCTGACTCGGATACCAATTTGTTCACCAATAGTACAAAGTGAAGGCATTTCAACGTTCATAAAGAATGGCCGAGCACTTGAATATTCAAGTGTTTTCTGGTGAAGTCCAAATCCTTGGGAATTGCTTATACCAAAAGCTGTTATCAACCATTTTGCTGGAGTTTGTGGAACGGGTACGTTAAAAGTAAAATAACCATGAGGCCCAATGTTAATATCTTTCCAAAGCCAGGAATTTTCATAAATACGATGAATGCGATTGTTCCTATGAATTCTGAATTGAGACAAGCCGTAAGGATCATGAACTGGACCTAGAATATTTTCATTGAAATAAGATGAAAAGAGTATTAAGAGCTGTTTGATAATATTGGAAAGTTCAAGTTTCAATGTAAGACGATGATTTTGTAAATTGACATCAATGAAAATAAATGTTTTAATGGTTAACTCACTGGCGCAGTGAATAGTTATCCCTTTTAATCACATTTAAGGTAAGCATGTAAGAGGTAAAGAGGATAAAGTTAAGGAAAGATGAGATAAAATATGATACATGAGAAGTTAATGATGATTCAAAGATTAATGGAGAATTAAATTAATGGGTAAAAACAATTAACATGAATAGATATTTACATGTGAAGGTAAAAATATAATAATTAGCACTATCAGGTAATAATATGACTAGGTATATAATATGATAATTTTATTTGTTTCTAATAATCATTATAACGATGTAGGCTGATGTAAAAATAGGGATCAATCAATTAAATTTAGTATCAAGTTGAAAAATTGGATAAAATAACGGAAGATCATTTAACATAAATTTGAACAACAAGAAGAAGTTCAAACAAAATGAATTTAAAAATAGCCTTAAACATGGGCTCTCATGAAAAGACAATGGGTCCAAAAAATATGCTCATTACGATGAGGGTGGGTTATCTTGGGCATTGTTGCAAAGCTAATGATGTCTCTTGGTTAACTTGAAGTACAGAGAGACTAAACAATTACAATAGGCAAGTTTAAAGTGTAAAATAATGGTTTAAAATGTTAACCCAAACTGTCAAGATAATCATGAAGTTGTTGAGATTGTTTCTGAGCAAATGTAAAACATATTGAAAAGTATTTAACCAACAAATTGCCTAAAGCACTTCTAAATTAGATGAAACCTCAATCATGAGAATTCTGTGAATCATTAAATGAAAATTAAAGGTTAAGAAAATTGTTGATTAAAAATGCAAGATGAATGGTTGATAGACCGTAAAAGGTAACAACGTTTGAAAAGAGCGGCAAGATGCGGCGCTAATTGTGTTTGTAATTTTTTTTTTGTTCAATTATGAATTTAAATAGATGATAAAAGAATTGGCAGAAACAATAATAATAATAATCAATGGTGGTCCATAAAAGGAGAGGATGAAAACAAAGGCATTATGTTGATACATGAAACTGAAACAGAGTTTTTACGGACAAGCTTCAGCTTCCTAACACAGCCTCCGTCCATTGAATCCTATTTTTTGTTTTGTTACGTTTGTCTTTTTCCCTCTTCTTCATTTTCAAAATGCATCACGAAATGCGTATAAGAAGGAAGAAGAGATGAAGATGAGATGACGAGGTTACTGCAATTGTTGAAGGGGAAAAGAAAGCTCAAGATGGCAAAGTGAATAAAAGATTTTGTTTTTAATCGCAAATTAAAATTGTTGTGAAGTGTATGCAAACCAATGAAAGGGAGAAGAAGATAAGAAGATGATTGAGAGAGAAATGAAAGAGCAGGTGAAAAGAAACAAGTTTCGTTACTGGCGATAGAGGCCAGCCCAATTTGTTGATTGACCGAGAAATAGTTATTACAAATAGGAAAACAACATTGTTGCTATTTGCTTGTTACGTTTCTTGTTGAAAGATGCTTGTGCTTTTAGTTAAAAGCACGCATAAAAACAAAAAGGATGAGCAACGGAAAAAATTGCCTAAATTATTATACTCAACAGTCAACAAGCTTTTATTGTTAACCAGATTGTGCTTCAACGGCACCGGCTATTATTGACTAGTTACTGTACATCTATCATTATGCCTATTAAATGGTAATAATCATCATCAGTAAACGCAATCTGACCTGATTTGGATATGATCGGGTATAAAGGGAAGCGTCAAATGCGTCTATTTAATTTAATTGTTTTCATTGTGATTGACTTTTCACTTTGTAATTTGGAAAAGTAAAATTTTTCAATTTTCAAGTCAACATTTCCTAAACAATGTTTTACTTAATTTATTATTAAACTAAACAATTTAACAGATACATAAATGATTCTCATTTTTCTGGTTAATTTGTTGTTGATTGTCAAGTATACTTATTAGTTTCAAAATTACAGTGAGTTATGCTTATTTTTGAGTACATATTGCTATTGTAACTCATTTAAAGTGATTTATGTTTGGTAATGTTTGCTGTATCAAACATAAATTGTTGAAGAAATAAATAAACAGCCAATTTCTGATTAACTTGGCAAGGGTAAGAAAATATCAAATCATGAGCCCAACAATAAATTCAGCGTTAAATGAATGGCAGATTTTAAGACAGTTTCATTTTTCACATGATTGTTGTTAACAAGAAAAAAGATGTTTCAAATACAAGTTACTTAACCTGAAAGAAAGGGTAGCAAATAGAGAGATGATTGAAGTAACATAAACAACAAGATGGACATCAGACTCTCATCCGGTAGCTGAGTATACAGGAGTCTGTGAAACACCCAGATGATGAGTAAATATGAAAATGTAAATTCTCAGTTTGGAGAAAGTGAAGTTTGATTGTACATTAGATTGAAAAGATTGACTAAACATTCTCAGAGAAGCTAATTTAGTCGGGAATTTGTCTCGCAATCGACATTGAAATTACATTGCATTTACATTTAGATGGAAAAGTTTAAAATGTAAATCACAATTTTGCATGCATGTTAATTGTTAGGTGCACATTTGGGAGAGAAAATTATTTTAAGAAAATTGAAAGTTAATTGAAGTAACTTGTGGTATTTGCAACATTCACGAAGTGACAAAAGAAATTGAACTTTATCATTTTAAGCACTTGGTGAACTTCTTAAGGGTGCTTCTGCCCACTCTAAGATACACTTACACAAGACAATTTACAAGATAAAGGTGAAGTCTAGAGGTTGGAAATAGTTTCAAATGTTTTCTCGTAATCGCTTTTTTCAAATAGCGATGTTGATGATAGGCTTTTACCCTCTCTAGATTTTGTAAGCATTTTCATTCTTTGATGGATTCATTTACCAGAAAATAATAACACTGTCATGCTTTTCAAGTTGCTCTGGGTCGAGTTAAAAAAAGTTAGGGCGAGAAATAGTTTTCATTATAAGTTTACGGGCGTTCAATCAATTGTGTAAAGTGATATTTTAAATCGTTTTGCTTGATAAGAAGGGTGGAAGATCTTGTTTTTATCTTCATCAAGTAGGATGAAGTTTTATGAAACAGATCAACTGAAAATAAAATACAATTATTTTTACAATTAAGGTGTATTCAAGATGAAAATTGTTTTACAAAGAATCAGATTGTCAACTTGACTAGTTTTCACTTTTCATCTGTAAAACCAAGTTGTTCAGTTGATATCAATCAAGATATTATTTCAATTTGGAGGGCAAGTTTGAATAATTGCAGCTGTTGAATAGTAAATTATTTACAATTAGTGAAACAAGTAAACAAGAATTAAAATAATTAAAAATATTTTCCAATAAACATTGAGTGTTGGTAACAAAAATGTGTCTATCAAGAAATATGATTGTGATTTATGTGAATGTAAATGGTGCAAAATGAAACTATTTGAGGAAAGTGAGTTTATTTTGGAAAGCATTTGGAATGGATTTAGCGTAAGAAACACAGGATTTGCATGATTGAGTTAGAGATTGAAAGTTGAAGATGAGCGAAGAGTCAACATCTCAATTTCAGGATTGTGTTCAAAATATGAAGAGTAATGATGCTGATGAAGATGAAGATATGTTTCACAAAGGAAATGAGCATTTACGTAGGAATTACTGGAGTTGGATAATTGTTAAAGCTAATCGAGGTCAAAAGCAAGTCTATGATGTTATGTTTTTTGCATCTCATTAAGTCTAACACACTCATTTTTTTACATTTTTACATTGCTTATCGTGTGCATATCTGTTGAAAAAATGATAAGTTGAAATAGCTAATATACATCATGTAAATGCATAGAAAATATTGCTGGAATGAGAAATGGAAAGGGAAGATGTATTGAAAGATAAGGAGGAAAACAAGAGCAAGATTCAGAGTTAGAATTGATCAGAAATGAAAGAAACATATTTAGTTGATAGATGATGATTATTATGATAATGGTAATATTATTACAATAATCGGGCAAACAATAATAAAATAATCATAATAATAGCATCATGAGGAGAAAAGAGAAATGTTTTGTTATAACATTTTCTAATATTACTATGTGATAATAAACATTGCTGCTTGATAGAGCATATTAATAGATGATTTTACAGGAATAAAGAGAAGGTAAAAAGGAAAAGGTAAAATAGCCTTACAACTGTCTAATCAGCATTTTGTGACAGATCATGATGATCAGTGAAGGTTAAAACTCTATCCGGTCATCTCTGTCAAATATTATTGGATAACTTTACTCAAGTCATCCATAGGGAAAGCAAGTTTCAATCAATAGACATTTGATTGGCTGTAAACCACAAACAAGAGAAGGTTAAATAATGTAAAGGTTATGTTGGTAAAGGTAATTTTCAGCGTTTTTTTTGTTGATCTCTGCTACGCTCTGATACAATTGAATTTTTTTTATTACAACAATTATCTTTGTGTAACGATAAAGCTTGAAAAAAAGCGATGTAAACCCATAGAGAGTCAATGAGCGTAGTAAATAAAGAATAGGAAAACAACTAAACAAACAAATTTAGGAAGCAATCAAGAAATGATTAATTTCTAGAGTCTATGGAGTGTGTTTTTAAAAATAGATTACAAGCTAAAAAATGAATTATTGGGATAAAAGTTCAATACTTACATCCATTTTCATCGGTACCATCTGAACATTTATTGGATCCATCGCATTTATGGGAATCTCGGTAACATCCATCTCCACTGAGGCATTGATACTCTCCAGGTCCACAGGTTTCCGGTCGTTGGGTGATATTTGCATCAGTGAATACTATCAGTCCGGCATACTGTGTTGATTGAGAGGTAAGTGATTTATTTATACGGTTATGTGGATAGGAAAGGGAGCGGATTAATTGAATGAGGTAACAAATAGAGGAGAGAGTTGAAATTTTAATCAAGAAAAGAGTAAATTTAATAAGATGATCATGGGAGTGGAACGTTGGTAAATAGCAAACCAGGTAGGAAACTGTTTTTTTATCTTTCCTCATATTATACACACCAATGGCATTACTAATTTCCCGCCATAAACAACTCAACTTTACTTAAAAATGCCAATGATTAGGTTAGTGTAAACAGTATGTAAATAGTGTAAATTTATGTACATATCAATTATGAGGATAAATTTAATGGATGCACAAGAAGAGAAGCAAATGTTTTGATTTACGGATAAGTTGACCTAACAGTGAATCAAAGTGATGCATTTAAGGTTTCAAGTTTAAGGTAAACATGAAATTGTCTATCGGTAAATGACACTTTAACCGATTCTTTATTTAAATAAAAATGTTTGTATGTTTTGCTCTGCCCACTAAACTAAAATGAATGAAACCGGCAAAAATTTTGAATATATTTATCTTGACAATTGGTTAATAACAATTTAAGGATTTAACATTAACTAATGTGAAATCTACTGAAAAATTTTTGCTATCTTTTTCAAGTTCAATGAGGAATTGAGAAGATGGTAAATTAAGAAATCATTAATTCTTGTTAGAGCTGGACTAGATTAATGGATATCAAGCTTATGGATTTATTGAAAATAAGGTGAATCAGCTTACCTCAAAAGTTTTATTTGAATCAATTCCAATTGTTGGAGAGGGAAAATGAATAAATTTATCAACTGAGCCTTCGCGAGAGATCCACACATGAGTTAGACTGCTGTTGGTTTGATGATCAAAAGTGCTCATTTTTCTGAGTACATCTGCATGATTAATTTGATTACCAGCATCTAACGCATTTACATCTTTATCTAAAGCAGCAATACCAACATAGGTTCCAGGCTGACCATAAATTACGATTTCAACGGTATCACCAGTTTTGTCTTTCTGATTGTTGAGACTAATAGTGAAATTGTTTCGTGATATGCCGTCAACCGAAAAGGTCAAAGCATCAGAAATAACTTCTCCACCTCGGGCTATGTTGTAGATGATGATGGTTGATGAGGGTGCCATTTCAGGTGATAAAGTTACCGAAAAGGTTTTTATATTTGTTGGCATCTCTTCTCTGCCTGTTGTCAATATTATTCCTTTGGAAATAATTACATAAGAAAATCTGTCCACAAAATAATTGGATCGCACATGGAAAATAATGTACTCTCCAACCCTTGGTTCAGATGTGCTAGTTGACACTTGGATAAGTCGATTGGATGGCGCATAGGATGAGTAAAGGTCGAGAGATGCTCGAGCCGAGTCTTTGAATGAATCCATGTAGAAGGCTTCAATGCGACAATGATGAATTGATTCAACGTTTCGTGCCGATTTGAGTTCAGTCTTAGGATCAATCGAGATTTCCCATATTCCTCGATACTGGGTTGACATTGAATAAGTGCGAGTAGTCGTGTAAAAAAGACCTTGTTGATTGTAAAATTTTATTGTCACGTTAATCTTTTCCTGTACCAATCTAGATTCAAGCAATGGGGATCCGTCTTGGTATGATACAGCAAGATAACTTTTAACAGGCATGTGAGGCTTGAAAACTTGCGGACTTGAACCCAGAAAAGACAGTTTTATTTTAGATCCAAATATGTAAGCTCGTGAATATCCTCGGTGAATTAGATTGAGAAAATATTCACCAACAGAAGCATGAACCGTTACTTTGGCACCATCTAAAGAGTTTCCGCCAATCATCTGAGATAATTTTGACATCTTGAAGCGAAATTCATAGTAACCATCGAACTGTCGTTAATAATCAAAAAGATTTGTTATTTAAATAAAAAGAGAAGAGAGAAAAAGAGCGTCAGATGTGCATAAAAGATGATGATAAGAGAGAGAGAGAGAAAAAGCTGATACAGAGTACAAAAAAATATATTGCAATGGAGCAATGACGAGGCGTGAGCAGAGAGATGGAGAATCGCTCAGGAAAAAGGCGTAGGAAATGAGATAACAAAGAAGAGAAGAGCGTTGAAAGAAAAGTAAGACGAAACAAGGAGACAGAGAGAAGGAGAGGGAGAAAGAGAGAGAAGAGGAAGGTAAAAAAATGGTTTATACCGCGAAAAGTGAAAGCTCATAGAGATTTATTGAAAGCTGGTGAAGTGAAAATATCGGGTGAGTAAAGTGAAAAGAGGCAAAGAGGGAAACGTTGGTGTTTTTTGTAGGGATTGTGACTGATCTTGCAATATGTTTGTTGTTTGCTCTTTCATTTGATGTGGTTAGACAAAAAATTGAAGTTATTTGAAATTGCTAATACATCAGTTTAAAAAAAGCATTTGAGATGAGATAAAAGTGACTATTTGATTCTTTGCATCGCTTTTTACTTTGTACCGACTTTTTCACTCTCCTTTTCTGTTTTTTTCACTCACATATTTAATTGACTCTTCAATTCCAGGAAGCTTTGGTCCCGATCCTGGACCTCTAGATTGATCAACAGTAACCAATATGGTTAAATTACCCGTTACTGGTGCACCGCTTGTGAAACTACAATATAAAAGTGACAAGAAAAAAAACAAGATTAGTAAATGCATTCACCAAAAGTCAATGTAAATTGTAGTGTAAACAATAATTTTTGAAATTTGGTTAACAAATAAATTTGGAAAAGTAAAGTTGGTGAAAACTTGGAAAGGAAAAGGTTATTAAAAAAGGTCAATTACATTAAAAACAAAAACTTACTTTGCCATAACAGAACCATAAATGTATTCATCGGTGTTTAGGAAAAAAGCAGGCATCGATACGTTAACCTCAAAACGTGTTTGATCTGAAAAATGTAATGAAAAGAGTGAGTTGAAAATTGGAAACAATTGAGTTCATTCAATATAATTTCACTTGCATTCATCTTCAATACTTTAAAACATACGTCAACATTGGCCATCATGAATTTATCTAATTAGATTCCAATGAATCTGTCTGTTTAATTGTATTTTCAGCACTTGAAAATATTCAAAATATCTGTTTATTATCAGCCTTAGTTTGTCAAGAGTTATTTAATGAAATGATTTAGATTAATGGAAACACTGATTTCAATAAAACCAATTGACAAAAAAGATGCAGACAGATGCTTGAGATGAAAAAATGCTACAACAAATATTTCAAGCAATGTTTTGAGCATTTTTTTTGTCCATTCAAGAGAAGAGGAAATATTTTTTAAGGATTTATGGAATGGTTTGAGAGATGTTTTTCATCTTGAATGCCAAAACTAAACTCTTTTGACCAATCATTCGTTTCAATCAATAAAATGTTACATTTGCTGATACCTTAGTTACAAGTGTCATGAGCTTTTAGTTATTTTCAGTTTCCTTGTTTCTTAAATCTATTGTTAGACGATTTAACACAATTAAATGATTAGGTAAAATTAAACGTGCCTTTAACTGCTTACACTTGTTTGAATAAATGAAGACCATTGTTGTAAAATTGAAGGTAACAATGATTCATAAGCTTAGACATTTGAAGTTAATTTTCAGTGAAATGAAACAATTCAACCAGAAGAGTTGCATTTGGATGAGAGGATGATGATTAAAATTACAATCGACAGTGTCAATCGATGTGAAAAGGTCGAGGGGTGAGATGTTAATGTTTTAAGGATGATGAAAAAGGATGGAGGTGGATGAAAAGAGGCAAGAAATTGATTTATGAAGCGTGAGGTGAAATTATTTAAGATTAGTATTAAATGATGATTAGAGGAAAACTTATGTAGATGAGGTGAAGAGACTTTCATTCATTTGAGGGATTAAACGATTTATTAGTAAAGATAATAATTTGTTTTTCTTGGGACACTTTAATGTCTCAACAAATCTTTAATGATTTGTTGTCCTTCTTGTCAGTAAATGAGAGAGAGCTGGCAAAGGATGAAGGGGAAGTTGAGAGAGTAAAATGAGTGAGATGAGGTGTGTCTAGAGCTTATTCATTTTTGACTGTTAATAACATGAATCCATATGAAAACATGAGGAGAAGCCAGGCAAAAGTTAAGAAATAAGCTAGAAAAGATTTTGTTCATTTCATGTTGATGTCCCTTGAAAATCTCATTGATGTAATATTTCTTTTTTTGTTAGACTCACAAAATGTCCTCTTTTTTCATCGAAAAATTTAAGGTGAAATTTTTTGACTTACAATATTCTTCGACAAGAAACTGCTTCGTCTCTTCTTGTCCCTGAGCCACAACCTTAATAGACCAGTTTCCATAGATTGGTTGCATTGACAACGTATGTTCCAAACTAACAGCTCCTAGAAATGGTAACGAGGAAGAATGAATAAATAAAAACAGAAATTATTGATTCAGTATAATAAATAGATGCGTTGGGTTGGTTTCAGTATATAATGGATGAATTTTTGGGCCAACTTGAAATATGGATTGATTTTCAAACAACAGAAAAAAAAGTGGAAACTTTATATTGTTGCTTCGCTTATAAGGTTGATTGAGAGCAACAGTTGACAAAGAAAATCATTAGCGTTACAATAATTTATTAACGCGCATCTGATGATATTAAAATTTTGCTACCAATTTTGGAAGGTTCAATGTAATTTAACATTATTCAATATTGTTCAACATTATCCTACATAATTAATTTGAGTGATCGATGAAGCAGCAGTTAGATTTGAATTTGAAATAGCAAAACCATTTAGATTTTAATCAGTAACCAGCTTCTAATATTAGAATCTGCATCTGAATATTTACTGAACAATTGTATATTAGACTGGAATGTAATATTGTATTTAATTATTCAATCTAACTGGTAAGATTTGTAAGAATAATGAGTAATTTGTTTTAAGGAAGACGTGAAATCAGAGTTGAAGAAATTGATCACATTAATGACTCTTTTGAAAATATTAGTTTCATTTAAGCTTTTCTGGTCACAAAATTTGTCCTCTTTAAACAAAACATTCAGTATTGTCAAAATATAGAAGTAACTAAAGGTCTGTTAGTCAAATATAATTGACAAACTAGTAGTTCTCATAACAATAAAGTGATTTACTGTCTCACGAAGAAACTAACCTAATATGTAACCAGATTGAAACAAAAATCACGCAGTTGTAAGAGTTTTGCGTTACAATAAGTTTTGATATTAGATAAATAGGTAGGACTATTAAGCAATTAAGGTGAATTAAAAGGATACATACCTTGATTACTTTGACGAGAAAGCCATCTTTTAACAACATTTCCATTAGGATCAATCATGTAAACATCAACAGCATCGGAAAAGGTTTTCAAATCAGTTGTGATGGGCACAAAACGAAATTTGACAGTTTGTCCTTGCATATAGATGGGCTTGTCAGTTGTTATGAAAATAGTCATAGATCTTTGATAGAATGTGAGATTTGTTTCCTCCAGGAAAGCTGTGCCCTCCAGGACACCTTTAATGTTGCCCTCGACACGAAGCCTGAATTTTCCATCAGGGTTAACTTTTACTGGAACACGAAGTAATAATTCCTCAGGAATACCAGAAGAACAATCATTCTGAGTTGAGTCTATTTCAACTCCATCCCTTAAAATTGATGCTCTTACAGTGACAAGAGTACTGGTGAGGAAAAAAACAAATGATAGAAAAGGATTGATGTTAGATTTAGCGAAAAAAAATCTCTGTTAATTGTTGCTTGACCAAAACTTACCCGGTAGTTTCATAGACAGTGGCTATAACTTTGTATATTTGACCTGGTCTAATAATCCTTGATGCTAGTACAAAATAAGTTCTGAGACGTGATCAAGGGAGGGACCAGAAAGTTGCAGATGGACGTTAAAAAAAAGAGAAACGGAGGGATGAGATAGTGAAAAATGAAGCATACGGTGTAAGAAAGAAAGGGACAGAGAAAGAAGAAAGAGTAAAGAAATGAAAAGGTAAGTTAGTTGACAGTGGAGAAGAAAAGGTAACATGAATAAAGGTACTTACACAGTGCCAGGTTCATTTGATGTAACAAGTAATCCATTGGCAAGAAACACAATTAGTGTAGACAACACTAAACTAAAATTTAAATTCATTACGATTCACTAAATTAAATAACATTAGCCTTCAATATCTTTTTGAAGACCAGCCTTTCAAATACAAATTCAAACAAACTCTAACAAACTTTCCTCACTTTGAATTTACTGTAACAAAACCTGTCTCACCCAAACTTGCATAATGTTTTAATAGTTCCATCTATTGAGCAAAAGTAAAACTTATTACCGATATTTTATGTATCGAGTCTATATATTGCTTGAAGCTTAAGCTGTTTGTTTATGTTTTGACTTGCCTCATATAAATTTCATTTCATTTTTTGATTCTGTGGAAGTTTCTCATTTAAGATCAATTAATCATGTCTTATATGATAGCTCATCTTCACAATGGCTGGCAAGTTGACCAGGCCATTCTTAGTGAAGAGGATAGAGTTGTAGTCATTAGATTTGGTCATGATTGGGACCCAACATGCATGAAAATGGATGAAGTTCTTTACAGCATCGCTGAAAAGGTAAGGCACAATTTATTGATTTGTTTATTTTTGTTTCTTTATTTTCAGGCTTTTCTAATCAAAGATTATTCTCTTTTTAACAGTGTAAAAATTTTGCTGCTATTTATTTGGTTGATATCACAGAAGTTCCAGATTTCAATAAAATGTATGAATTGTATGACCCATGTACAGTCATGTTTTTCTTCCGAAATAAACACATCATGATCGATTTGGGCACTGGAAATAACAACAAAATTAACTGGGCATTGGAAGATAAACAAGAGATGGTGGATATAATTGAAACAGTTTACCGTGGTGCCAGAAAAGGTAGAGGTCTGGTCGTCTCACCAAAAGATTATTCAACTAAATATCGATATTGAATATGTTTATTTGAATGTTGTCAACGAATACATTTGCATTCCGTTGTTGCTGATACAATAATTATCAAACTACCATCTTTCAAAATTGCAACATACGTAAAGATTTTGATTCAGCCAAAAAATTGGTAATAAATGTTTACCTGTGCTCATTCACCTAATTCTAATATTCTCTGGTTTAATCCAGTCTATAAATATGGAATGTCTCAATAAAATTTGAATGGTTCAACGCAGAATTTCAATTTCACGAATTTACAATTAATTCGACCTGAAAAGACCTCAATCCACATTGTAAAAATCCGAAAAATAAAACCTTAACTTTTGTCCAATTGAAAACCATCGCTTCAAAAGCTGATTGAAAGGTAGATAGTTGACCGGAATTTTAAAAATAAGTTGTTGTTTGGTAAAATATTGAAGACTATGATGTTATATTCTAATTATGATTTTGAGATACAAAAAGAAATAATTCTTACATGATTCGGCATCGGAATCGAATCTTGTTTATGAAAATAAAGCAAAATTAAAGAATTCTTTACTCTAATCAATATCTTAAGCAATGTTGCAATGTTAAGTAGTTCATTTTGGACAAAAGTTGCGGATTTCATTTTTCGTTTTCATCAGTATGATTTGGTTTATCCAGCGGGAATTTATCGTAATTTGTTTTAAAAAAGATCCTTGCATGAAGGGAACTTTTTGGAAGATTGAGAAGTGGATCTTGGTTCAATTTCTAATTTTTAATTTCTTTTGATATTGTTTCGAATGTGATTTTCCTTTGGTCATTGAGATGTCAATGATTGCTTCACATGATCTGGAACTAAAGCAGCTAATTTTGCATTCATTTCGGGTGAAGTGGCAGCTAAAATTCCTCCTGTATTTGGATGTGGAATATCCTTATGATATTTCATATCATTTCCAAAAATATCAGTGAATTTGCCTCCGACAGCATGAAGAATAGCCTCAGGAGCACAAGTATCCCATTTTTTGCAACCACTACTAGGGTAAACGTATGCATGAGCTTGACCCTCGATAACCAACAATACTTTGTGACCAGCTCCCCCGATTCGCATTTCAGTAGTTGGCTTCATAGCCAATAAAGTATCGTCAACAAGCTTGCTTCTGTGTGATCTAGTTGTAGCAATAGTCAACTCATTTGCTGGTGGTTCTTTTTTCTCAATCCCAAAAGCACCAAGGCCTACAACACCCCACATAGTACGACCAACTTTTGCAGGATCTTTCTCAATAGAATGTTTGTAATAAGGTTGATGAATGACACCAGAAACTGCTTTACCAGCAACAGCAATTCCAATAAGAATTGTCACTTGTTCAAGTAAGCCTTGAGTGAATTCCGCTGTACCATCAAGAGGGTCAACCCAGACAACAATGTCCTCATCATTGACATTGGCCAACTCAGCAGGACACGAATGTTTGAGTACACTTTCATCCAATGTTTGGCAGACTAACTCCTCATCAGAATCACTAGGTTCAAGATCCTAATTAGTGAACAAAAAGCAATAGACAAAGCAAGTTTTAAGGATGAAAAGGAGAGTAAGACAATGACAAGGGATATTTATTATCAATTATTTACCTCTTCAGCAATTATGGTGATCTTAGGGAATGATTTTGACAATGATGCGACAATACATCGTTGGATCATTCGATCCGCTTCCGTTTGGAAATCATTGATACCCTAAATGAGATAAAATAGATTAAACGATCAGATAAGCTTAAAGTGTAAGCCCAATAACCTTAAAAGAGAATAAACAGAATCATTACCTTATCAATGATGTTCAAATTACCACGACTGAGAACACCTTTTACTATAGATCCTGCTTTATTAGCAACTGAAACACTAGCTGAAACAATTCGCATTAAAGTAGGAACCGACATGATGAATTGGACAACAATTAAAAAATGATAAAAATGACAAGTGTAATTTAAATGAGATGAAAAGGCTCACTTTATGTTCATTGCACAAGTTATCATAGATAGAAATAAAGTGGGAAGACCTACATTTATCATGAATAAAATCATCACTATTATACTTGATTGGCTTCATCAATATTTTTTTCGTTCAAATTTCTATTTAAGTGGATACAATTCACTTGACAATTCAATTTGTTAATCACAATTTGTCATTTGAATTTGGCGCTGCTGGTTCAGAAAATGTTTACTGTAGCTTGGCAACACGTTGTTATTATTTCAACGTGAAACTCACGGTGAACGTCTTGAAAGTCTTATATTGAAAGAAATGCAACTCGCATGTTAATTGTTGTCAAATATTAATTGAATTATTTAGTGTACACCTGTGAGTTATTGTTTGTTAAACAATTGTTTGATTTCTGAACTAAAGTTTCTATGTTTTTTAGAAGTTGTTTCTAAACTGATATTGTGTTGGCCAGTTGCATCTTACTTGCAAAAATTGGATTGAAATTGTAATCCAGCTAAAATTTATTACAAACAATTGTCTGGTGTGACTACTACAGACTTATCATTTTAGGATTCCATTATAATATTCTAATTGCCTTTCATCATGTTCTCAGGAGAGCCTTTAACTAGTTCTATGACTAAGGCTGGTAATGTGCGGTCATTTTATCTCAAGACAAAGCGTGGAGCTATCGTAAAAATTGTTCGAGAATATTATTTGCGGAATGATATTCCATGTGGACTTGAATGTTCAACATGCCCGATAACTGATTGCTCAACTAAACTAAGTCGTAAATCACGGGCTCAGATCAATAAATTAATTCCTAAAGCTCATCTCATAGTGCCTGATGTTAATGTTTTGAACAATCAGCTAGACGTTATTGAAAGCTCTACTTTCGGTGATGAGCTTATTCTTCTTAAAACGGACCTAAACGAAATCCGATCCACCAACTTATCACTTTTTAAACGGCTCATGGATGTTAAAGGAAAGAAAAACATCTTTTTGTTCGAGAACCAATTCAATGAGCACACTTATGTCGAGCGATTGCCAAAAGAGACTAGAGAGCAGTACATTTTTCGACTCGCAATCAGTGCTATAAAATGGTATCAAAATCATATTGGTAAGAAACTGCAAATAGTTTTACTAGTTAATGATTCGTCTACTAAAGCTAAGGCTACTGCTGAGGGTCTCACCTGTTTCACTTTGGTAGAATATGTCGAAAATCTACATGATAATGTTGAATTATTGGATAAAGTTGTTAGACCTCCAGATGAAAAAATGGAAGTTGATCAAGCCATTGAAAAAGCCGCAAAATTCCTCTATCCTGAACATCTACCTCTTGCAATTATTCAAAAAGGAATCAAAGAGGGAAAATATTATCAAGCTAAGTTTGCTACCAATAGAGATAACTACTTGGAAGGTTCTGTGCATATAACAATGAATGGAGAAGCTGTTCGTGTTCTCATCAGTGGACGTGAGAATATGAATCGAGCAGTCAATGACGACATTGTAGCTATTGAAATAGCTCCAAAAGAAGAATGGAAAAGTAAATCTGACTTTGTTTTAACTGCAGATTTAATTACTGAAGATAAGGATGAAAAGGAATTAGAAGAACCAAGTGAATTGGAAAACAAAAAGGATAAAAAAAGCGAAGAGGGTGTTATCAAAAGGCCAACTGGTAAAGTTGTTGGAATCATAAAACGCAATTGGAGACAATACTGTGGTATTATACGTGAACGAGATGCATGTATCATGAAAAATACAATAATAACTAGTCACTTTTTCGTACCAATTGATAAACGCATTCCAATGATTAGAATTGAAACCCGTCAATATGATTCTTTGAAAAGTCAAAGAATTCTTGTGGCTATTGATAATTGGCCAAGAGATTCTAAGTTTCCTCGTGGTCATTATGTTCGAGCTCTTGGTCCGATTGGTGATAAAGCAACAGAAAATGAAATTCTACTTTTGGAACATGATATACCTCATCTTCAATTTACCAAATCAGTTATGAATTGTTTACCTGATCCCGATAAATGGTCTATACCACCAGAAGAGTTGTCTAAGCGTCTTGACTTCAGAGATAAACCTATATGCTCAGTGGATCCTCCGGGTTGTACCGATATTGATGATGCCTTACATTGTATTGATTTAGGAAATGGTACTTACGAAGTTGGTGTTCATATAGCTGATGTGTCTGCGTTTGTTAAGCCCAACACTCCATTAGACCAAGAAGCTGCAAATCGAAGCACAACTGTTTATTTAGTTGATAACAGAATAGACATGATTCCAACAGTTCTCAGTTCTAACCTTTGTTCGTTGATGGAAAATCGTGAAAGACAAACATTCAGTGTCATTTGGAAATTGAATGCTAAAACAGCTGAAGTCATTGACACAAGGTTTGCGAAATCAGTGATTAAATCGCGAGCTGCCTTGACTTATGCTGAAGCACAGCTTCGAATTGATTCTAAAGACAGTAAAGATGACGTTACTCAAGGTCTGAGACGATTAAATGCGTTAGCTAAAAAATTGAAGAAGAAACGAATCGACAAAGGAGCTCTTGTTTTGGCCAGTTTAGGAGAGATAAAATTCATCGAAGTTGATTCGGAAACTGCCGATAATGTGACCAAAATTGAATCAAAACAGCTTCAAGATACAAATTCAATGGTTGAAGAGTTCATGTTGTTAGCTAACATTTCAGTAGCTGAAAAATTGTACCAAGAAGTTCCCCAATTAGCCTTACTTCGTCACCATCCCAAACCAAGTGCCGCTAATTTTGACGAACTTGTTCAAGCATGTAAATCTCATGGTTTTGATATAGATGTGCAAGATGGAAAATCACTTGCAAAATCTTTAGATGGAGCCAAAGATCCAAAAAATTCCTATTTAAATCTGATGATTAGGATGATTACCACACGTTGTATGACTCAAGCTCAATACTTTTGTTCTGGTAAAATGGCTGACCCGGAAAATAATTTCCTTCATTTTGGTTTAGCCACACCAATTTACACTCATTTTACTTCACCAATTCGACGATATGCTGATTTAATTGTTCACAGATTATTAAGCCATGTTATCGGAGATACAAATTTAGATCCTGTTTTGACAAGCAGTGAAAAAATTCAAACCCTATGTGAAAATATTAACTATCGTCATCATCAAGCACAACTGGCTAGTCGAGCCTCTATAAAATTACACACTTTGATTTACATCAAGAGTGTAAAGAAGCCTTTAACCGAAGAAGGTTACATTCTTTTTGTGCGTAAAAATGCCTTACAAATTTTGGTTCCAAGATTAGCCTTCGAAGCAACTTACTTCTTCGAGAGTTTAACTGATTGGGAATATGATGGATTAACATGTACCGTTAAATATCTTAAAAAAGACATCACTTTGCGACAATTTGATCCCGTTAAGATAAAACTGTCTCTCATTGATAAAAGTACTGAATTCCGTAAAGGAGTTGAAGTAATTGACGTTCAGTTGATTAAACCACTCATTGAATCAAATGTAAAGGCTATATCAACATGAATAAATATATTTTTTCGTTAATTATTCCTGTTTTTTATTTTCATGTTAAATGGCAAATTATCCGATAATGATAAATCTCAAAATTACAATGTACTCAAAGTTGTAATTGTCCTTATGTTACTATTAGAAGTATCAATAATTTCTGTCGTTTTTCATGATTTGTTAATTCGCTAAATATTTATTACCAGATTGATTCTAAATGGTTAACTCTGATTGAAAAAAGAGACGACCTTCGAGCACATTCTAGTCTCTGATATCATTGCTTTAATTGCAAAGTCATTAGTCAAAAAGAAACAGAACTTATTGATAACATTAAATCAGGCAATTTAAAGGTTCCTTAAGAAATATTGGGAACTAATTCAAATGTAAAAAACGTTTTTTTAACAAGGATATAAAAAGTTATAAAATAAAAGATTGCATTTGATTAATTTGATATCAAAAGTAGACTTGATTTTTGTTTGTCAAAGGACAACCAAACAAGGAAAAGTAAAAGTTAATTATCATGTTGTTACCCTTATTGTAATCAGGGAAAGTTTTAATTTTAATATTAATAATTCTTAATAATTGTTTATGCGTCTTTTTACATCCAATTTGATCAGGTTCTTGGATTCATAAAGTGATCAAAATTATTTTTAGGTTGATTCCATTTGTGTGTTGAGCAAACTTCACCTTGAATATACATTAATTGCCACTGGTGAATAGGCGATAACAAAGATGATCAAATTAATCGATCGACATTCAACCTTTATTTTTACATTATATGAGGAAACGTCCTTTCATAGTTAACAAGTTAGACAGATATCTTGATGAACTCAGAAAGAAGTCAAACAGATTTACTAATAATATATTATAATATACAAAATGTGTTTTTGATCCATTCCAAGAACAGTTAATTAAAGTAGTAAAGAAAATCGACTGAACTTTTCGCGAAGAAAGTCAAGCAAATCGCACTGATTGTTATCTTACATGCTCTTTCCAATAAGAGTTTCCTTGAAATAGAAGCAAAAAAGGACGTTAAATACAATTTTTTAGCAAAAAAAAATCTTAATTACCTTTGATTTTTGCTCCTAGCATCACTTATTGTGAGTTTATCCTTTAATGCATATTTCCTCAGACCAATGATTATTTGATCACAATAGGATGGCCAATCAATTGGCTTAACATCAAAATAAAATATCTATTGGATAGTGAAATGTATTAGAGTCATTATTTAATACATATTAGTGTTTATATTAAATATTTGTATGATTTAATTTACCTTTTGATCGATTGGATTGAGACTTTTTTGCAGCTTAATCATGTTTGTTGACTCGAAAGACCATCCATTAGATGTGAAAAATTCAAACGATGAAACCACCTTGTTTAGCTTTGAGCAGCTTTTCACCAACCTAATTAGGAGAGTTAATTTACAATTATTCATTGGTTAAGTTTCTTATAAGCAATTTCCGACTTACATTGGTTTGTCTCCACGTAAACAAAGGACACCATCCAGAAAGACACAGGGAAGGTATTGGTCAACGATTTGTATCCAATTTTTAAGCATACTTGATCCAGTCAATACAAATTGTGGAGCTCGAACAGCCATTGGATCAGGATATAATTGGATAGAGTCAATAAGGTAACGAGCAAAGTTTCTAATTGTCAATGGATTTTGAGCTCCTGAAGTACAATGGATAATCGGAATTGGATTGATTGGCTGGTTGACTAAACTCCAAGCAGTTACAATGATCATATTAACAACCATATCAACAGGAATCAAATCAAACAATGCATCAGGATTTCCAATCATAGTACGAACCATTCCCTTAAGAATAGCAAATGAGATTCCAGCAACATTGTTAATATTGTCAATCCATCCCGTAAAAGGTTCCTGGAAAGCTGAAGTTACTATCGATGGTCGCAGTATGGCAATCGGTAAATTACCAGACTCTTCAGTAATCAGTGTTTCAGCCAATGATTTGGTTAAAGTATAAGTATTTGGTCGACCATCTAAAAGCTTGGGTAAAATATCCTCAATAATATCATCTGACATCCACTCAACTAGATCAATCAAGTGTTGAGGACTGATTTTTTGTGGATAGACTTTTTCATCTATGGATTTAAGGTTACAGTTACCATAGCTGGTTGAGACATGGACAAAAGCCTGGTTAACAAAAATTTAGATTTTCTTATGTTAGTCAGTTTAATTAATTATAATCAACTAACTGTATATTACCTCAATTTTAGGTAAAGATTTGGCCAATGTCAACATGCGACGAGTTCCCAGTATATTGATATTTACGGCCTCTCTAATAGATTAAAAAATATAATCAATCAATTGAAAGTTACATTCCATTGTTGGTGATTTTTAATATTTACCTCAATATTTCATTGAACCTAACAGTTGCTGCTGAATGAATAACCACTGACACTTCACTTTGCAACAATTCAAGTTTTTCCTGAGAAATTCCTAGTCCATCTAAACAGATATCACCGGCAATGGGTTTAATTTTTTTCAACAAATCAGGGTTTGTTGTGCGAAATTCATCAAAACACTTGATAAAGCAACAAAGATGAATGTTAGAATTGTAACTGAATAATAAAAATTGATATTTACATTATTTTCCAATACTTTGACCACTCGTTGGTCACTTGTAAGTCCACGCTTCCCTCTTAATAAAATGTAAATGTTGCCAATGTCAGGGCAGACTTTCAATAATTTATAAATCACAGCCTAATGAAGAGGAATCAAGTTAGTAAATATAAGTCAGTCTAGAAATAAATTTTCAGTCTTACCTTTCCGATGAAACCAGAAGCTCCAGTGATAAAGACACTTTTCCCATTGTAAAATTTAATCACTTCGGATTCAGAGGTGAGTAGATCAGGAACCATTTTTGTATAAAGATTATCACAGGTGACAGTTGACACACACAAGTTAGTATTGAATAGCGAGAATTGCAAATGACAAGATAACTGTGAAAGATAATTTAAAGTGAAAGAGTTGAACTGAACTGATCAAAGTTTGAACTTGTATTGAAAAGATCAGACTATGAGTTTTAAGGTAAGTTTACGGTGAGTGAGAGAGATAGTGATTTGATTATGATGAGAGGAAGAAACTTGAAGAGGCAACAGATCGTAACCGTCAACAGGGGACAAGTTGGAATAGCAGAAAACTCAGGTTGATTATGTTGATTACCAAGTTTATTTTCGTCATCCGAACCGGTTTCAAAGCGCTTACACAGGTTGCTGATCAACTAGCTTACGGCTATTTACCACTTTCTATTAATGAGATTACTGTTTCAATATTATCGAGTATCTTATTGAACACACTATTGGTTCACGGACGAACATTGGACCGGTTTATTTTCGAATAATCGACACAATTAAAGTCAAAAATTGTAATGACCACTTGATTATATAAACCATTAAATTTGTTATGAGCGTTAAAGCTAAAGAGAGAAAGTTAAAGATCAGCTGGTTTAATCCATTGAAGTCAAATAGATAATCAATTAGATTTTGATTAATATTAGGAGTGACACGAATCTTAATAGTTCAATGTTGCTCTCAATTAATTTGCTTTGTTGAACAAAATTAAATTTAACAAGAAAATTGAAAGGCAATAAAACAGTTTGAATAAAAGTAGAATTGAAAAAATTGTGTATTTTACAACAAGATTGTAACTCTTATGTTATACTTCTCACAGGGAAACCCAAACAATCCGGAGAAAATTTTTCTTTTACTATTAATACATGAAAGATCACCTAAGCTTGAAACTCTTCTAATATTCAGGGTATTTCTATTTATGGTTACAATCATGTTTCAACTCTTCCTCTCAATAGGGATGTCCAGTTAACCAGGTTTATCAACAAATTTTGATGCGGCGGATAAATTTTTGTTATTGAGTTGTTTACACTGACATCAACCAGTTACTCCTCTGGTCATTTTAAGCAATTTTACGTCAGATCAACAAATTAAAATCCCATTATTAAAGGTTGCAACAATTCAATGACGATCGAGAGGGTAAAAAATTTGGGTATCAATAAATTGAAACAAATATAAACCTCTGTTTCAATGTGATTGTACCTCTTGTTTACATCGAGAGTACATCGAGAGTACGTACATTGAGAGTGTATTTTAAACATCGACTTGTTGAATGTAATTTCATGATACGTAATAAATTTATATTAAATTATATTCTCAATGTATCAGCACTAATTTTGAAGAAATGAGCTATATCTTAATCTTAAATCAAATCATGTAGACACTTTACATTAACTGGTTTCTGTCACACCATTTTAAATCGCCGTCAAGGTTATTATTACCTTTATGCGAAAATTTTAGGTACAATTAAAAGTTTTAACTTTAAAGATCAAAGTTGGAATTGTTGATTAGCTGTTCCATCTGATTTTGTTAGTAAGTCAAGCTTGCCAGTTTAATTAATTTCATTTCCAAATAAGATATTGGTTTAATGAGTTGAATTTAAAGATATAATTGATCCATTTTTACAATCAAAGAGCCTCTTGTTTCTTATTTATTCAAGGTTGATGATTTAATAAATTAGTTCATAACGATTATGGCTATACATTATGTATAAACAATTTAAAATGAAAGTGAAAGTGAAAGGCTAATTGTAACCCAAAATCTGAAAACAATTTTTCATTAATTTGGTTTGAAATAGCTTGATCAGCTATTGAACAGTCACCAATAAGTTTAGCTTAATGAAAATAATGAGTTTATAATTCAATCTTTGGTTGATCGTGTTTGCTCCTTGAAATAATTGAATTACCAGTTTAGAGTTGACATTTATACAACAGGGTTGACCAGTTCAACACAAAACTTTTGCTTACGCATTCAGTTTTTTTTGCCACTGATTTGAATTATAATTGTTGCCCAGCAAAACGGATTGTTTAGCTCATAATATATTATTCAAAGACAGTGTTTGCACAATTCTGGGATCACTTTTTGAGCCTTCCAGAAATTCATCTAACGATAAACGATTATCATTATTCTGAAATGAAGAGAGAAAATGACAAGTAGACATGGAAAAACAGAATTAGATTATCACGTTAATTATAATGGAGGTTAAAAAAGGTAAGGTAAAATGATAATTAATAGTAATGATAATATAGTAACTTACTCTATCAAGTTCACTAAAAATTTGATCAACCCTCTCCTTTGGATCGATAAGTTTAGGTGAAACATCACCAATCATAATTAACATGGAGTCTAGAATATCGGACATTTCTTCCTTGGTAATGTATCCATCCGAATCAAGATCGTACAATTTGAAAGCCCCTGGATAATAGGAAGTAAAGGAGTTAAATTAAGAATAAAAACAAATAATTAAACTAGACAACACTGATATTTACACAAAAGTTTTTCCTCCAATGTTCCCCTTGAGGTTATCGAGAGAGCTCTGATGAATTCATCAAATTCAATGGTTCCATCCTAGTCACAATATAAATAGCATGTTAGTCGAATTGGAAAGAATTAATATAAATTGTGAATAGAATTTAAAAAATAAAAAAAACAATAAAGAAATGTAAAAATATGATAGACTTACATGATTCTCATCAAACACATGAAACAGCAGCTTGGAAAATTTGGAGGGATCTCCATTGGGGAAAAATCTCTCATAAATTTTTGCAAAAGCCTTGCATAAAAAATTGGTATTTACAACAAAAGTAAACTGTTAATGATTGTTAAACAAGTGACAGTTTAATCAAAATAAATTACCTTCTCTGTTAATTTACCATCAGGACAATCTTGTTGGAAGCCTTTATACCTTATTTGTTGTTATATATTGATCAGATAATCAATAAAATTTTTGTTTACATCAAGGTTGTTTTGATCGGTGTTGCCATTGTTGAATACAACAAAGTTTGGTTAACACAGGGAAATAAACGATAAGAGAGAAAACAAAATGATTTTACAATCAAAGTGTTAATCGTGATGAAATTCATTATAATAATTTATATAAAACACAATATTAATAATGATAATAACAAGACAATGATGACCAAATACGAAACAATATAATCACAACAGGAAATCCTCTTTGCATTAAACAGCTGAAACCTAAGCCGCATAAAAGAAGGCAAATGCTACCATCTAAGGGGCGATATTGAACTGTTAAGACAATTATTCTTATTCTTAAAATCTTGAATATTCATAAATAGCATGAAAATTCAATAACCTGGACACATAATGAAACGTCTCTGCTAATTGCTATTCCAATTCTTACCAATTCTCATCGTTAGTGGATAATCTTGTCTTTTAGCTGGTCGAGTCTTCCTCATTGAATGGCAACAATTAACATTTTTTGCAACCTAAAGCTATTATCTCGTGCAATGAAGTCTGTGTTTACTTACAAGGTATTGAAAGCGATTTGATGTAAACGGTGACAATTAAAGCTGATTGAGAAGCAAAATAAAACTGTCGATAGCAATTTTGTGGCGAAAATCAAAAACTGATGGAATCAAAAAGAGCTAAAAATTGCGTTCGTCTGGTTAAACATTTGTTTAATAAATTAATTCGTTTAACTGGTGGAAAGTCTATCTTTTGACAATCAATAAATTGGATAGAGTGGAAATGCAACGTTTACCTTTATAACAATAGATTTGACTGTTGGTCTATTTTTGGACACTTGAACTGGTCTTCCAGCAAAAGCAGAGCAACAAATCAAATATGGATTGTTCATTGCAGAATGACCCTGAGACTCAAATGATTATATTTAAATTGACCTGAATACTAAAAGGTTTTATTAATGACAAATAAAAGCTAAACTCAATAATTAGTGGTTAAAACAGGCCCATAAAAGAGTTACAAAATAAACTTCCATCAGTTGGTCAACCAAACCAGAAAAGGTTTTCCTTTGTCCTGCATTTGGGTTTCTCACTGTTCAATTATTTACACTATTTTATCATCATTATATTGCCTTCATTTGCCTAAATAATCACTTAAGATTTGTTAAACGACAATCAGTTAAATCTTCAAACATCTTAGATATATTAATATTGAATAGATAAAGAAACAAAGATTTGATAGTCAAAGCTCAGCCTGAAATGCATAATTGAAACTTACCATTGTTTTACTTCTTTTTCGGTAACTGTAATTAAATTAAATCATTCAATTAGTTTCGATTTGCCCATTTAATCTATGTTATTCAATAGCTGACCATTTGACTGTTGAGCTAAACTGGTGCAAGTCTTGAGGAAATTTTAAATTGCGTCTCGGTTGATTAATGAAATTTTCATTTCTTCGCATTTGCATTTTAAATCTGTCTGGCCTTATAAGCAACCATTTTGCTATTAAATTTACTGGTTATTATGAGAAATCTTTGATTATAGTTGACTTTTAGGTGTTCAAATTACTCTAATGAGTTGCATCTAATTCCCTATCAATTAGACCTTTATTCTGAATCCAATATTTTCCTGAACAAATGATGACTTCAATATGTAATTTGAATAAAAAATGCCTCAATAGTCAATGGGTTTGAAAATTGTGACAAAATATTTTCTGATCTTAACAGTAATTCAAATTAATCACACACCATCTTGACATTTGATTGATTGTTGTTTTTGTTCATTTTTGCATAGAGCTATTGGTTTTGCATAAACTTGAAAACATTATTATTATAAAAATATTAATATTGGACTATTTATTTCCTCTAATTGATTTTTATCCACACTTTTGTTGCTTCAAATTCACGTGAGAAATCAGATAAACTCAATCAGATAATTTAACCCTTGAAAATATATCATTAAATAAAAATCGAATCACTAATGAATTTTGAATTCAAAAAATGTGTCAACCGATTGACAATCGTAATGATTGTGAACTTGCAATTTATCAACAAATGTATATAAATCAACTAACTTAATTAGATTGTGTTTGTCTGATTTTATCTCAGTTCAAATAAACGGAAAACAATCAACATCAAAGAGTCAAGATTCATTATGAATTATTTAATATTATAATGTGCTTAGATTTATAGACGATCCCTTATTTGCGTCAATTTAGATCAACAGATGCATAAACAGTCAGTTTATATTTTGAATCTTGTTGATTGTGATAACAAAATAATAGTTGATCATGATTTAGATTAATTAATAGAAGGATTTACTTACAATATGTTTGTTCTGCAAGTTTAGTTATCTTCTGTTTCTCTATTTTACGGCTACAATGGTTACCCATTACCAGGAGTTACACAAGCCACAACAGAAGCAACAGGACAATCAATTTAATTGATGCCAATGGGATGGTTTCTTTAATCACAAGAGTCAATTAACAGTCGAATGAAGTGACACAATTAACACGTTTATTAATAAAGTAAGTTGATTCCACCATAAACAGCAAGATATCAACAGTTGAACAAAAAGTTGATTTAACCATTTGCATCATGGTTTAATCTATGTTTTCCTGCTGAGTGTTGTGTTAACATTAACCAACAACAACAAAAATGTTTTTTCTATTGTGACTTATATTCTCTCTTTTTTTCCACCAATTCTGTCTAGTTCAATCGGGAAGAAAGATGATAAAGTAATTATGTTTCTGGTGATATTGATTGAAGATAAAAGTTGAGTCAAGTCCAGAAAAGGTCTGCGCAAAGTTACCTGGTAATAACATTCGAACCTTGTATTATTACTTTCACTCTCTACTTTAATGTAATTTCACGTAACTTCATCTCTTTACCATTTAATTCCTAGATAATTAAATATCAATAACTGGAACAGTGTGTATAAGCGCCCAGCTTTCACCCAAAATTGCTACTGATTAGTGAACATCAATCAATGTTAATCTTTGGTATTTTTGATAATTTTAACTGGTAAACACATTTTGATTTCACTTTAATCATCGATCAATAAAGTCAAAATAACCTATTTCCATGAACCTAATTAACTTGACCCATGTAAGATTCAATCACTAACTCGTTTGATTCAATTTTTGCAGCTATTTAGGTTCAACCATTCTGGAGGTGGCAAATCATATCAACACGCTCATCTCATCCCAATCGATCTTGGATTTTATGAAAATATAATAACAATGTTATTTTAAAACAAATGGTTAAAAAATGGGTTAACAGTAGATTCTGATTAATTACAATGTTATATAAATATAAAAAAGAGATGATCTGGTTACTTAAAAAATTGAATAGATTGAAATTATAAAACTATTAAAACATTGGAAGCTAAAAGCGGTAAGGTTTTACTTTTACGGAGAAAGGCGTAAACATTAAAACATATGATTTTTTGGTTAGGTAAGTTTGATCAAGGGGCTGTTGGTTGGTCGGTCAGGTTAGGTTAGGTTCGGTTAGGTTAGGTTTGGTAAGGTTAGGGTGGGCTTAGGTCGGCCTGGGGCCTTAATTAGCTTCATTTAATTCAATTGTTCATAAAGAGCGCTCTTAAAAAACGTCTACCATTGGATGATTTTTAATGTTTACGTCTTTCTCCGTAAAAGTAAAACCTTACCCTAAAAGCTTATTGGAAACAGATTCACTCCTTCCTTTGTAATTGATAAACAGCTTTTCGATTATCACAGAATTAAAATGGTTGGTAAAAATACGTTGAATTATTAGATGAAGCTGCATTATTGCCATCGATTATGATCTCAATCTCTTCCTTGGTTGGTATAGTTGATACAATTAACGGATCCATTGTCGGCTGTTGTGTTACAGAATCTGGATCAATGTCGGTTTGAACACTTACATATGTGAAGAAAACTATCATTTTAAAGGTTAATTGTTGTCCGATTAAAGTTGAAACACACATAGAGAAATAGAAATAAGATTTGACTTTAGCTGTTATTGGTTAAGGTCGTTTCTTCCATTCCAATTAATACTTACCAAATGATGCATAGAATAATGTTACAATTATTGAGACAACAAGCATGATTCGGGTTTCCATTGTGATGAGTAAATTGTTACAAATAAATTAAAATAACTGGCATTTGATGTAATGAATGGTTTAAAATTAAATGGTAAATGATTGCTTCCATAGGGTTGTCTTGATTTTTATGGCCTTTGTCGTCTAGGCAAGATTATCTGTCAATAATTATCATTAATGAAAGATACTGGTAAAGTGGGAAAATGAGATAAGATAATAATTACGATGCAACCAATTAGGTATAAAGCTGAACTAGATTGGAAAAAGAAGAGCAGAATAGATTGTCTTTAGGTGGAATAAGCATGGTTAACAATGAATTGACAGTTGGAAAGGAAATAAATTGTATTTAATAATAAACATAGTTGCAATTAAGAATTAAGAATTCACAGGAATTAATAAATTAATCAATCAAAAAAGAGCCTATTCTTTTACATCATTACTATCATTATCTTCGTCATACATATCAGCGCTATTTTCATCATCATCATCAATAACTCGAGATTCTAATTCATTTTGATTATTTCCAGATTTTGTCTTTTCCTTAATTTCCTTTCTGTCTTTAAGGTGCGAGGTGAGTGACATAGCTTCCTGTATAACACGTAAAATAGAGGCGATTGTTGTTTCCTCGTGTTGAGATAAGTCATTGATTATATTCCATTCGTTTGGATCATTTACACGAATAATCTCCTGAATCAGATGTAATCTTTCTTTTAAAATTTCAGTCAACTTATTATCTAATTTATTTAAACGCTCTTCTAATGTGACCACTCTGATGGCCTCTTCGACTCTGTCATGAGCAATGACTTCGACTGCGTTAGGAGGGATAAGAAGATCATCTTCAGTGACATAGGTTATGGTTCCTTCATTTTTAGTCCGTCTTTCTTTTTCTCTTGACTTGGAATCTTCACTGCCCATAAGATCCTCGGTGGTAGGCGAAATAGTTGATATTGTTTTCCTTCTTTCTTTATTTAACTCTTTCTCTTTAACATTATTACTTTTAACATCGTCATCATCATCTTCTCGACTGGTACTTGATTTAAGGTCAATCAATTTGGAGAAAGATTGAGTATGATTGGGATGTTTACGACCATTCGAGGATATTTCTTGAATCTTTTGAGTCCATAAATCTTTCTCTGTTGCTGTGGCAGCATGAAATTCATAGAATGCTGATTCATTCTCACTGTTAGATAGAAGATAGAAAGCTGTCTTATCAGTGGCCACATCTCGAGTCAGTAGACTTGAAACATTTAAAATAGGTGGATTTGGATGATTTTTAAGTAAGAAGCGATCCCCATCACGGTTCAAAATGACCATTACGTCTGTACAAAGTACAACTAGCACATCGGTACATTTCTGTTTCGACTGTCTCCAGTTGAGGAATCCTTCATGGACTAAAATTTTGCCAGTTAAATCAAGATTAAGATTTTCTTGTTTTACAATTTTCTTTTGAATATTTCTTAATCTTAATTTATTCTCAGCACACCGTTTTTTCTCATTGATTACATGTAAAATATCTTTTGTTCGCTGATAAGCTTGTTCAATCAATTCATATTCCTTTGAACCTCTTTCCGTGGCTTTTAATAGATTGTCCAGCAAAAGAGGATACTTAGTTACCCTTTGGAAACAAAATGCTAGCAAAGCTTTGAGATCAAGACGTTTACATCTTTCATGGGATTCTGCTTCGTTCAAGAATAGTGCAAACTTTGAATCTTTTTTCATTTTATTCAGTAATTCCAGACCAGCCGTTTGAGAGGCACAGAATGTAGACGCAGCATTTTGTAAAGCATCGCCCAAAGTTCCTTCAAAAATATTGACCAGCATTTGACCAACCTGTAAATCTGACATCTCAGGAAATTTTTGAGGATATTGTAATTGTGATTTAATACTCTCTTCATATTCCTTTCTCTTGGCTCTAAATTGTTTGACCATGGCTTTGTGTATCTTTAGTAGATCATCATGAGTAGAAAATATTTGCTGAATTTGCTCTGCAGTTAATAATTGTTCCGTCTTGATTGGCTTATAAAATATATCATGTAACACTTCAAGATACTCAACATGAGTTTCTTCAGTGTTGAATAACTCATTAATAATTTCCATTCGTTTTGAACCAGTGAAAAGACGCTGATTCCTTGGAGGCAATGGGGGAGGCACACATGTCGGTGAATTTGAAATCGACGGCGTAGGCGGAGGGGGATGGCTTGGAGCCTGGAAGCAATAATCTTCATCATCATTTGCACCATCTTCTGGTAGTCAAGAAAGGAGAGAAAAAAGACAAGAGTTAAGAAAGAAAAGAAAGAGAGAGAAAGAGGGGAAAAATGAGAGGAAGAGAGAGAAAATGAGAGGAAAAAGAAAAAGGAATGAGAAAAAGATGGGAGGAAAGAGATTACTTCTATGATATTGATATAAATAAGGAGAATAAACACAAATTTACCATCTGAATTCAATGATTCTGAACTTGGGGCTAGGAGGTTCAATTTTTCACTGTTACTAATGGACATAGATGATGACATAGATGATGATGAGGGTAAAGCCGGGTCACTTATTTTACGATGATTGCGTTTTGTTTCTTTAGCCTTTAATGATTCAGATCTGTTTATTTGATTTAAACTGCTATTGGAAGACGCTGAGGGATGTAGTGGTGGTGATATCGAAGGAGTAGTTGGACAAGAGTTAGGTAAAACATCATCAGACAAGGCCAGGGTAAGAGCAACATAACTTTGACATTGTTTTATCATATCGACAACTGGTTGATGATTGTGTTTAAGTACACAAGTACCATTAACTTTGATTATCACTTGGCCCGCGCGAACACCAGCTTTCCATGCAGCACCATCCGGCTTCACTGACTCTACCCTGACCGGATTATCACCAGAAACCCGTAAACCAAAACCTTTCTCATCACGACGGATGATGACACATTTTTGTGACATTTTTGGTTGCAGCGGAGGTGAGAACACAATATGGCCAGATTGAGGAACACAAAGAGAATAGCCGCTTACTTGAACATCTTGAGCCACATTTTCCATGTTGTATTTTTTCAAACCAAGACAAATACTACGAACACAGAGAAACACATTTACTTCTTGCTGTTGTTCTTTTTGCAAATGCTGATGATGTTGATAAATGGTGTAAGGTCACTTGACTACTACTTTAAAGCAAAATAATATTACAAAATACCTATTACCGGGTGTGTGCCTAAAAGAGTAAAAGAAACAGGGATAAATGATCTATTTCTCATCAACTAGTCTAATTTTTAAAAAAAGTTAATTGTCAATTAATGGTAAAACAATAAAAAAAACAAAAAACTAAATAACATAGTAAAAAAATTTAGACAGTAGAGACAGGCAAGAAAGCCACTGCAAAAGGCAACGCCATTCCCTTTGTTACTTGCTCCATCTATTAACTTTTAAATGTAATAATTATTTTTAGTCATTTATAAACAATTTTATTTCATCAATTAATCATTTAATGATGAAAACAAAGTATTTCTCGGTAATCATTGATTTTTCAAAGAACACGAAATGTTTAAACCTAAAATTTGCTCAAAATTTGCTCAAAATTTGCTCAAAATTTGCTCAAAATTTGAACGAATCAAGTTGAGCCAAGCTGAAATGATGTAAACTCGTAAACTCTGGTTAATTGACTGAAAATTGGTCAAACTTTGGTTAATCAATTTCAGAGATTGATACCGATGGAAGCAAGAAATTGAAATGTTCAACAGTTTCATGTAAAGTGATTATTGTTCAGTGAGTAACTCCTACTGTTGATGACAAATGAAACTAAAAATTGTACAAACAAATGCTCATGTACAATGAAGAGAGGAAGATTGAAGGAAGAGTGAGTCCTCAGTTTTTGGGATAATTTTGTCAGAATGCGATTTGATATTGAACATAAACCATTGCAAGTTGTTTATAGCTATTCAAGTTACACAGTAAAATAGACTGAAAAAAAGTTGAAAAAAAACGGAACCATTTTTGCGAAGGAAAAGAGTGAAAAAAATGTTTGCTGATCAACCAAATTATGATCACCATCATCATCATCATCATATCTTTGTGTAAGCTACACTGATTATGATGATGGTGATGATGATGATGATAATAATAATTGTTCAGTTTATTAAGATGATGAGGTAAACAAGGGTACAAACAAAACCAGGGGATAAGTTGAGTGAGAGCAAATTTTGGTTTGAGAAGTGAGAATGAAAAAAGCGAAAGTTGAATGTAAATGTAAAATTTACTGTTATGTTAACCTAGACAAGTTTCGAGCCAGTTTGGTGCCTATTTTAGACACACATCATCATCCTCACCAACCTCATCTTCTTCGTCATCTTGATCATCTTTAACATCATCTTTAAAGAGGAGCAAAAAAGCAACAGTATTTTCATCTACAAACTTGGGAAACAACACAAACACCACACACACAAAAAATGCCAGCAACATCTTTAACAAAGAGTCAAATTAAATCAATGCGAGTTGAAAGGGAAAAGTTAAACCATTTGTTTACCTTTAATTGCTATTACAATTGTTCACATTTTAATATTATCTTCTTAATTATTAATTCCTGATTACTTGTGTTCAACCATCTTTAACTACAATTTATAAATTAATATTGTTAACTTTGCTCCACCGTTTCCCTTGTTTTTACCAATGACTTCCCTTTACTCAATGTGAGTTTTTTTACCAATAAATTGTCCTACAATTTTGGATTACCATTTACTTCATCTGTTAATTTTTGGATTAAATTAAATTGTTTAAGCTTCTTTTTGATGCTCAATCCAACTGGATTAAGTGATTAAGTAATGGTGAAATTAGATTGGTAGTAACGTGTATTTTTTGGGTTCAAAAGTGCTCCATGAAAAATGACTGTAAGTGTAAACCGTTTTTTTGTGAAACCCATCTTATATCAATGATATGTGATCAAGTGAATTTTTTAATCATCGGTGTTCATCTGTGATAATCATTGGTTCATCGTTATATCAGTAAATGATCATTTACTCGTTCGGATTAAATTATTATCGTACAAAGATGCCTATTATTGATGGTTAAATCATCATGTACAATAACTTACAAAAGGGTTTACCACTAAAAATTTGGATTGTATTAAAGTTGCTGTCTCTACCAAATCTTTACCGTCTGTTTGTTACCTTTACAAATTAACTATTTCCCATTTCTATCAAACCCGATTTACCAATTAAATGATATCACAATATTGATCAAAGCCTATTCAAGTTTAAAACTCAAGCTAATAGACAAACCAAATAGGCAGCAATGGACGCCAACAACCCAGGATCATTATCAATGAGTGGTGCTGCCAGTAATCAAATGTCCCAATCAATGTCCCACTCCACTTATGGTGTACCACCACCAAGCCTTACCGTGCCCACCGTTAGTCCAGGTTACTATGGTCCACCAGGAAACCCATCGACAACCATTTCTTTCCCAAATAAACCAGAAATTAGTTCACAACCATTTTTAGCTCAACAACCTCCATTAGCAACAACACTTCAACCAAAAGTGCCAAGTTTAACACCAACCGCAGCTCGATCAATAGGACCAGGAACAAATCCAGCTACACCTGGGTTAACACCAGGAACAACCACTGGACCAGGGTTAAACTCAACAGGACCAACAGCAACAAGTTCACGTAAACCAGCTCGTAAAGGTCCAAAGATACCAGAAAAAGCTCCTCGATCATTGTATCTGTTTACATTGGACAATTGTTTACGTAAATTTTGTATCTCAGTGGTTGAATGGAAACCCTTTGAGTGGCTTATTTTAATAACAATTTGTCTAAACTGTGTTGCCCTGGGAGCTCAGCAACCCTTTCCAGCCCATGATACAAACTCAACGAACCAGTTTCTCGAGAAAATTGAATACCTTTTCCTAGCCCTGTTTACCGTTGAATGTGTCCTAAAAATAATTGCCTTTGGTTTCTTCTTTCATCCCGAAGCATATTTAAGATCCTATTGGAATCTACTCGATTTCATTATCGTCGTTATCGGCATAATGAATTGCATCGTTTCCTTTATTTTACCAACCTTTAACGTTAAAGCCTTACGAGCCTTCCGTGTTTTAAGGCCACTTCGTCTGGTCTCAGGAGTTCCAAGTAAGTCCAATACAATCCTCAAAATCAATCCAATGTTTAACCCAATTTGACCCTTTGTCTGTTGATGAATTACCATTTTAGGTAAATTATAAATGTGTAACCAATTGTCAATAAGTTTCATCAATGAATCCAAGATGAAGTTTCTTCAGTCTGTTCCTCTATTCCTTTGTCATCATCATTCATGATTATCATCATTGATGATCATTGTGATTATTATTCTTAACCTTTGTTAACAGATAAACTTGCGTGACTTATCAACGTAAACGTCTAAACCTTTTTAACATGAGACACACACAGAAGACGAAATGGTAAAGATAAACATTTGATGAAAATGAAAAGGATGATCAACAACAAACTAATGGAAGATACAATAGATTATTCATTTATCATCAACTGTCATCATTTTTACCTCCCACTCCTTCCCACTATCGACCCTCTTTTTGTTGTGTCTCATCATCATCACTTTAACCTTTTTATAACTAATATCAATCCATCCACATTTAATATATATTCAATTACCATTTCAACACCATTTATTTAACACTTTACTCCCATCATTTTTGTATTTCAACAAGGGAATCAACTTGATAAAGCTTCACTTGCTGCACAACCAGACAAAAAAAGGGTCAAAAGTTGCTTGTAACAAATGATAATTGAACATTTAATCAATTCACATTTGAACCCAAATTTAACCTTGTTCATCTTGTTCCCTACAGGTCTTCAGGTTGTGCTTAATTCAATCATCAAAGCAATGCTACCCTTATTTCATATCGCTCTTCTTGTGATCTTTGTAATTGTTATCTATGCAATCATTGGTCTTGAAATGTTCAACGGTGTTTTACACAAAACGTGCTTTGATAATATAACAGGTAAATGATGTTTTTTGGAGTAAAAAGAGTTTCACTTTTTGACAATTTATCAATTTCACATTAGAATGGCTGGTTCACATCAAAATAACATTTTCAATTTCATGTCAACTTGACCGATCCTTAAAAGCTCAAGCTTTTTTTTCATTGAACCTAAAAATTGTTAACCTAAAAACCCAAGTCAATGTTTCCCAAGCTTTAAGATTGTTTTAAATATGAATGAGATGTTTTGCAACATTGTGACAGCAAATCGATTGACTTTGATCTGAACTCGTAGACTTGTTGATTTTAGTCGATTTGGTTGGATGAATTTTATTTCACCAGTTTCACTCGAGTAACAGTCCATTTGAAGGATTCTTGAGTTTACTCAACATTGTTTCACTCATCAGTCTAGGAAACATCACCAAGAAACATCATTATTGGGATAAGGGATCGATTAGATGGAAGAAAACAATTGTCCAATATATTGACAGTTTGGATGACTAAAGTCTATTTGATCTAAATGTACTTCATTTTTACCAGCTTTAGTTGAAAATTATTGTCCATCTTTAAGTGGTCATTGGTTTGCTGATGGATCAAAATAGCAAAAGACGAAACATCGTTAGACAACAAAAGCAAATACAGAGACAGAGACAGAATAATGAATCGCTTTTCAAGTCATGAATCGTTTAATGAGTTTATATCAAGCAATGAGAGTTGTTATTTTTAGTTATCCATTTTTACCTTTCAGTAACAGTCAATATTGGAAAATGTAAAACATTTGGCAATTTTTTGAGAAATAAATTGAAACATTACTTGGATATCGATTTAATTAGGGAAAATGACTCTTTCTATTCGAGTTGATTGAACTTTGAAACATAATAGAGACAGAAACATCAGGCAATTTCATTATTTAAGGAATGAAATCTGTATTTAAAGTGAATCGATTGACATTTTTTGACCATCTATTCGCGATTACTCTGTATTTTTGGCTTTACTGAAGGCCTGCAAATGTATGATTTATGTTATGGTTACTTTAAAACTTATAAATCAAAGGATATTTTTCCTGTTCACTCAATCAACCAAAATCACATGAAATTTGAGATTCTGTGACAATTTGATTGCAAGTTTTTAACTTTATTTGTTGAGTTGTTTCGTCACATTTTCAATTTACAATTATAAGCTTCAGCTTTCAGTTTCAGTATCTTATAACAATCGACATTCTGTTCATGATCACTGTAAAATTTGCGCCATTTCAATGGTAGTTACAATTAGAATCCTTGCTTCTTGCTATTGTTGTTGCTAAAAGACACATTTAACACATTTATGCACAAATTGACACAAACACTGAAAGAGAAATGGGCAAAAACGGGTAAAAATAAATTTCTTTCGGATTAAGGTTATGTTAGTTTGTAGGGAAATGAAAACTGAATCTGATAGCGCTTCTAAAAAGTTTCTCTGAGCCACAGTTTTCGATGAAATCGAGGTTAAAGTTGAAACTACGAACGCCTTTTGTGCAGCTGTCCGAACAGATTTTTTCATCAAGATCATTTTTTCTGATGTAACTTTGAATGGCAAACGAGAAAGTGCATTTATTTTGCGGAATAAAAATGTCCTGTTTCTGTACAACAGCTCAGTTCGATTTTTAGATAAACCGACCGCATTCTATGACCGATGAGCTTAGTGAGTTGAAACTTATTATTTGCTCATAAAAATTGTTGGTTCAAATCATGGATCGAATACTTTTATTATTTAAAGAATAGTTCTCCCGATTTTGGCCATTGGCCTTAAAACTTTTAGCCTCGATACTTCGAGAATGGTGGCACCTACACTCATCATTCTTTCACTAATTTAATTCTTTACTTGTTAATCACTCAAACCAATCGAATGCCTTCCCATCAGACCATTCGGGTCATGATTTTTGGGCTTTAACTATATGAGAAACAACTTATTCAGCAAACAAAACACATCACAGCTCTTTTCTTGGTAAATGCAGCAATTTTCTGGTTAGCCTTTCAAAAGAAATGCAAAGAGTGCTGCTAAAGACGCCGACATTTAAGTGAAAGGTTGCGACTTGCTGAGTTGGCATGGGCATACAAACTGCATCCATTGGTGCTTTCAAATAATTTGTCCGATGGACAGTTTCGATAAAATCGAGGTTAAATTTGAAACTTCGATGGCCTTTTGTGCAGCCAAGGAAGCAGCTTTTTTCATGAAACTTATTTTTCTTGCGTTACTTTTGATTATCACCCAGAAAATAAACTTATTTTAAGAAATAAAGTTTTCTTTTTGCTGTAAAACAGATCAGTTCGATTTTTATTCAAACCTTTCGCATTCTATGGCCATGAAACTTAGAGAGCTAAAACTTATTATTTTTACATAAAATTGTTTGGGCAACATCATAGAGTGAATATTTTTTCAAATCCATCAAGAGTTCTCTTGATTTTCGCCATTATTCGGAAAACTTTGAGTCTCAATATTTCGAGATCGGCATCTTATACAAACATGATTCTTGCACCAAAAGTTAGATTTTATTATGGATACTAATACATTGAAATAATTAATTGTTCAAGATCCTCCGAAGAAAAGTCAGAGCGTTGTCTAACTTATGTTATCAGATTTGTTTCTCTGTTTAAAAGTAAATGTTACTTAAACACAAATCTTATGAAGTGTTAGAAACATATTCATTATTAAATTAAGCTGCTCAGATTTTCTTAGTATTCAGTCACATAATGTTATGACCCATAATAAATTCTTATGTTTAGTCAAACAATGGTGATTTCAGGTGATGCCATTCTTGAAATATTGGCGTGCAAACTTTTTCGGTCAATGGCCAAAATTAAGAGAACTGTTGAGAAATGGAGCAAATTATTTTCTTCATGATATGTAATAACAATTTTTACGTACAAATAATAAGTTTCAGCTCATTCAGTTTCACTTTCACAGAAAGAGGTCGGTTTAACGAAAATTTGAACTTGATCTGTTTTACAAAAACAGAAAATGTTATTTGTAGAAATAGGAAATTTTTATGGTTGGTCATTGCAAATTACATTATCAAAATGAGTTTCATGAAAAAAGCTGCTTCGTTGGCTGAACAAAGAGCCATCGAAGTTTCAACTTTAACCTCGATTTTACCGAAAACTGTCCATCGAACAAATTATTTGAAAGTACCAATGAATGCAGTTTTCATGTCCATATAAATCCACCAAGTCTCAACCCTTCACTCAAATGCTGGCGTCTTTAGCAGCACTCTTTACATTTTATTTACAAGGCTAACCAGAAAATTGGTTTATTTACCAAGAAATGAGTTGAGATGTGTTTTATTTGTTGAATAAATTGTTTTTGCATACATTTTAAGCCCAAAAATCATAATCAGAATGCGCCAATGAAAAGTTATTATATGAAATCAAAGGAGGACGTCAGAAGTTGCCTATTTTCAGAACACTTTCAAACTAATTTTTCTTATGTATTTTTTTATGCTGAGTTCAATAATATAAATTATTTTTTGGTCAGAGTTACCGTTCGAGAGATATTCACGAAAAAAACAAAGGAATTTAAGGATAGAGGAACGTAAAAGATTCATGAATAAGAGTTAGAATTATGTTATCTAGATTTGTTTTTTTATATAATTCAGTGTTCTTGATCATATATTTGTAATAAAAAACTAGAAAAAATGGTGCAAAATACCCAAACAGTTTAAAAGCTAGATGATTCGTATTTCAACATTTGTTTTAACCATGTTCCAGTTAGGGACGCACCATGATATTCATGTAATAGTTAGAATCAGCTATGCTGATTTCATATTTAAAATAAAAAAGACAAGAGTCATGACCCCGTGCTGTCTGCAACCACTGGC